TTAAGGTGGTCTGAGTAAGATGGTTAAGGTTAGGGTTAAGGTGGTCTGAGTAAGATGGTCTAAGGATGGTTAAGGTTAGGGTTAAGGTGGTCTGAGTAAGATGGTTAAGGTTAGGGGTTAAGGTGGTCTGAGTAAAGATGGTTAAGGTTAGGGTTAAGGTGGTCTGAGTAAGAAGGTTAAGGATAGGGTTAAGGTGGTCAGAGTAAGATGGTTAAGGTTAGGGTTAAGGTGGTCTGAGTAAGATGGTTAAGGTTATATGGTTAAGGTGAGTCTGAGTAAGATGGTTAAGGTTAGGGTATAAGGGTGGTCTGAGTAAGATGGTTAAGGTGAGGGTTAAGGTGGTCAGAGAAAGATGGTTAAGGTTAGGGATTAAGGTGGTCTGAGTAAGATGGTTAAGGTTAGGGTTAAGGTGGTCAGAGTAAGATGGATTAAGGTTAGGGTTAAGGTGGACTGAGTAAGAGGGTTAAAGGTGTTAAGGTGGTCTGAGTAAGATGGTTAAGGTTAGGGTTAAGGTGGTCTGAGTAAGATGGTTAAGGTTAGGGTTAAGGTGGTCTGAGTAAGATGGTTAAGGTTAGGGTTAAGGTGGTCTGAGTAAGATGGTTAAGGTTAGGGTTAAGGTGGTCTGAGTAAGATGGTTAAGGTTAGGGTTAAGGTGGTCTGAGTAAGATGGTTAAGGTTAGGGTTAAGGTGGTCTGAGTAAGATGGTTAAGGTTAGGGTTAAGGTGGTGTAGGGGTTAGGTTAGTGGTCTGAGTAAGATGGTTAAGGTTAGGGTTAAGGTGGTCTGAGTAAGATGGTTAAGGTTAGGGTTAAGGTGGTCTGAGTAAGATGGTTAAGGTTAGGGTTAAGGTGGTCTGAGTAAGATGGTTAAGGTTAGGGTTAAGGTGGTCTGAGTAAGATGGTTAAGGTTAGGGTTTAAGGGGTGGTCTGAGTAAGAATGTTTAAGGTTAAGGGTTAAGGTGGTCTGAGTAAGATGGTTAAGGTTAGGGTTAAGGTGGTCTGAGTAAGATGGTTAATGTGGGTTAAGGTGGTCAGAGTAAGATGGTTTAAGGTTAGTGAAAAGGTGGTCTGAGTAAGATGGTTAATGTTAATGGTTAAGGTGGTCTGAGTAAGATGGTTAAGGTTAGGGTAATGTTCTGGTAAGATGGTTAAGGTGTGGTGGTCTGAGTAAGATGGTTAAGGTTAGGGTAAGGTGGTCTGAGTAAGTGGTTAAGGTAGGGTTAAGGGTCTGAGTAAGATGGTTAAGGTTAGGGTTAAGGTGGTCTGAGTAAGATGGTTAAGGTTAGGGTTAAGGTGGTCTGAGTAAGATGGTTAAGGTTAGGGTTAAGGTGGTCTGAGTAAGATGGTTAAGGTTAGGGTTAAGGTGGTCTGAGTAAGATGGTTAAGGTTAGGGTTAAGGTGGTCTGAGTAAGATGGTTAAGGTTAGGGTTAAGGTGGTCTGAGTAAGATGGTTAAGGTTAGGGTTAAGGTGGTCTGAGTAAGATGGTTAAGGTTAGGGTTAAGGTGGTCTGAGTAAGATGGTTAAGGTTAGGGTTAAGGTGGTCTGAGTAAGATGGTTAAGGTTAGGGTTAAGGTGGTCTGAGTAAGATGGTTAAGGTTAGGGTTAAGGTGGTCTGAGTAAGATGGTTAAGGTTAGGGTTAAGGTGGTCTGAGTAAGATGGTTAAGGTTAGGGTTAAGGTGGTCTGAGTAAGATGGTTAAGGTTAGGGTTAAGGTGGTCTGAGTAAGATGGTTAAGGTTAGGGTTAAGGTGGTCTGAGTAAGATGGTTAAGGTTAGGGTTAAGGTGGTCTGAGTAAGATGGTTAAGGTTAGGGTTAAGGTGGTCTGAGTAAGATGGTTAAGGTTAGGGTTAAGGTGGTCTGAGTAAGATGGTTAAGGTTAGGGTTAAGGTGGTCTGAGTAAGATGGTTAAGGTTAGGGTTAAGGTGGTCTGAGTAAGATGGTTAAGGTTAGGGTTAAGGTGGTCTGAGTAAGATGGTTAAGGTTAGGGTTAAGGTGGTCTGAGTAAGATGGTTAAGGTTAGGGTTAAGGTGGTCTGAGTAAGATGGTTAAGGTTAGGGTTAGGTGGTCTGAGTAAGATGGTTAAGGTTAGGGTTAAGGTGGTCTGAGTAAGATGGTTAAGGTTAGGGTTAAGGTGGTCTGAGTAAGATGGTTAAGGTTAGGGTTAAGGTGGTCTGAGTAAGATGGTTAAGGTTAGGGTTAAGGTGGTCTGAGTAAGATGGTTAAGGTTAGGGTTAAGGTGGTCTGAGTAAGATGGTTAAGGTTAGGGTTAAGGTGGTCTGAGTAAGATGGTTAAGGTTAGGGTTAAGGTGGTCTGAGTAAGATGGTTAAGGTTAGGGTTAAGGTGGTCTGAGTAAGATGGTTAAGGTTAGGGTTAAGGTGGTCTGAGTAAGATGGTTAAGGTTAGGGTTAAGGTGGTCTGAGTAAGATGGTTAAGGTTAGGGTTAAGGTGGTCTGAGTAAGATGGTTAAGGTTAGGGTTAAGGTGGTCTGAGTAAGATGGTTAAGGTTAGGGTTAAGGTGGTCTGAGTAAGATGGTTAAGGTTAGGGTTAAGGTGGTCTGAGTAAGATGGTTAAGGTTAGGGTTAAGGTGGTCTGAGTAAGATGGTTAAGGTTAGGGTTAAGGTGGTCTGAGTAAGATGGTTAAGGTTAGGGTTAAGGTGGTCTGAGTAAGATGGTTAAGGTTAGGGTTAAGGTGGTCTGAGTAAGATGGTTAAGGTTAGGGTTAAGGTGGTCTGAGTAAGATGGTTAAGGTTAGGTTAAGGTGGTCTGAGTAAGATGGTTAAGGTTAGGGTTAAGGTGGTCTGAGTAAGATGGTTAAGGTTAGGGTTAAGGTGGTCTGAGTAAGATGGTTAAGGTTAGGGTTAAGGTGGTCTGAGTAAGATGGTTAAGGTTAGGGTTAAGGTGGTCTGAGTAAGATGGTTAAGGTTAGGGTTAAGGTGGTCTGAGTAAGATGGTTAAGGTTAGGGTTAAGGTGGTCTGAGTAAGATGGTTAAGGTTAGGGTTAAGGTGGTCTGAGTAAGATGGTTAAGGTTAGGGTTAAGGTGGTCTGAGTAAGATGGTTAAGGTTAGGGTTAAGGTGGTCTGAGTAAGATGGTTAAGGTTAGGGTTAAGGTGGTCTGAGTAAGATGGTTAAGGTTAGGGTTAAGGTGGTCTGAGTAAGATGGTTAAGGTTAGGGTTAAGGTGGTCTGAGTAAGATGGTTAAGGTTAGGGTTAAGGTGGTCTGAGTAAGATGGTTAAGGTTAGGGTTAAGGTGGTCTGAGTAAGATGGTTAAGGTTAGGGTTAAGGTGGTCTGAGTAAGATGGTTAAGGTTAGGGTTAAGGTGGTCTGAGTAAGATGGTTAAGGTTAGGGTTAAGGTGGTCTGAGTAAGATGGTTAAGGTTAGGGTTAAGGTGGTCTGAGTAAGATGGTTAAGGTTAGGGTTAAGGTGGTCTGAGTAAGATGGTTAAGGTTAGGGTTAAGGTGGTCTGAGTAAGATGGTTAAGGTTAGGGTTAAGGTGGTCTGAGTAAGATGGTTAAGGTTAGGGTTAAGGTGGTCTGAGTAAGATGGTTAAGGTTAGGGTTAAGGTGGTCTGAGTAAGATGGTTAAGGTTAGGGTTAAGGTGGTCTGAGTAAGATGGTTAAGGTTAGGGTTAAGGTGGTCTGAGTAAGATGGTTAAGGTTAGGGTTAAGGTGGTCTGAGTAAGATGGTTAAGGTTAGGGTTAAGGTGGTCTGAGTAAGATGGTTAAGGTTAGGGTTAAGGTGGTCTGAGTAAGATGGTTAAGGTTAGGGTTAAGGTGGTCTGAGTAAGATGGTTAAGGTTAGGGTTAAGGTGGTCTGAGTAAGATGGTTAAGGTTAGGGTTAAGGTGGTCTGAGTAAGATGGTTAAGGTTAGGGTTAAGGTGGTCTGAGTAAGCCTACATATAACAACAACCCCCATCCACCCCTTCACAAACCACCCCTCAACACAAATCTCACTAAACCTATTATATTACACCATATATAAACACTAACAAATACCTCACAAATTAAATACCCCTATTTAAATTCTATATCATATATCTTATATAACTTTTACAAATCCCCTCACTCTAACCCCCCCCTCCCAACCACCCTACCTCTTATTCTTCCTCTTCTAAAACCTTCTCCTACCTATATCTTTCCCTCCCCCCATCAAACCACATCCACCACCAACAAAACCCCCCCCCTCTTTTTTTAAATCTCCTTCCCTCACCCCAACCACTCTTTCCACCAAACCCCCCTTTCCCCTCAATCCTTACCTAATCCTACCCCACCATATATAATCTTCACCTCTTACCTTTCCTTACCAATAAATATTCATTTATTCATAATCACATTACTCCATCCCACCCCACTATCATCTCCACCCTCCTAACCTTCACCTCCACCCCTCCCCCTCACTACATACACTTACCTACTAACTACTACACAAACAACACACTCTCCAAACCCTCCCACACAACAAAAACCACCACACTAATAATAATAATCTCTCTCATACATAACCCATACACACCCCCCCACAACCCAACCCACCAACCCACACACCTTACTATAATCACTAATCAACAACCATATTCAACCCACAATCTCTTACTAACACCCACTCCCTCCCACCACCAATACAACACAAAACAACCATCCCCCCATCAACCCCCTACATCAACCTCTCATCCATCCCCCTAAACAAACTTCCCAAATAAACCACCCCTACCCCACACCTAATAATACCCCACACCACACAACCTCACCCCTACACAAAAAAAACCCCAAACCCCCTACCCAAAAAACCTCTCCACACATACCACCCCAAAAACCAACAACCATTAATAAAACCAACACCATATACCCTCAACTCACCCTACCCCACCCCCACATAATTCCCCCTCCCCCTCTATACCCCCTTCCCACTCCCCCCATCCTCATCCTTATTTCCTCATTCAATCTACTTACTCCTAACTTATATCCTCTCTCAATTTCTCCTACATCCATCACCCCTCCATCACCACACCATACCTCTAAAAAACACTCCCCACCCAACCATATCATCCACCCTAACATCCTCCTCCCTATAACACACCACCCACACCCCCACACCACCACCCACCATCATCTTACCAACACACAAAACTACCTAAATAAAACCAAAAAAACTCATACAAACCCAAATCCAATCCTCAACCACACACACCTCCCCCCCTTACCCCCCCAACCCATCCCCACAAATAACCCCATCCCCCCCCTAAATAAACCACCCATCCTCAAATCTCACCACATCATCCCCTCACAAAACCCCAACCCCATTACATCTCCTCCCCCTCTCCCCACTTCATAACACCCCTACCCCACCCCCACATCCCTCACAAACTCAACAACTAAATCAAACAACCACACCCCACCCCAATAACAAACCCCATACCCCCCCCAACAAAACCCACCACAAAATCATTCCCAATAATTCCCCCAAACAACCCTCCCCCCCCCACCCCCCCCACCCCCCCCCCCTCACCCACCCCCCACCCCACCACCCACTCCATCCTATATCCACACTACTATATAAATATAACAATATATCATATCTAACTATCTATATATAAAATATCTACTCCTATATATCCTATATAAATCTTAACTATCTATAATATATCATTCTACTATCTATACATATATCATATTAACTCTACTATACATATAACATAACTATCTATAATAATCCAATCAATTTTAATAATCAAACACTTAAAAACACTCAACACTAACTATCTATTACCATAACACCAACACAAACTCTACCAAACCCATCAACATCATCACTATACCAAATATAAATCTAAAATAAATATCATATTCTATCTATCTCCCCCCCCCCCCCCCAAAACACAAAATAAACTAACTAAAAAAAAACCAACACAAACAACAAACAACACACAAACCACAAAAAACAAACAAAACACACAAACAAAAAACCCACATAACAACTAACACAAAACACACACAAAACACAAACCACACAAACACCCCACAAACAACACACACACAACACAACACACACACCAACACACACAAACCCCAAAACAACAAACACAACACCCACCAAACAACACACAAACAAAACACCCAAACAAAACAAAACCCCCACACAACCCAAACAACAACACAACCCACACAACCCACCACAACCCTCACAAACCAAACAACCCACACAACCCTACAAAACCACACAACCCCACCCAACCCCACACAACCCCCAACCCCCCAACCAACACCACCAACCAAAACACACCCACCACACCACAACTATACCACAACCCCACCACCCACCCACACCACCCCCAACCCCACAACTAACACACCCCCCACCCCCCCCCTACCCCAACCCAAATAACCACAACATCACCCTTAACACACCCACCTCCACACCACCCACACCCCAAACACTAAAAACTACCATCTCCATCCATTTAAAACAAATCTCCCTATCTTTCCCTATACCCACTCCCCACTCCCACCCACCCATCCCCTTCCATCCCATCAACCTCCACTTCCCCCATCTAACCCCTACCTCAACCTATATACAACAACCCTACTCACCACTCTTCCATTCTCAAACCCCATACCCCATCCTCCTCATCATTATTCCCCCTACAACTACTCACCCCTACCTAAAACTACCACCTACCACCCAACACAAACCTCTCCACCACATACCACCCATAAATCCAAACAACCATAATAAAACCCCAAAACATATACCCTTCCCCCATACCCCTCCCACCCCTACCCACCCCCCCAACATCTTCCCCCTCCCCCCTCTATACCCCTCCCACTCCCCCCATACTCCATCCTTATTTCCTCATTCACATCCTAACTTACCTCATAACTTATATCCTCTCTATATTTCTCCTATTCCTCTCACCCCTCCCTACCACTACCATACCTTCCCTCAACAAATACACTCCCCCAACCACCATCTCCCACCCTATAGCCTCCTCCCAACATTACCACACCACCACCACCACCCCCCACTCACCACACCCCACATCATCCTTCCCAAAACCTCACATCTCCTATTAAATCCCCTAAAAAAACCTTATCAAAATCCCCAAATCTATCCCCTCCACAACAAAAAACTCCCCATACCCCCCCCTTCCCCCCCCCAACCCTCACCACAAATCAAACCACATCCCCCACCCCCTAATAAACAACCAATACCCTAACTATCTCACTAATCCCACTCCCCCTCACCAAACCCCACCCCCCATTAATCCCTCCCACCTCTCCCCCTCCTCATACATAACCCCTTCCACACTCCTCCCCTCTCCCAAAATCTCATCCAAATATCATCAAACTATCCCCCCACCCCCCACAACCCCAATAACCAACACCCCCATCACCCACCATCAAATCCAACACAAAAATCATTCCCCAATAATTCCCAAACACCTCCCCCCCCCCCACCCCCCACCCACCCCCCCCCCCTCACCACCCCACACCCACCAACCCCACTCCATCCTCTATATCCCCAAATCTATATATATATATATACCTATTTATCCATATATACCTTATCTAAATATATATATATTATATATATGACCTTAATCTCATATCTAACTATCTATTTATCTTATTATATATCCTATTTATCCATTTATATCCAATATTATAAAGATCTTTTTTCTATATAGATACATTTTTATCAATTTTTATCAATCTCTTACTTATCAATACATATTTCATATCTTTATATTCATTTATCCTTATATATATTTACAATATTTAATTTCTTTCTTTATTCTATATCAATATCTATATTACTATTTCATATATATATATATTTTCATATTTCAATTTCTTTCGATGTATATATCCCCCCCCCACTACATTTCACATATTACTTCCCCCCTACTATTTCATACTTTTATTACCACCCCTACTCTTTTCTCATATGATTCCCACCCGTCCACTTCTACACCTTATCTTGACCACCCAGTACCTCACGGTATCTGTTATTACCACCCCTTTCCTCTGGTTCACTTTTTAGGACCACCCAGTCCTCTGTACACATATCTTACCCCCCCCCCCTACAATTACAATATCCTCCCCCCCCCTACACATTACCAACATATTAACCCTACTTACAATAATCTCTTAACCTACAAAACCCCAACAACCACCACACCAACACCACACACCAACAATTATTCTATCTCTCCCCCATCCCCCCCCCCCCCTACCCCCAACCCCTAACATATACAATTAATATCACCCATCTCACACACCCACCCACCACACCCCCACCCAACCACACCACATCACTAATCAAACTACAACAAAACCCCCCACAAACCCCCCCCCCAACAAAAACAAACTAACCCCAACCCACACCCCCCCACAACCAAACAACAACCCAACAACCACACACCCAACATCCCCCAAACATAAAACACCCACAACCACATACCCAACAATAACCATCACCCATCCTCCTCATAATATTCCCACCTACAAAACTACCTCACAACCCAACTAAAAATACACCCACAACCCCCCTACCAAAAAACAACAAATACACCAAAACCAAACAAAAAATAACACCAACACCAAAAACCCTCCATCCCCTCCCCCCCCCCTACCCCCCCCCAAAATTCCCTCCCCTCTCAAACCCTTCCCCACTCACCCCCCATATCCATCCCTTATATCCTACATTCACTCCTACTTCCCTCCTAACTTATATCCATCTCTCCATATTTTCTCCTAATTCCTCTCACCCTCCCATACACACACAAACCTTCCCTAACAAATCCACTCCCCAACACCCCCTCTCCCCCACCCCTATATCTCTTCCCCTTCACCACCACACCACCACCACCCCCACCACCACAACCACCCATCCTCCTTCAAATCAAATCTCCTATTAAATCCCTATTAAAACCTATCAAATCCCCCCCCAAATCTATCCCATCAACAACAAAAAACTCCATAACCCCCCCCCTTTCCCCCCCCAACCCTCACACAAATCAAACACATCCCCCCCCCTAAATAAAACCCAATACCCTATAATCTCACAAATCCCAATCCCCCCTCACCAAACCCCCCACCCCCATTAATCTCCTCCCCCCCTCTCCCCCTCTATAATACCCCCTTCCCCACACCCCTCTCCCCTCTCAAAACTCATCCAAATATCATCAAATATCCCCACCCCCCCCAAACCCCCAATAACCCCCAACACCCCCATCACCCCCCATCCAAAATCACACCACCAAAATCATTCCAAATAATTTTTTCCCAAACAACCTCCCCCCCCACCCCCACCCCACCCCCCCCCCCTCACCCCCCACCCCCAAACCCAACCACCCCACTCCATCTCTACTATCCCAAATATCTATATATATATATACCTATATATCCATATTCTTACTATCTATATAATATATCTATCTATAATATATCCATATCTATCTATACATATTTCCCTATTATCTATCCATAATATCTCCATATCTATTATATATCCATATCTATCTCATACATATATCATTATCTATCTATACATATATCCCATATCTATCTATACATATATCCATATCTATCTATATATCCATATCTATTATACATATATCCATATCTATCTATACATATATCATATCTATCTATACATATATCCATATCTATCTTATATATGTATATCTATCTTACATATATCCATATTTAACTATCTATACATTAATCCATATCTATCTATTACATATATCATATCAATTATACATATATCCATATCTATCTATCTATAATAAATCCAAATCTATCTCTCTATAATAATCCATATTCTATCTATAATCTATCCATATCTAAAATAATTACAATATAACCTATTCTATCTATTTACTATATCATATCTCACTATCTAATACATATATATATCAATCCATACATATATCATCTCTCAACTATAATATAACATATTCTATTATACCATATATCATTATTATACCCATATATCTATCATATCTATTAAAAATATATCCATATAACTCCTATACTATATCCATACTCTCTCTAATCTATACATATATCATATCTATCTATACATATATTCCATCTCTATTCTATACATTATCACATATCTATCTAATACATATATCATATCTATCTATACTATATCCATAATCTATCTATAATAATCCAAATCTATCTATAATATATCCTAATCTATCTATACATATATACTAAAACCCTCATCAAAACCCACCCCATCACTAACTATATTACTCTTATTCCCACAAATATCCCTCTTCCCCAATTCCCCTCTTCCCCAATAATTACACAATTCCCCCCCCACCTTACCCTCCCCCCCAAAACAAATTAACACAAAAACACTATTCACCTATATCACCCAAAATATACAATAAACCACCTTTACAATATACCCCCCTACCTTCTCCCATTTTAATATCTATCCCCCCTCCCCCCCCCCTTCTCCCCCTCCCAACCACCACACCACACCACCACATCATTATTCATTTATCTTCCCACCCTACCAATAACCATATCTTCCCCCTACCACATACTTCAATATCTTTCCCCCCAAACATACACATATATTTTCCCCCCTACCAATTACAATATCTTCCCCCCTCAATTAAATATACTACCTCACAATAATCTCTTACACCTACAAAACCCAACAACACACACCCACCCCACCAAACCACAACATAAAATTCTATCTCTCCCCATCCCCCCCCACATAACCCCAATACCCCTCAACTATCAATTACATATCCTTCTACACACCCACCCTCAACCAACCCCCCACCAACCACACCCTTCCTTTCCTATTCAAACTAATCTAATACCCATCATTCAACACCAAATCTCCTATCTTCCTATCAACCACTCCCCCTCCCCACCCCACCCCATCCCCTTCCCATCCCATAACTCCACCTCCCCATCTAACCCCTTACCTCCACCTCTTCCTACCAAAAAACATAATAACCCACCTCTTACATTCTCTAACCTCATCTCAACATCCTCTCCCATATTATTCCCCACTACAAACTACCTCAACCCTACATAAATCCATACCCACCCCTACATACCACACCAAACTCTCACCACTTACCACCCTAAACCAACAACGATTAACATAAAAAACCCACACCACATATACCAACTCCCCTTACCCCTCCCACACCCCAGATCCCCCAACCCCCCTCCCATTATTCCCTCCCCCCTACCATACCCCTTTCCCACTCCCCCCCATACTCATCCTTATTTCCTTCATTCAATACTTACCTCTAACTAATATCCTCTTCTATCTTTCTCTAATTCTCTCACCCCCTCCCATCACACCCACATACTTCCCTAACATATACACACCCAACCACCCTCTCCCCACCCTATAATCCCCCTCCCTCACTCACCACCACCACCACCAACCACCCAACCACCACAACACACCAACATCTTCCAAAACCTCAAATCTCAATCTAAATCCTATAAAACCTTATCAAATCCCCCCAAATCCTATCCCCTCCACAAAATAAATCACATACCCCCCCTTTTCCCCCCCAACCATCCACCACAACAAAAACCAATTTTCCCCCCCAAAATAAACCCACCACACAAAAACCACACACTAATAATAATAATCTCTCTCATTACTCCCCCCCATTAAAAAACCTATTTTACCCTATCTTCAACTACAAACCAAATTATCCCAATTATAAACCCCACTAAAACCCCATCCACAAATCTATTTTCCAACCCATAATTTACCCAAATCCCCCCATTCTCTCAAACCCCACATCCCCATCCTTCATACCCTATCTACAAACAACAAAAACAAAACAACAACATCAACAACACTACAATAACCCCCCAAATCTAAATCACTATACATCCAATATTACACCCCACCTCCTATCCAAACCTACTTCATCACCTAAAATACACACACCCATCACCCCTCACACAACCCCACCATCAACCCACATCTAACCCTACAAACCCTCATTATCCATTAACAATATATAAACACTATACCACATCTAAAAATTAAATTCCCCCAATTTAATCACTATATCATATATCTACCTATTTCCCTTATACCCAAATCCCCCCTCACTATAAACCCCCCTCCAACCACCCTACCCTCTATTCTTCCTCTACTTACACAACAACCCTTCTCCTAAACCTCATATCTTTCCTCCCCATCAAACCACATCACCACCCAACAAAACCCCCCTCTTTCCTTTACAATCTCCTAATCCTACAAATCTTCACAACCCTTCTCACCCTCTTAACCTAATCCAATACCACACCATATATACATCTTCACCTCCTTTACTTTCATTACCTATCATATCATTTTTCATAATCACATTACTCCATCCCACCATACCTCTATCTCCCCTCCCCTATACCCTCTCCACCTTCCACCCTCCAACACTAATAATACCTACTAAATACTACCACAAACAAACACACCTCCAACCCCCTCCCTCTTACCCCCTCTTAAACCCCAATAACCAAAAAAATTTCCAAATACACACCACCCCCTCCTCATTTCTTACACTATAAACACTAACACTACTACCACCATTACCCCTCATCTCCCTACCCCCACAATCCATCCCCCCCTCTCCCTCTCCATTAATATTACCACCCACTCCCCTCTTTATTTATTAACCTTCTCTTCATTTATTTACCACCCTCTCCCTCTTCATTTTATTAACCTTACCCTCTTCATTCATTAAACCCTACCCCATCTTTTCTTACATCTTCTATCTTCTCTATTCATATATTTTTCATAAGTTTCCTCCCCTTTAAACCAATTAATCCTCTCAATATTCATATCCACCTATCATCCCCATTTCTCCCATCATTCCACTCTTCCTTTCTCTTCCTCCCAAATTAAACAAACCTTCTTTAAAACACTAAATTACCCCCTATATAATCAAATAACACAACAACCCAACACACACAACACCCCCCCCCACACACCACCAAACAAACCCCCCACCCACACCACTCACCCCACCCCCCCACCCACCCCCCCCCAACCCACCACACCACCCACCACCCCACCACCACCCACCCCCACCACACCCCCCCACCACCCCACCACCCCCCCCCATCCACCACCCCCAACCCACACACCACACCAAACCCACCCAACCCACCCACCCACCACCCACCCACCACCATCAACCCCCTCCCCCACCCAACCTACCCCACACCCAACCTCCCACACCCCACCATCCCCTCCACCACCCACCCCATCCCTCCCCACCACCCTCCCTCCCCCACACCCCCATCCCCCTCCCACACCCCACCTCCCCCTCCCCACCCACCCATTCCCCCCCCCCCTATTTTTCCCCCAAAAACCACCATCCCCCTCCACACCCACCATCCCCCTCCCCCACACCCATCCCCCCCACCACCCATTCCCCCTACCCCACCCACATCCCCTCCCCACACCCCATCCCCCCCTCCCACACCCTCCCCCCACCACCCATCCCCTCCCCACACCCATCCCCTCCCACCACCATCCCCCCTCCCCCCCACCCCATCCCCCACCCACCCCATCCCCCCTACCAACCCACCACCTATCCCTCCCACCACCAACCCCCCACCACACCAACCCCACACCCACCCAACCCCAACCCCCCCCCCCCCACCCCCAACCCAACCAAACAAAACATACAAACCTCAAACCAACACCAAATCAAACTTCAAACCCAAAATAAAACAAAAACCACCACCCAATCCCCCCAAAACACCCCTACCAACCCAAACCCCCCCCCCAACCATAAAAACACAAAAAACAACCCATTCCCCAATAACCTCAACAAATCAACAACCCCCCACCACACCCCCATACAACCCTAACACAAATCATCAATAAAAAAACCAACCAATACAATAAAACATACTCCCTTAAAACATAAATCCATCCCTACATCAAAAAAACATTCCCACTCCCTCCTTTACCCCTTACTCCCCCCCCCCATAAAAAAATCTACCTCCCTCACTCAACTACACACAATTTATCCCAATTATAACCCATACACCCCCCCCATCCACAACATATTCCCAACCCCCTAAATTTACCCACCCCATCCCCCCATCTCCCTCCCAACACCCCAATCCCCATCAATTCCTACTAATCTAACCACAACAACAAAAACAAACAAAACAACATCAACACCAAATAAACCCACCCCTCCAAATCTATCACATATACATCCAATATCACACCCCCACCTCCTATCCACCCTACTCTCATCACCTAACAAATACAAACAACCCCATCACCCCATCACACAACCCCCACCATCAACACATCCCACACCCTAAAAAAAAATCATAACCCAAAATAAAACACTATACAACACCTACAAATAATTACCCCCTAAAATCAAAAATTCTATAACATAAATCATACCTATACCTTAAAAATCCACACTCTAACCCCCTCCCACCACCCTACTACTATTCTTCCTCTACAACCAACCCTTCTCCTAACCACAATATTTTCCCCTCCCCATCCAACCCAAACACCCACAACAAAACCTCCATAAACCTACAACTCCTATCACCAAACAACTCATCACCAACCCCCTAATCCTCACCCTTTACCAAATCATACCACCTAAAAATTCAACCACCTAAAACAAACCTACAATCAATTTTACCAAACCAACCACAACCCACCACCAACATCACACACACCCCCCACAAAACCACCACCATCACAACCACCACCTACCAACAACCCACCCACCCCACACACACCACCACTACCCAAACACCTCTAACCCCCTCATTACACCCAATCACCAAACAACCTTACCACACAACCACCCTATATTTATTACATAAAACAACCCTAACACTACTACCACCATTACCCCTCATCTCCTAACCCCCCCACAATCCTCCCTCTCCCTCTACCATTTATTTACAACCCCTCTCCCCCTCTTCATTTAATCACTCACCAACTACAATTATAAACCAAACCCACTTCAAATTATTAACCCCCAACCACAACAAATAATCCCAACTCCTACAACATTTCTTACCCCACACCATATATTATTATACCACCTCTCCTTTCATTTAAAAACCCCTCTCCCACTAACATTAAATTATCCCCCCCTCCCCACCACAACCCCCACCACCCCACCACACACCACCCCCCCCCCAAACCTTCCCCCAACCCACCCCAACCCACCCCCCCCCACCCACCACCCCCCAAACCCACCCCCCCCCACCACCCCACCCACCCCCACCACCCACCCACCACCCCCCCCACCCCATACCCCCCCCCCACCCACCCACCACCCACCCAACCCCCCCACCCCCCCCACCCCCACCCACCCACCCCAACCCCCCACCCCCCCACCCCCCCACCCCAACCCCTAACCAACACAAAACAACAAACATAAAACAATCACAAATAAACATCATACAAAAAACTAAAAAATTAATCCACCCAATCCCCCCAAACCCCACCCCCCTACCACAAACCCCTACCATAAAAACACAAAAACCATTCCCCTATACTCCACATAAAATCATAAAACACCCTCCCTCCCCAACAACCTTACACAAAACATCAAATCAATAACATAAACCACCTAATAACAATAAAACAAACATACCCATAAAAACATTTATCCCTACATCAAATAACACATTCCCCACATAACCCTCCTAACCCTTCACTCCCCCCCCATAAAAAAACCTCTCCATCCACTCTACCAATACCCAAACCAAATAAATCCCAATTATAAACCAATACCCCCAATCCACAATAATTCAACCCCAAAATAACCCACCCCATCCCCCCCCAAACCACCTCCAACCCACACCCCTCCATTCCTCACACAAAACCCCAAACACAACCAACAACCACCCACACCAACAATCCAACACCACCACACAACCACCACCAACCAAAAACAAATCCAACCAAAACCCCCCACCACCCAACCCCCCACCACACCACAACACACAAAACCCCCAACCCCCACCACCCCCACCCCACCCAAACACATCCACACTCACCCACTACTCATAACCCAAAAAAACACCACAACAAACCAACAATTCAATACCTAATCTAAATTAAATCCAAAACACAACAAAACCCAAAACCAAAACCCACACTCACCCCCCCACCCACACCCCACCCCCACAAACAACCACAACACCCACCCAACACACCACCCAACAACAAAACCCACCCCCCACCCCCACACCCCCAACCCCCCCCCCACCAAAAAAACAAACACCTATCAACCACCCACCAACAATTCCACAAACCCCTACCCACCTCCATACAACCAAATCATACCACCAAATTAACCACTATCACCTCCTCCCAAATAAACCCCCCCAATCCCAACAAATCAAATTACCCCACACATAACACATACCAACCTTCACATACCACCCTACACTACCTACCCCTCACCCAACAAATCCAAACACACACCAACACACACCAACCAAAACAACACACACACAACAACCACAACTCACCCCCTCTAAAACCCCCCAACCCAAAAACCAAAACCCCAAAAACCCACCCACCACCATCAATTACATTCACACATACTACCCCAACACTACCTACCACAAAACCCCACCATTCTCCCCACAAAACACACCCCACCACAACAAACAACCCCACCCTCACACAAACCAAAAACCCACACACCACAACCAACAACCCCCACACACAAACCAAACAACCCCCACACCAAACCAAAAAACCCCACACAAACAAACAACCCCCACACCAAACCCCAACAACCCAACCCCAAACACCAAACAACCCCACACCACAACACAAACAACACCCCACCCCCCCCCACCCACCCCCCCCCACCACCCCCCACCACCCCCCCCCACCACCCCCCCCACCACCCCCCCCCAACCCACCCCCCCCACCACCCCCCCACACCCCCCCACCCCAAACCCCCCCCACCCCACCCCCCCCCACCCACCCCCCCCCCCCACCCACCCCCCCCCCCACCCCAACCCCCCCCCCACCCCACCCCCCCCCCCAACCCCCCCCCACCCACCCCCCCCCCACCCACCCCCCCCCACCCACCCCCCCCCACCCAACCCCCCCCCCACCCCACCCCCCCCACCCCAACAACCACCCAACCCCCACCCCCCCCCCAACCCCCACCCCCCCCCCCCCCCCCCAACCCCCCCAACCCCCCCCACCCCACCCAACCAAACCAACACACCCAACACCCCACCCAAAAACAACAACCCAAAAAAACCTACAAAAACCACACCCCAACCCCCACACCCACCCCAACACCAACCCACCCACCACAAACACCAAAACCCCAACCCCCACAAACCACACACACCAAACCACCCTCCACCCCCCCCCACACCATAACAACAAACACACAAACATCAACCCCCAACAAAACACCACTCAAAAACCACAAAAACCAAACACCCCAACAAACACAAACCCCAAACCCCCCACAACTCCATCCCCAACCACCCCCCCCCCCCACACAACACACAAACCCACCCACACACACCTAACACCAAAACTCAATTAAAACCCAAATACCCCCCCACCACCCATCAAACCCACCCACCAATAAACCCACCACCCCCCAACCACCACAAACCCACCCCACAACACAAACACCCCACACCAACCAAAACCCCCCCCCAAAACCCCACCCAAACCCCCAACACACCACACAACCAACAAAAACCAACACCACCCCCAAAAACCACACACCACCAACCCACCCCACCAAACCCCCCCCAAAAACCCACCCATAACACAACTCCCCACCCCCCACACCTCAAATACAAAACCAACATAAAACCAAAACCAAAACCACACTACAAAACCCCTATACTAAAAATTAATAACAAATCAAAAACAACCAATAACCCCAAAACCCCACACTCACACCCCCTCCCAAACCACCTACCTCTAATATTCCCTATCTCACAACCCTTCCTAACCACCCAAAAAAACCCTACCCCCACCAACCCACACCACCCCAACCCTACCCCCTACCATTTTTATACCCATCACAATCCATACACAACAACAATCCCCCAAACCCCTACCTCAACCCCTAACCAAACCCAACCACCAAAAAAAACAACACCACCTAACCAACATAACCCCACACATAACAATTTTCATAATCACATACACCCCACCCCAACTCACCACTCACCCCTCCAAACCCAACCCCTCACCCACCCAACAAAAAAACTCCCTACAAAACCTACCTAACCACCAAACAAACACACTACCAAACCCTCCCACAAAAAACACCACCACTAATAATAATAATTCTCTCATACTATCCCAAACCAAACACCCCCCACAACCAACACCCACCAACACACCATCTTCTCCCTAATCACACCTAACTCTAAACCAAAATCCAACACCCAAACCAAACATACCAAAACCCCACACCCCTCCCCCCCCCACCAACCCCTAAACCAACCACACCCACCATCTAACCCCAACCACCACAAACACACCAAAAACCCAATCAACCCAATTCCAAACAAAACCCAAACCCCAACATATATTATTCCCACCACACACAACCACAAACCCAACACAACCAACACCAAAAAACCAAACAAACCACTACAACAAAACCCCCACTACACAACCACTAATAAAACCAACAAATACCCCCAACCAAACCTCCCACCCCTCACCCCACCCCCACCATATTCCCTCCCCCTCCAAACCCCAACCCACTCCCCCCCCATACTCCAAACCCCTTATTACCTTCATTCAATCCCAACTAACCACAAACAATATCCTCATATATATTACTAAAACCACTCACCCCCCCCACCCAAACCAACCAAACCATCCCTAACAACAACACACCACCCCCTACATCCACCCCTATATCCTCCACCCTCCTACACCACACCACACCACCACCCCACACACACACCACCCATCCTCTACCACACCCTCACATCTCCTATCTAACATCCCAAAAAAACATTCAAAACCCCCCAATCCAAACCACACAACCAAAAAACTCCCCAACCCCCCCCCTTTCCCCAACCAACACCCAAAACAAACCACATCCCCCCCCTAAATAAACAATAACCAACAATACCAACAAAAACACTCCCCCACACCACACCCCCACCCCATTACATCTCCCTCCCCCCTCTCCCCTCTCTACATACCCCTTCCCCCCACCCACTTCCCTCTCCCAAAACTCAACTATATATAAACTATCCCCCACCCCCACACCACCCCAATAACCCCCAAACACCCCCCATCACCCCCATCCAAATCCACCACAAAATCATTCCCCCAATAATTCCCAAACAACTCCCCCCCACCCCCCCCCCACCCCCCCCCTCACCCACCCCACACCCACCACCCCACTCCATCCTCTATATCCAAATCTATATATTATATATATACCTTATATCCATATTTAACTATCTATATTATTAATATATATAACTATTATCCATATATCATCATATCTACTATATATACATCTATTATCCCTCTAACTATCTATAATATATCCATATCTAACTAATCTATACATATATATATCTATCTATACATATATCAATATCAATCTAATATATCCCTATCTATCCTATAATATATCCCCATATCTAACTATTATACAAATATCATATCTAACTATCATACATATATCATATCTATCTAAACATATTATCATATTATCTATAAATATATATATCTATCTATCTTACATATATCATATTATCTATACCATATATCATATCTATCTATACATATATACCATATCTATCAATAAAATATCATATCAATCTATAAATATCCTACTATCTATACCTCTATCATTATATAACTATCTATAAATCTATCCCATAATACTATCTATACATATATCCATATCTTAACTATCTAACATATATCATATCTATCTATACATATTCCTATCTATCAATCAAATATATAACCAAATAATCACTCAATAATATAACCCCCCTACACATTAACATATTTCTTCCCCCCTACCAATAACACCAATCACCCCAACAAAAATACCAATAACATCCCCCCAACAAAAACATAACAACCCCCCCCCAAAAAAAACAAAACCCCCCACCCAACAAAACAATCCCCATACTCTAAACAAACAAACCCCCAAACAACCAACACCTCCCCACACCAACACACAAACAAACCACACCACTTTAACAACAACACCCCCCCCACCCCCAAACCCCCCCCCACCAAAAAAACAAACACAACCCAAACCCCCCCCCAACCCCCCAACACACAACACCAAAAACACCCACAACCCCCCCCCCACCCCCCCACCACCCACACAACAACCACCCAACCAACAACTCCCCAACCCCCCAAAACAAAACCAAAAACACACAAACAAACCCCACCACCCCACCCCCACACAACACCAACAACAACCCCACAAACCACCCCATCCCACACCAAACCCCCCCACCCACCCCACAACCCAACAACACCCCAACCCCCCTTAAAATACAACCCCCACCCACCACCACCCCCCAACACCAAACCACCCCAAAAACCCAACCAACACACACCATCCACAAACCCAACCAACCCAAATACACCCCCACACCAAAACCCCTCCAAACTCACCCCAACCACCCCCCAAAAACAACATCCCACCCTCATCAACCCCCAACCACACCCCCCCCAAACTCCATCCCTTATTTCTCATTCCAAACCCTACTTACCACTACCAAAAATCCTCACTATATTTCTCCTAATTCCACTCACCCCACCATCACAAACCAACTCCACACCCAAAACCTACCCCACACCCTCTCCCCACCCCCTAAAATCCTACACCCACATAACACCACCCCACCACCACCACCCCACCCCACAACCCACCAATCATCTTTCAAAACACAAATTCTTAACACACATCCCCCTATAAAACTAACACTCCCCCCAACACCTAACCCCCCCCTCCACACCAAAAAATCCCCTTCCCCCCCCCAATCCCCCACCCCATCCAACAATCAAACCACATCCCCCCCCTAAAAAAACAATCCCTAAAACTCTACAAACCCCCCACTCCCCCCCTCACAACCCCACCCAAATACAATCTCCCTCCCCTCTCCCCTCTATACATACCCCAACCACACACTCCCCTTCAAACTCAATCCAATATATCAAACTATCCCCACCCCCAAACCCCCAAATACCCACACCCCCATCACCCCCCCCATCCAAATCCCCCACCACAAAATCATTCCCACTAATTCCCAACAACCTCCCCCCCCACCCCCCCCCACCCCCCCCTCAACCCACCCCACACCCACCACCCCACTCAATCCTCATATTCCAAATTCTATAATATATATATACCCTATATATCCATATATATCATATCTTAACTATCTATATAACTATATATATACCTTTTATCCATATCTAACTATCAATATATTCTATATAAAACCTATATATTCTAATATCCATATCCTATATATCTATATATCTATATAACTATATATCCTATATCTCATTCTCACTATCCATACAAATATCATATCTATTATAATAAATACCATATCTATTATAATATCTCCATATCCAATTTCTATACATATAACCAATCTATCAAAACCAACTATCATATCTACAATCTATCCCTATATCATATCTATCTAAACTATATCCCCCCTACCAATTAACTACTTCCCCCCCACAATTACACATATCTTCCCCCCCCTACCCTATTAACCATCTTCCCCATACAATTACACTCACTTCCCCCCCCAACAAATCCACATAACAACCCCCAACAATACCCAATCTTCCCCCCCTACACATTAACATATCTTACCCCCCCAACCCAATAACCACCAAACCACCCCCCACCAATTAACACACACACAACAAAACACACCCAACCCAACAACCCCCAACACCCCAACACCAACCCCCACCCCCCCCACAAAAACACAACCCCACCCCCCCCCCAACCCCCCCACCAACCACACAATACCAAACCCAAACAAACCCCCCCACCCACACCACAAACCCCCCACAACACCCCACAACAACACAACACCACCAAAACCCCCAACAAACACACAAACCCCCCAAACACCACCACACCCCACCCCCACCAAAACAAAACACCCCTTCCCCAACACCAACCCACCCCAAAAAAACACCACAAAACCCACTTCCCAACAACCACACCCCAACATCCAACCAAAAACCCCACTACACCACCACACCCCAAAAACCCACCCCAACACCCCAAACCCCACCCAACCAAACCCACACCAACACCCCACAAACCATAATAACACCAACACACAACCCACACCATACCCACCCCCCTACCCCCCCACAAAAACACCCCACTCTACCAATCCACTCCCCCCCCAATATCATCCCCTCAATACCACCTACCAACCTACAAACATAAACATAAACCACTCACAAAAACACTAAACAACCCCCCAAACAACACAAACCTCCAAACAAATACCACCCCCAACACCCCTCTCCCCCCCCAATAACCACCACCCTCATTACCACACACCACCAACCCCCCCACCCCCCCCCCCCCCCCCCCCACCCCCCCCCACACAACCCACCCCACTCCATCAAAACCACACAACACCAAAACAAAAAAAACACCATAACCAAATCCCAAAACCCACCCCACCCCCACCCAAAACACACCCCATACCCCCCCCTATCCCCCCAACCCTCCACCACAATCAAACACAATACCCCCCCCCCCAAAAAAACAAACAAACAAAAAATCTACACATCCCATCCCCCCCCCAACCAAACCCACCCAATACAACACCACCCCCCTCCCCCTTAAACAAACCCCCCAACCCACACACCACACCCACTCCAAAACACCTCAAATACCTCAAACTATCCCCCACCCCCCAAACCCCCAATAACCCACACACCCCCATCACCCCCCCCCATCCACTCCCACCACCAAACACAAACCCCCAATATCACAACAATCCCCCCCCCCACCCCCCCCCCCCACCCCCCCCTCACCCACCCCACACCCACCACCCCCTCCATCCTCTATATCCAAATCTATATATATATATATACCTATATAATCCATATCTAACTATCTATATATCCATATCTATCTATCATATATTCATATCTTTAATACATACTATCCCATCCTATCTATCATAATATATCAATATCTATCTAATATCATATCTATCTAAAATATATCCATATCTATCTATACATATATCCATATCTATCTATACATAAACCATATCTATTCAAACTATAATATCCCATATTATCTATAATATATCCACTTATCTATCTTATACATATATCCATATCTATCTATACATATATCAAATCAATCTATATATCTATAACAAAATTCTATCTATACATATATCATATTCTAACTATCACTAAAATATATATCTATCTATAATTATATATCTATCTATAATACTATCCACTATCATAATCTAACTCTAATATTCCAAACTATCTATCCACTCCAACTATCATATCTATCTAACATCTATCCCATCTCTAAAATCTCTACAAATAACATATTCTCTATCAAACCATATATCCCTAACATCACTATCTAAATATATCCACATCCTATCCATACATAAATACATTAACAAAAATTATCCATATCTATCTATAAAATACCAAATACTCTCAACAAAACACATCACACTCTATCAACCCAACTACAAAACACACAAAAAAAAACAAAAAACAAAAAACATTAACTAACACACACAACCATAAACAACACACAAAACAAACACACACACAAACAAAAAACAAAAACACACAAAAACACAACACACACTCACAAAAAAAAAACAAAACAATCATCACATACAAAAAAAAAAACACCACACCACAACAACCCACACCCCACACCAACAACACAACAACCCCCCACCCAAATCACACAACCCAACAAACCCCAAAACAAAACCCCAAAACCCACCCAAAAACATCTAAACCCCAAAAACACAACCCAACAATCCAAAAACACCCCCCACCAAAAAACCACAATCCCTCCCTACCAACTTTATAATATCAAACCACCACCATACATCCCCCCACAACAAACAAAATAACATAAAACTATCCCCACCTACACTAACAATATTACCCCAACAAATTAAAAAATCATTCCCCAAACATACAATATCTTCCCCCCCCCTACCACATAACACATATCTTTCCCCCTAATTAAATATATCTACTCACATAATCACATATAACTCAAAAACCAACATCCACACACCACAACCACAATCCCCAACATATATTCTAACTCTACCCCATCCCCCCCCCCCCCCCCACCCCAATACCCTAACAACACCATAATAACCCATATCACACCCACCCTCAACAACCCCCACCAACCAACTCATCTCCTCATCAAATCCATCTACATCCCCATTTCAACACCAAATCTTATCTTTCCCCCACACACCCCACTCCCCTCCCCCACCCCACCAATCCCTATCCATCCATAAACTACTCCCCCCATCTAACCTACCTCCAACCCTATCACAACAAAAAACCCTATCAAACTCCAACATAACCCTCACCCATCCTCCTCCAATCATTATTCCCACCTACAAACTACCTCAACCCTCCTAAAATACCCCACCCCTACCATACCAACACCAACCTCTCCACCAATACACCCACTAAACAAACAACCATACATAAAACCCACACACTTATACCCCCTCCCCATACCTCCCACCCCCCTTCCCCCAACCCACCAAATTTCCCCCTCCCCTCCCTACCCCTTCCCCACTCCCCCCCATACTCCATCCCCCTTTATTTCCTCCATTCACATCCTACTTACTCTAACTTATACCACCCACAATAAAACCTACTATTCCTAACTCCCCCATCCAAACACCAATACCAACCAAACAAAAACACACCCAACACCCTCACCACCCTAAAATCCCCCCACCCTCACTCACCAACCACCCCACCACCCCCACCAAAACCCCAACATCCTTCCAAAACCATCAACTCTCCTATTAAATCACTAACACTTATCAAATCCCCCCCAAATCTATCCTCCCAACAAATACTCCTCATACCCCCCTTACCCCCCCCCCAACCCACACCAACAATAAACCATCCCCCCTAAATAAACACCCCAAAAAAAAACCCAACTAATAATAATAATCTTCTCATTACTCCCCCCATTAAAAAAACTCTACCCTCCCTCTTCACTACAAACCAAATTATATATTTAACCCATACACCCCCCATTCCAAACATATTCCCAACCCCTAATTTACCCCACCCCATCCCCCCCATACCCCCAAACCCAACCCATCCATTCCAATAATTAACCACAACAACAAAAAAAACAACAACAACAACATCCCAACCACTAATAACCCCCAAATCTATAATATACATCCAATAAAACAACCCCACCTTAACAACCTACTTACATCACCTAACAATACAACAAACCCATCCACCCCTAAAACCCACCATACCACCCTCTCCCCTACACCCTCATTATCATTACCATATATAACACTATAAAATCTAAACATTAAATACCTATTCTAAATCTTATCCTATATCTAAATCCTTTAACAAATCCCCCTACTTAACCCCCTCCCAACCACCCTACCTACATTCTCTCTTTAAAACCTTCTCCTAACCCTCATATCTTTCTCCCCCATCAACACATCACCCACCAACAAAACCCCCCTCTTTTCCCTTTCTACAATCTCCATATCCCTCACCAACACTCTTTCACCCAACCCCCCTTCTCACCTCTTACTAATCTACCACCATATATAATCTTTTACCTACTTATTTCCATTTCCCCTATCTCAAATCATTATTATAATACATTACACAAAATACTCACATCTCCACTCTAAACCTCATACTCCACCCTCATACTACCATACATACCTACTAAATACCCTACAAAACAAACTAAACTCCAAACCTCCTCTACCCCCCCTCTTAAACCCAATACCAAAAAAAATTCAAATAAACCACCCCCCTTTCTCATTATTTTACACAATAACACTAACACTACTACCACCATTACCCCTCATCTCCTTACCCCACAATCATCCCCCTCTCTCTTCCATTTATAAACCTCCTCTTCATTTCTAACCACCCTCTCCTCATTCATTTTATTTAACCCCTCTCTCATACATTTATTAACCTCTCCTCTTCATTCATTACCACCCCCTACCCCTTCCTTCTTCTTTCTTACTTCTCATCTTCTCTATAAAATTCTATTTATCAATATCTCCCCCCCCTTTAAACCTAAATCCTCCCCTCATTTACATTTATCCCCCTTCTACCCCCCCATTTCCCATCATTCCCACTCTTCCTTCTCTCCCACCCTCCCCATATTTTACAACCCATCTTTTTATAATCCTTTTCCCCCCATAATAACTTTTATCATAACCATCCCCCTTCTCTATAACCACACCCCCTCCTATCCACAAATTTCTATCCCCACTCCCATCCTCTCTTCCCCCCCTCCACCACCCATCCCTCCACCCACCCATCCCCTCCACCCCACCATCCCTCACCCACATCCCCTCCAACACCCATCCCTACACATCCCTCCACCACCCCTCCCTCCACCCACCCACCCATCCCCTCCACACCATCCCCTCACACCCACAACCCATCCCCTCCCCCACACACATCCCCCTCCCACCACCATCCCCTCCCAACCCATCCTCCCCCTCCCAACAACCCATTCCCCCCTCCCCACCCACCACCCCATCACCCTTTCCCACCCACCCACCCCATCCCCTCCCCACCACCCACCCCATCCCCCCCTCCCCACCCACCCATCCACCTCCCCCACCCACCCCATCCCCCCCATCCCCACCACCCACCCCATCCCCCTACCACCCCACCCCTCACCCTTCCACTCACACCCCATCCCCCCCCTCCCCACCACACACCCCCTCCCCTCAACACACCAATCCCCACACACCCCATCCCCCCTCCCCCCCCCTCCCAATCCACCCCTACACCTCCATCCCCCACTACTCACCTCACCATCACCCCCACACTCACCTCCCACAGTAACACTCCCACCCTTCACACCGCCTCCCTCACATGCCCCCTACCCCAACCCCACCCCATCCCCCCCCCACACCCCATCCCCCCCTCAACCCCAACAACACCCACCCCCCACACCCCACCACCCCCCCCCCACCCCCCCCCCCCACCCCAACCCCCCCCCCCCCCCCCCCAACCAACCCCCACAACAAACAAAACCAACACAAAAAAACAATCATCCACTAAAACAAACCCAACCACCCCCCCCACCCCCCCCCACACCCCCCCCCCCCCCACCCCCCCCCCCACCCCACCACCCCCCCCCCCCCCCCAACCCCCACACACCACCACCCCACAACACCCACCCAACCCCCCCAATCACACCCCAACCAAAACACAAACACAAAACCACCACCACCCAAACCCCAAAACACCACACCACCAAAAACCCAACACCCACCCACAAATCACACCAACCCCCACAACCCCACCCATACCCCCAACTCCCCCCCCCACAAAAAACACAACCCATCCAACTAACCAACCACCAAAAAAATCAATTATAAACCCAACCCACCCCCCATCCAAACATAAACAACCCCCCCTCCAAAACCCACCAACCCCCCAAACCTACCCACCCCACCCCATCCCCAATCATAAACCTAACATAACCAACACCCCACCCCAACAACAACAACAACAACCCACAATAAACCAACCCATCCCCAAAACACATAAAAATACATCACTATACACCCCCACCCTCTAATAACCTATCACACTCATCCACAAACCATACCCACAACCCCATACCCCCCTCTCCAAACCCACCCAAAAACCCCCAATCCACCACAACCATTAACACACACAAAAAACCAAAAAAAACCTAAAACAAAAAAAACCCCTAATTCTAAATCATACAATATCCAAAAATCTACCTAAACCATTTACCAAATCCCCCTCTCTAAACCCCCCCCCCACCACCCTCACCCCACTATTCTACCTCTACTAACAACCCTATCTAACCCTATCCCTATCTTTCCCTACCCCAACAAAACCAATACCACCCACCCAACAAAACCCCCTATCTATCCCTACCTACTAATCTCCTATACCCTACAACACCACAATCACTCCCCCAAACCCCCTACACACCACTTTACCTACCTCATACCACATATATATTTACTCCTTACCTTTCCCATTACCTATCATATCTTTTTCACAATAATTTACTCCATAACCATCACCATCTCATCACACTCTATACCTCTCACTCCAACTCCCCATCACTAATACACTACCTACAAAACTACATACCACAAACAAACACACATCCAACCCTCCCTCTACCCCCCATTACAACCCCCAATAACCAAAAAAAATTTCCCACATAAACCACCCCCACCCTCTCATTTCTTACACTAACTACCCCAAAACTACTACCACCATTAAAACCCCTCCATCTCCGTCACCCCCACACATCCATCCCCCTCTCCCTTTCCATTTCAAAAAACAACCCACATCCCCATCATAAAAACCCCACAACACAACAAAACAAACCCCCCCCTCACCCCACATCATAATAACCCCCCACTCCACAACAAAAAAACAAACACCCACAACCCAAAAATCCCCCCCCACACCCAAAAACAAACACAAAACCCACACCAAACCAATAAAACCCACCCACAACCACACAAACAAAACCACCCCCCCCACCACCCCCCACCCACCACCCCCCCAACCAACCCCCCCCCAACCCAACCCCCCCCACCCCCACCCCCCCCCCCACCCCCACCCCCAACACCCACCACCCCCCCCCCCCACCCCCCCCCAACCCCCCCCCCACCCCCACCCACCCCCCCCACCACCCCCCCCACCCCCCCCCCCCCACCCACCCCCACCCCCCCCCCCCCCCCACAACCCACCACCCCCCCCACCACCAAACACAAACCAACAAAACCAACCAACCCCAAAAACAAACCAAAACCCACCACCCCCACCCCCCAACACACCCCCACCCCCCAACCCCCAACAAACAACCCCCCCACCCCCAACCCCCAAACCACACCAACACAACCCCACACCCCCCCCCACCACCCCAACCACCCACACACCACAAAACCCCCCCCCCACCACCACCCCACAACCCAACCCAACCAACCCCCAAAACACCCAAAACAAACAAACAATCCCCAACCCACCAAACCAACACCCCCCCAACACACCCCCCACACCCCAACCACAAACACAACAAACCACATAAAACACTACTACCCCCAACCCCCCCCAATCCCCCCCAAAAAAACAACCCCCCTCAAAAACCCCCCCCTCCCCCCCCTACACCAACCCACCCCCATACCCCAAATCTACCCAATCTCACCAAAACAACAAAAACACAACAACAACATCAACACCAAAACACACACAAAACACATCAACAATCCAACCAAACATACACCCCCACCTATAATCCAACCAACCCTACACACAACACTACAAAACAAAACCCCATACCCCCTCACACACCCACCAACCCACCACCCTTCCTCACAAAACCCCAAAACACTTAAACCAAAATAAAACCAAAAAAAACCATCCAAACTTACTAATTCCTATTCTCCAAACAACATATCCATAAAACAAAAAAATCCCCAAAAAACAAAACCAACACACACCCCCCCACCCCCCCCACCCCCACACAACATCCACAACACACCCCAACACCACCCCCACAACACAAACCCCACCCCCACCACCCCCACCCCCCCACCCTCACCCCCACCAAAAAAACACACACCTAACCACCCCCAACAAACCACCCCCCCCCAACACAAAACCCCAACACCACCCCCCACACACACAACCACAAAAAAAAACTAACATAACAAAAAAACACACCCAACCACCCTCCCCACCCACACAACCACACACACCCACAACACCCCCCACCCACACACACCCCCCCACCACACACCCTCCCCCCCCCCCCCCCAACCCCACCCACCCCCACCTCACCCCCAAACCCCCCCCACCCCCCCACCCAAACCCCACCCACCCCCCCACACAAACAACCAACCAACCCCAAACACACCTCCCCCCAACCCCACCACACAACCCCCCAAACCACCCCCACACCACAAACCAAACAACCCCACACACAACAAAACAACCCACACACACATCAAACAAACACACCCCACAACAAAAACAACCCCACACCAAACAAATCAACCCCACACCACAACAAAAAAACCCCACACCAAACAAACAACCCCCCACACCAAACAAACAACCCCACACCAACAACCAAACAAACACCCACCCCCCCCCCCACCCACCCCCCCCCACCCCACCCCCCCCCCCACCAACCCCCCCCCCCCCCACCCAACCCCCCCCCCACCCACCCCCCCCCCCCCCACCCCACCACCCCACCCACCCCCCCCACCACCCCCACCCAACCCACCCCCCAACCCACCACCCCCCCATCCCAACCCCCCCCCCACCCACCACCCCCACCCAACCCAACCCCCCACCACCCCCATCCCACCCACCACCCACCCCCCCCACACCACCCACCCAACCCTCCCACACCCCCCATCCCCCTTCCCACCCACCCAACCCCCTCCCCACCACCCCCCCCCTCCCACACCACCACCCACCCACCCCCACCACTCCATCCCCTCCCCACACCACCCATCCCCAACCCCCCCCACCCCCACCCCCCCCCCACCCCACCCACCCCAACCCCCCCCCCCCCCACCCAACCCCACACCAACCCACACCACCCCCACAACACCAAACCAACAAATACATTCATAAAATTAATACAAAAAATAACCTCCACCCAATCCCCCCAAATCCCACCCCTACAACAAACCCCCTACCAAAAAACCACCAAAATACACCTTTCCCCAAAAACCACAAAAATCCAAAACCCCCACCCCACCCCACCCACCCACCACACCAAACACAAACAAAAACCACCAACAAAAAAAAAAAACCCAAACATCCTAAACCCATACACCACCACAAAAAACCTTACCCCTACCCACCCCCAAACCAACCACCCCCCCACCCCCCCCAACCCACCACACACCCCCACCCACCACACAACAAAACCCCCCACCCCCCCCCACCCCCCCTAAACCCCCCCCACCAAAACCCCCCCCACCCCCCAAACCACCACCCCCCCCCCCCCCCCCCACCCAACAACAACCCCCACACACCCCACCCACCCCCCAACCCACAACCACCACACCCCCACAACCACACCAAATCACCACCAAAAAAACCACCACACACCACCCCCCCCCCCAACACCCACACACCACACCCCACACCCAACCCCCCCCACCCAACCACCCCCCCCCACCCACCCCCCCCACACCACACCCACAACACAACCCCCAAAAACACCCAACAACACCAAACCCAAACAACCACAACACCCAACAACACCAAAAAACAAAACCAAACACCCAACCCACCACAAACCCCACCACCCCCAACCCCCCATCAACAACCTACTACAACACACCCACACCTCACCAACCACACAACCCACCCCCAACCCCACCCACACCACCCACAACCAAACCCCCACCAAATAAAACCACAACACTAACCACCCCACAACAAACCCCAACCACCCCAACACCCACCCCCAACCCACCACCACCCCCCCAAAAACCAAAACCACATCCCCCAATAAAAACCACAACACCAAAACAAAAACAACACCAACCCACCCAACCTCACCACACCACCACACAACAACACCCACCCAACACCAACAACCCAAACCCACCCACCCCCACCCACCCAAACACCACCCCAACACAAACCAACACAAAACAACACACAACCAACCCCCAAACCCACCCCCCCACCCCCCCCCCCCCCCCCCAACAACACCACCCCCCCCCCAACACACCACAACACCCCCCACAACCCCCCCCACACACACAAACACACCCCACCCACCCCCCCCCCCCCCCCCACCAACCCCACCACACACCACCCCCACACCCAACACCCAACCAACCCCCCCACCCACACACAACCAACAACCCCACCCACAACACAACAACCCCCACCCCCCACCACACCCCACCACCACCACCCCCACCACCCCACCCCCCCAAACCACCCCACCCCCCCCCCACCACCCCCCCCCACACCCCCACCACCACCCACCCCCCCCCCCCACAACCACCCCACAAACCCCAACCCCACCCCCCCACACCACAACAAACCACAACACAACCAACCAACCCAACACACCACAACACAAAACACCAACACACCCCCACCCACCCCCCCACCCAACACCCCCACCCACCCCCCCCCCCAAACCCCCAAACACACACCCCACAAACCCCCCCCCCCCCCCCCCCCCCCCCCCCCCCCCCCCCACCACAAACCCCCCACCCCACAACCCAACAACCCCAACACCCCACCCCCCCACCACACACACCCCCCCCCCCAACCCCACCCCCCCCCAAACCCCCCCCAACCCCCCAACCCCCACCCCCCCACCCACCCCCCACACCACCCCACACCCCACCACCCCACCCCACCCCCCCCACCCCCAACCACACCACCCCACACCCCCCACACAACCAACCCCCCACCCCCCCACACCCACACCACCCCACAACCCCACAACACCAACCCCCCCCCCCCCCCCCACCCCCCCCCCCACCCCCCCACCCACCCCCCCCCACAACCCAAACAACCCACACCACCCCCCCACCCCCCCACCCCCCCACCCCCCCCAACCCCACCCCCCCCACCAACCAACACACCACCACAATCAAACACAAACACCCCAAAAAAACCAAAACTAACTAATAACTAACTAATATAAAACCCAAAATATACCAAAATATCCAAACAAACAATCAAACCTATATCCCCCTCTACTCTATCTATAAACACACCACACACCCTAACACACACACACAAACAAACACACCACAAACAACACACAACACCCACACCAAAACACACACCAACACCAAACACCCACAACACCAAAACACCACACACCACACCCACCCAAACACCAACACAACACAACACACACCACAACACAAACCCCCAACACCCAAACAAACAAACACACAACACACCAAACAAACACAACCACACACAACACACACACACCAAACACCCACACACACACACCACAAACCCCCCAAACACACACACAACAAACAAAACACAAAACCACACACCACACACACACCACCCCAACAACAACACACACAAAAACACACCCCACAACCCACAACAACCACACACCACACAACACACCACAAACCCCCACACACAAACAAACCCACACACAACACACCAAAACACCACACACCCCCCCCCCACACAACCCCACACACCCCCCCCCCAAACCCACCCAAACAACCACAAACCACACCACAACCCCACACAACCCCCTCACATACAAAACAACCACAAAACAACACAACCCCCCCCACACCAATTACCCAAAACAACCCCCAACCCCCCAAAAACACACAACCCCCCCCCCCAACCCCACAAAACCACCCCCACCAAACCCACTCCCCCCCCACACCCCAAACAAACCCCACCCCCACCCACCACCCCACCCAACCCCCCCCCCCCCCCACACCAAAAACACACCCCCACCCCCCCCCCACCCCCAAACCACCCCCCACCCACACAAAACCACACCCAAACCCCCCCCCCACCCCACCCCCCCCCCCACAACACTCCACACACCACACCACCCCACAACCCACCACAAACAAAACACACCACCCACACCCCCCCCCCCAACCAACCACCCCCACACCCCACCCCACACCCCACCCAACCACACCACACACCAAACCCCCACAACCAACAACCCACCCCACACCAAACAAAACCCCCCACCCCACACCCCCACCACCCCCAAACCACCACCCCCCCCCCCATCACCAACACCCACCACCCAACACCAAACAACCCCCACCCCAAACCCCCACAACCACCCCCAACCCCCCCCACCCCCCCCACAACACCCCACAAACCCCAACCCACCCCCCCAACACCACCAACAAACACAACCACCCTCCAACCCACCAAACCAACCTACCACACACACAAACACAAAAACCACACCCCCACCCACCCCCCCCCCCACCCAACCAACCCCCACCCCCCACCCCCCCCCCCACACCCCCACACCACCACACCACAACCCCCCCCCCCCCCCCCCCCCCCCCCCCCCCCCCCCCACACAACCCCCCACCCACACCACAACCACACACACCCTAAACCCACCCCCAACCACACCCCAACCAAACCCCCACCCCCAACCCCCATACCCCCCCCCCCACACCCCCCCCAACCCCCCACCACCCCCCACAACCCCCCCAACCCACCCCCCACAACACCACCCACCCAACACCACCCCACCCAAACCACACCCACCCCCACACCCACACAACCAACCCCCAACCCCCCACCACCACCCCCTACACAACCACAACCAAAACACAACCCACACCCCCCACCCCACCCCCCACCAAAACCACCACCCCCATCCCCCCCCAACACACCCCCCACACCCACCCCACAATCAAAACCCCCCAAAAAACCCCCACCAACCCCCCCCCCCCCCCCCCCCCCCCCCCCACACCCCACCCACACCCCCACCCCCATCCAACCAACAAACCCAAACAAAAACACAACACAACTAACAAACCAACAAACAAAACAACAAACACAATAAATAAAAAACAACCTAAAAAACCCTAAACCACACAAAACTCACAATAAACCCCCCCCAAACTAAACCAAACACCAAAACAAACAAACACAAAAACACAACCACACACACCTCCAAAAACACCACAAACACACCACCACAACACACACACACACCACACAACCACACAACAAAACCACACTCCCAAACACACACACACACAAAACAACACACAACAAAACTACAACACAAAACACACACAAAAACAAAACTCACACACCACACACCCCCACCCAAACCACACACCCACACAACCCCCTCACAACCCAAACAACCCACACAACCCACCCAACCCCACCAAAAACCCACCCAACACAAACAACCCAACACCCAACCCCCACACAACCACAAAACCCTCACAACCCCCCCCCCAAAAAACAAACACCACCCCCTCCCACAACACACAAACAAACCCAAACAACATACCCCAAACCCCACCACCCCCCCCCATACAACACACCCACACTACAAACACACCCCCCCACCCCCCCCCCCCCCCACCCCCCACAACACAAACACCCCCTACACAACCCATACAACCCCCCACACCCCACACCCCCCCCACACCCCACAACACAAAACCCCCACCCACACCCACAACCAACACCCCAACACACAAACACCCCCACCCCACCCCCCCACAAAACCAAACCACCAACCCCACACCCAACCCCAACCCACCAAAACCCAAACACCCATACAACCAAACTAAACCCACACCAACCAAAACTACAACCCCCCCACCCCCCAACACCACCCACCACCCCAACCCCCAACCCCCCCCCACCCCCCCCCCCACACCCCACCCCACACCCCCCCCCACCACCACCCCCAAACAACACCCCCCAACCAACCACCCCCACCCCCCCCCCAACAACCACCACACAACCCAACCCCACACCCCCCCCAACCACCATCCCCCCAACAAACCACCATCCCACAACTACCCACAACCAACACACCACTCACACAACACACCAACCACACCCCCTACCCACCCCCCACACCCAAAACCCAAAACCCACCCACCAACCACCAAAACACCACACCAAAACCCCACACCACCACCACACCCCCCCCCCCCCCCCCCCCCCACCACAACCCCCCAAAAAAAAAACACCCCCCCCCCCACACCCCAACCCACACACCCCCAACACCCCCCACCACCACACCACCCCCCCCCCCCACCCCACCCCCAAACCCCCCCCACCCCCCCACCCCCCACCACCCCCCCCAACAACCCCCACCACCCCACCCCAACCCACCCCCCCACCCCACCCCACCCCAACAACACACCCCCACACCCCACACACCACCCCAATCCACCCCACACCCCACAACCCCACACAACACAACACACCCACACACCCCCCCCCCCCCACCCCATAACCCCCCCCCCCCCCCAAACCCCCCCCAACCACACCCCCCCCCCCCCCACACAACCCCCCCCCCAAAACAACCCCCCCCAACCCCCCCCCCCCCCCCCCCCCCCCCCCCACCCCCCCCACCCCCACCACCCCCCACCACCACACAAACCCAATAACACACAAAAAAACCCATAAAACACCCAAACACACAAACAAACACAAAAAAAATCACAAAAAACCTCCCAACAAATATAAACTAAACCCACACAACTCACCAATAAACTACAAAGCAAACAAAATCTCAAAACTAATAACAAAAAAAATCCAAAACAACACACAAAAAACATAACAAACTAACCCTCAAACAAAAACATCTAAAAATCCCTCACACAAAACCCCACAAACCAAACTATACAAACCAAACAAACTCACACACTAAACAAATCACCAAACACACACACAAACAACACAAAAAAAACAAACACAAAACAACAACACACCACACACCAAACAAACACACCCCCACACAAACACAAACAAAACCCCAACAACACACAAACACACAAAAATCTACACAAAACAAACACACAAACCACACACCTAACACAAAAAAAAAAACCCACACAACCACACAAAACACAAACCCCACACACACAAACAAACCAACAAATCACACCCAAACACAACACACACCACACAACAACCACACACCACACACACACACAACACACCTCACAACAACAAAACAACAAAACAAACACACCCAACACCAAACACACACAACAAACACACACCAAACAAACACAACCCAAACATCAACACACACACATAAAAACAAACCCACACACACACACCAAACAAACACACAACACCACACCCACACACACACACCACAAACCAAAACACAAACCCACACACACACACACACCAACACACCCACACACACACCACAAACCACACACACACACAAAACACCACCACCACAACACACCCCCCCCCCACCCACCCACACAACCACAACCACCCCCCACACAACAACCCAACAAACCCCCACCAACCCAACCCAAACCCACCCCCCACCTACACCAACCCACAACCAACACCCCCCCACACCCACCACCCAAACCAAACCCCCACCCAACACATAACCAAAACACCACCCACAACAAACCCCCCCACCACCACAAAAAACCAATAACAACCCCACACACAACCCCACACAACCACCCCAACCACACACAACCCCCTACAAAACCACACACAACCCCACCAAACCAACACAACCCCCTCACACACCACATACCCCCACACACCACCACACAACAAAACCCCCCCACCCCCCCCCCCCCACCCCCACCCACCCCACAACAACACACACACCCCCCACCCCCCCACCCCCCCAACACCCCCTCAAAAACACAACAAAACCCATTAACCCCCCCCCCCCACAACAACCCCCACACCACACCCTACTTACTAAACCACACACCACAACCACCAACAAACATAACCAAAACTCCTTCTATCCTAACCCACACCCCCACCACCCACCCCCCAACCCCTACCACAACCCACACACCCCACAAACAACACCACAAACCACCCAACCCCCACCACAAACAACCAAACAACACCCCCCCCAACACCCCACCACACATCAACCAAACCCCACCACCCCCCACCTCCCCCCACCAACAAAAAACCCCCCAAAAACAAAACACCACACCACCAAACCCAACCAACAAACACCCACAACCAACAACCCCCCCCCCCACACCCCCAACCAACCCTCACCCCCCCTACCCCAACCCACCCAAATACCTCCCACCCAACCCCTTCCACTCCCCCCAACACAACCCCATATATCCTCCATTCACTCCCTAACAACCCCACCAAATTATTCCACTCTCTAATTAAAAATCCACACACCCTCCAACACACCCCACATACCATCCTACCAAATCCACCCCCACCACCCCTCTCCCACCCTAAAAAACCCCATCCCTACCAACCACACACCACCACCACCCCCACCAAACACCCCACAATACCCCAACTCACACACCTCCAAAACTCCTATTACCAACTATAACACAACACCCATCCCCCACCATCCACACCCTCCACACCCCAAAACAACAACCCCCCTTTCCCCCCAACCCACACCACACCCCAAACACCCTCCCCCCCCCTACATCCCACCACAACACAAACCCACCACCACTAAAAATAATTAATATCACACACAAAAACCCCCCCCAAAAAAAAACCATTCTCCCCACATCTACCAACAAACCCAAAAATAATAATACACCCCAACACCCCCCATCCACAAATAAATACCCACACCCCCAACTAAACCCCCCCCCCCACCCATCCCCCCCCATTCCTCCCCTCCCCCAACACCCCAATCCCCTAATCCCACCTATCTAACCACAACTACAAAAACAACAAACCACAACCACAACAAAAACAATAACCCCCACAAATCTATACTAAATCAATAATTATACATCCAATATCAACCCCACAAATATCCAACCTACTTTCATCACTAACAAAACACACAACCCATCACCCCTCACAAACCCCACCCATACCCCACCAACACACCTAAACCCCTCATTAACTAACACCCCCCAAAATACACCACAATCCCCCCCAATCCCCACACAAATCAATTCCCTATTCTAAATCCTATCTCATAAATTCAACTATTCCTATAAAACACCCACATCACACCCCCCACCAACCACCCCAACCTAAAATCTACCCACAACACCCCCCCAACACTAAACCACCAAACAATACCTCCCCCCACAAACCAAACCACCCACAACAAAACCCCCCTTATCTTTTTTAACCATCACAATCCCCACCCAATCTTACACCAAACCCCCTATCTCACTCCATACCAAAATCCAAAACACCAATAAAAACATCTACCCACCCTTACCAAACCCCAAACAAAACATATCAATAAATAAAACCACAAATACTCACCCCCCCCCACCCACTCCACACCCCACCCAAACACACAACACACCACCACCACCAAAAAAAAACCACCCAAAACAAACCAACCCCCACACCACACACACCCAACCCTCCCCCCACACCCCCTAATAAAACCAACCCCACAAAAAAATACAACTACCAACCCCCATCATAACTAAACTCACAACCACTCCCACAACAACCCCCATACCCCAACCAACACCCTACACCCCCCACAACAAACCCCCACTCCAAACCATAAAAAAACCCCACACCACTACCAAACAACCCCAACCACAACCAAAACCCCCACCCCAACACAACAAAACACCCCACACCACAACCAACCAACACACAACCCTACATCATACAAACAACAACACAACAACAAAACAACCATAAAAAACTCAAAAACCCACCCCATACCCCCAAACCACAAAAAAAAACAAACCCCCACAACCCCCCCCCCCCAACAAACAACCCCACAACCAAACACCACCCACCCCCACAAACACCACCCCAACAAAACCCACAACACACCCACACAAACCCCCAAAAACCAACAAAAACACCACCCACCCCACAACAAACCCCCCCCCCCCCACACACCCCCAAACACACCCCACCCACCCAACACACCCAAACCCCCCACCACCCCCCCACCCACCCCCCCCACCCACACCACCAACCCCCCCACCCACCCCCCCACCCCACCCCCCCACCACCCCCCCCCCCAACCCCCACCCCCCACACCCCCCCCCACCACCCCACCAAACCACCCCCCCACACCCCACCACCACCCCCCCCCACCACCCCCCCCCCCACCACCCCCCCCCACCCACCCCCCCCCCAACCCACCCCCCCCCACCCCAACCCCCCCCCCACCACCCCCCCCCACCACCCCCCCCCCCCACCACCCCCCCACCCCACCCCCCCCCCCCCCACCACCCCCCCCACCCCCCCCACCACCCCCCCCCAACCCCCCATCCCCCCACAACCCCCCCCACCCCCACCCCCCCCCCACATCCCTCCCACCCCCCACCCCCACCCACCCCTAACCCCCACCCCCCCCCACCCACCCCCACCCACCCCACCCCCCCCCCCCCAAACCCAACCACCCCCACCCCACCCCCCACCCACCCCCCACCCCCCCCCCAACCCCCCCCCAACCCCCCCCCCCCACCCACCCCCCCTCCCAAACAAAACCACAAACCAAAAAACCATCACAAACTAATAAAACACCACACCAATCATACCATTACAAAAGAGACATAAGGTAAAGAGACATAAGGTAAAGAGACATGAGGTAAAGAGACATAAGGTAAAGAGACATGAGGTAAAGAGACATAAGGTAAAGAGACATGAGGTAAAGAGACATGAGGTAAAGAGACATGAGGTAAAGAGACATAAGGTAAAGAGACATGAGGTAAAGAGACATGGGGGAGGTAAAGAGACATAAGGTAAAGAGACATGAGGTAAAGAGACATGAGGTAAAGAGACATGAGGTAAAGAGACATGAGGTAAAGAGACATAAGGTAAAGAGACATAAGAGACATGAGGTAAAGAGACATGAGGTAAAGAGACATAAGGTAAAGAGACATGAGGTAAAGAGACATAAGGTAAAGAGACATGAGGTAAAGAGACATGAGGTAAAGAGACATGAGGTAAAGAGACATAAGGTAAAGAGACATAAGAGACATGAGGTAAAGAAACATGAGGTAAAGAGACATAAGGTAAAGAGACATAAGAGACATAAGGTAAAGAGACATAAGAGACATGAGGTAAAGAGACATGAGGTAAAGAGACATGAGGTAAAGAGACATGAGGTAAAGAGACATGAGGTAAAGAGACATAAGAGACATGAGGTAAAGAGACATAAGGTAAAGAGACATAAGGTAAAGAGACATGAGGTAAAGAGACATAAGGTAAAGAGACATAAGAGACATGAGGTAAAGAAACATGAGGTAAAGAGACATGAGGTAAAGAGACATGAGGTAAAGAGACATGAGGTAAAGAGACATGAGGTAAAGAGACATGAGGTAAAGAGACATAAGGTAAAGAGACATGAGGTAAAGAGACATAAGGTAAAGAGACATGAGGTAAAGAGACATAAGAGACATGAGGTAAAGAAACATGAGGTAAAGAGACATAAGAGACATGAGGTAAAGAGACATAAGGTAAAGAGACATGAGGTAAAGAGACATAAGAGACATAAGGTAAAGAGACATAAGGTAAAGAGACATAAGGTAAAGAGACATGAGGTAAAGAGACATAAGGTAAAGAGACATAAGAGACATGAGGTAAAGAAACATGAGGTAAAGAGACATGAGGTAAAGAGACATGAGGTAAAGAGACATGAGGTAAAGAGACATGAGGTAAAGAGACATGAGGTAAAGAGACATGAGGTAAAGAGACATAAGGTAAAGAGACATGAGGTAAAGAGACATAAGGTAAAGAGACATGAGGTAAAGAGACATAAGAGACATAAGGTAAAGAGACATGAGGTAAAGAGACATGAGGTAAAGAGACATGAGGTAAAGAGACATGAGGTAAAGAGACATGAGGTAAAGAGACATGAGGTAAAGAGACATAAGGTAAAGAGACATAAGAGACATGAGGTAAAGAAACATGAGGTAAAGAGACATAAGGTAAAGAGACATAAGAGACATAAGGTAAAGAGACATAAGAGACATGAGGTAAAGAGACATGAGGTAAAGAGACATGAGGTAAAGAGACATGAGGTAAAGAGACATGAGGTAAAGAGACATGAGGTAAAGAGACATAAGGTAAAGAGACATAAGGTAAAGAGACATGAGGTAAAGAGACATAAGGTAAAGAGACATAAGGTAAAGAGACATAAGGTAAAGAGACATAAGAGACATAAGGTAAAGAGACATAAGAGACATGAGGTAAAGAGACATGAGGTAAAGAGACATAAGAGACATAAGGTAAAGAGACATAAGAGACATAAGGTAAAGAGACATAAGAGACATAAGGTAAAGAGACATAAGAGACATGAGGTAAAGAGACATAAGAGACATGAGGTAAAGAGACATAAGGTAAAGAGACATAAGGTAAAGAGACATAAGAGACATAAGGTAAAGAGACATAAGAGACATAAGGTAAAGAGACATAAGAGACATAAGGTAAAGAGACATAAGAGACATGAGGTAAAGAGACATGAGGTAAAGAGACATGAGGTAAAGAGACATAAGGTAAAGAGACATAAGAGACATAAGGTAAAGAGACATAAGAGACATGAGGTAAAGAGACATAAGGTAAAGAGACATAAGGTAAAGAGACATAAGAGACATAAGGTAAAGAGACATAAGAGACATAAGGTAAAGAGACATAAGAGACATAAGGTAAAGAGACATAAGAGACATGAGGTAAAGAGACATAAGGTAAAGAGACATAAGGTAAAGAGACATAAGAGACATAAGGTAAAGAGACATAAGAGACATGAGGTAAAGAGACATGAGGTAAAGAGACATAAGAGACATGAGGTAAAGAGACATAAGAGACATGAGGTAAAGAGACATGAGGTAAAGAGACATGAGGTAAAGAGACATGAGGTAAAGAGACATAAGGTAAAGAGACATGAGGTAAAGAGACATGAGGTAAAGAGACATGAGGTAAAGAGACATGAGGTAAAGAGACATGAGGTAAAGAGACATGAGGTAAAGAGACATGAGGTAAAGAGACATAAGAGACATGAGGTAAAGAGACATGAGGTAAAGAGACATAAGGTAAAGAGACATGAGGTAAAGAGACATGAGGTAAAGAGACATAAGGTAAAGAGACATAAGAGACATGAGGTAAAGAGACATAAGAGACATGAGGTAAAGAGACATGAGGTAAAGAGACATAAGAGACATGAGGTAAAGAGACATGAGGTAAAGAGACATAAGAGACATGAGGTAAAGAGACATGAGGTAAAGAGACATAAGAGACATAAGGTAAAGAGACATGAGGTAAAGAGACATGAGGTAAAGAGACATGAGGTAAAGAGACATGAGGTAAAGAGACATAAGAGACATGAGGTAAAGAAACATAAGGTAAAGAGACATAAGAGACATAAGGTAAAGAGACATAAGGTAAAGAGACATAAGAGACATAAGGTAAAGAGACATAAGAGACATAAGGTAAAGAGACATAAGAGACATAAGGTAAAGAGACATAAGAGACATGAGGTAAAGAGACATGAGGTAAAGAGACATGAGGTAAAGAGACATAAGGTAAAGAGACATAAGGTAAAGAGACATAAGAGACATAAGGTAAAGAGACATAAGGTAAAGAGACATAAGAGACATAAGGTAAAGAGACATAAGAGACATAAGGTAAAGAGACATAAGAGACATAAGGTAAAGAGACATAAGAGACATGAGGTAAAGAGACATGAGGTAAAGAGACATGAGGTAAAGAGACATGAGGTAAAGAGACATGAGGTAAAGAGACATAAGAGACATGAGGTAAAGAGACATGAGGTAAAGAGACATAAGAGACATAAGGTAAAGAGACATAAGAGACATAAGGTAAAGAGACATAAGAGACATAAGGTAAAGAGACATAAGAGACATGAGGTAAAGAGACATAAGAGACATGAGGTAAAGAGACATAAGGTAAAGAGACATAAGGTAAAGAGACATAAGAGACATAAGGTAAAGAGACATAAGGTAAAGAGACATAAGAGACATAAGGTAAAGAGACATAAGAGACATAAGGTAAAGAGACATAAGAGACATAAGGTAAAGAGACATAAGAGACATGAGGTAAAGAGACATGAGGTAAAGAGACATGAGGTAAAGAGACATGAGGTAAAGAGACATGAGGTAAAGAGACATAAGAGACATGAGGTAAAGAGACATGAGGTAAAGAGACATAAGAGACATAAGGTAAAGAGACATAAGAGACATAAGGTAAAGAGACATAAGAGACATAAGGTAAAGAGACATAAGAGACATGAGGTAAAGAGACATGAGGTAAAGAGACATGAGGTAAAGAGACATAAGGTAAAGAGACATAAGGTAAAGAGACATAAGAGACATAAGGTAAAGAGACATAAGGTAAAGAGACATAAGAGACATAAGGTAAAGAGACATAAGAGACATAAGGTAAAGAGACATAAGAGACATAAGGTAAAGAGACATAAGAGACATGAGGTAAAGAGACATGAGGTAAAGAGACATGAGGTAAAGAGACATGAGGTAAAGAGACATGAGGTAAAGAGACATAAGAGACATGAGGTAAAGAAACATGAGGTAAAGAGACATAAGGTAAAGAGACATAAGGTAAAGAGACATAAGGTAAAGAGACATAAGAGACATAAGGTAAAGAGACATAAGAGACATAAGGTAAAGAGACATAAGAGACATAAGGTAAAGAGACATAAGAGACATGAGGTAAAGAGACATGAGGTAAAGAGACATAAGAGACATGAGGTAAAGAGACATAAGAGACATGAGGTAAAGAGACATGAGGTAAAGAGACATGAGGTAAAGAAACATAAGAGACATAAGGTAAAGAGACATAAGAGACATGAGGTAAAGAGACATAAGAGACATGAGGTAAAGAGACATAAGAGACATGAGGTAAAGAGACATGAGGTAAAGAGACATAAGAGACATGAGGTAAAGAGACATAAGAGACATGAGGTAAAGAGACATAAGAGACATAAGGTAAAGAGACATGAGGTAAAGAGACATGAGGTAAAGAGACATAAGAGACATGAGGTAAAGAGACATGAGGTAAAGAGACATAAGTTAAAGAGACATAAGGTAAAGAGACATAAGAGACATAAGGTAAAGAGACATAAGAGACATGAGGTAAAGAGACATGAGGTAAAGAGACATAAGAGACATGAGGTAAAGAGACATAAGAGACATGAGGTAAAGAGACATGAGGTAAAGAGACATAAGGTAAAGAGACATAAGTTAAAGAGACATAAGAGACATAAGGTAAAGAGACATAAGAGACATAAGGTAAAGAGACATAAGAGACATGAGGTAAAGAGACATAAGAGACATAAGGTAAAGAGACATAAGTTAAAGAGACATAAGAGACATGAGGTAAAGAGACATAAGAGACATAAGGTAAAGAGACATAAGAGACATGAGGTAAAGAGACATAAGAGACATGAGGTAAAGAGACATGAGGTAAAGAGACATGAGGTAAAGAGACATGAGGTAAAGAGACATAAGAGACATAAGGTAAAGAGACATGAGGTAAAGAGACATGAGGTAAAGAGACATAAGAGACATGAGGTAAAGAGACATAAGAGACATAAGGTAAAGAGACATGAGGTAAAGAGACATAAGAGACGCAACGCATGATCCGGTCTGAACGCAAAATTAGTCTGAGCTCTGACACTGCTGGATTCTCATCTCTGAGCTGTGAGGGCAGTGTTACCATAGCAATAGTCCCCATCACATCACTGACCAGGCCCTGACCTGCTTAGCCTCAGACACACATGAGTTACAGTCAGACTTACCGCTGATGGTCCTTTTTAAAGTCGATCCATCGATCATTGGAGCGTTCACTGCTCAATGACGCCGCCCTGCTGGTGGAAAATAAGTATTTAGTCAGATTAAAGTCAGTTTTCTGTCCCTCACAGTCTGTAACTTCTCCTTTAAGAGACTCCTCTGTCCTCCACTCGTTTACTTTATTAATGTCTGTTTTAACTCTATCTGTGCCAAAGACCCCTGTCCACGACCTCACACAGTCACACTCCAAACTCCACTGTGGCCAAGACCAAAGAGCTGTCAAAGGACACTAGAAACACACATGTAGACCTGCACCAGGCTGGGAAGACTGGATCTGCAGTAGGTAAGCAGTTAGGTGTGAAGAGAGCTGATAATCTCCTGAAGTTTGCTACAGCGCATTTGGATGATCCAGAAGAGGATTGGGAGACTGTCCTATGATCAGATGAAACCAAAACAGAACTTTTTGTAAAAACTCAACTGGAAGTTTGGAAGAGAAAGGGGGTGGGAACATCCTTAGTTAGAGTTAGTTATAGTTAGTTAGAGTTAGTCAGTTAGTTATAGTTAGTCAGAGTTAGTCAGAGTTTGTTAGTTAGTTAGTTAGTTCGAGCTAGTCAGGTCAGAGATAGTTAGTTAGTCAGAGTTAGTTATAGTTAGTCAGTTAGTTATAGTTAGTCAGAGTTAGTCAGAGTTTGTTAGTTAGTTAGTTAGTTCGAGCTAGTCAGGTCAGAGGTAGTTAGAGTTAGTCAGAGTTAGTTGGATTTAGTCAGAGTTAGTTATAGTTAGTCAGTTAGTTAGAGTTAGTCAGGGTCGGAGTTAGTCAGAGTTAGTTAGAGTTAGGAGCACACACCCCCTTGGTATGTATCTAACTTAGTTAGAGTTAGTCAGAGTTAGAGTTGACTGTTGTAGTAGTAGTTTGCACAGTGGCAGTGGAGATATGAGTAGAGCTCTGTATGTGTGTGATAGATAGTGTGGTGACAGTTTTTGGAGTAATTACATAAAACCAGCCGCAGCTAACACACGGACGTCAAAGGCCTTTTATCAAGGCAGAGACGACCTTCTGACGCCATGCTGAGCTTTGTGAGGGCCCCTGCTGTCTGTCACACCCTTGTGTCTTTCGTATCTTGAATCTGTATGCCTGCTTCTATCCATATGTCCCTGCTGCCAGGAAGGAGCCGGGCCCCCCCCGACACCTACAGACAATGGCGATCACTCTTGCCCCCTTTCACCTCTTGCATATGTATCGGTCTGTATGTGTGCACTTTCTACATCCTGCAGTCTGTTTGCATCCCTATGCGCCTCCTGCACCGGTGGCCCCCTCCCATCTGTTGTGGGCGGGACTGGCTTTCGTGTGTGTCTTGTATACAGGAAACTCGGAGCTCTGCGGGCAGAGCTGGTACATGCTGCCTTTGTGTGCATATGCTGACTCTCCGCACGTGCGTTAACAATAAACTTACGCTTTTGATCAGACAAAGGACCTTTGAGCTTTCTCCTTGCTTTGGGGTATATAATTCTACAACAATTTGGCGTTGCTGGCATGTCTTGGCATGGGATACTTTCGGCGGGGACGAGCGGCCGCGTTTGGCCGACCTGGAAAAACACCAGCCTCTTCTCTATTTGGAGACAAAGGAGGGCGCGCTCGTCCGCGCATGGAAGGATTCTTTTGCCACACAAGACCAAAAAGAACCTAACTTGGTGAGTTTTGTCTTTTCATCTGCGTAAACGAGCCCAGGGCAGCACTTAAGTGTACACGGGGATTTGTTTATTTATGTATTTTTGGGGTATTTCATTCATTGCCACAGCATAGTCTGTGTGCGGGATTTTTTTGGGGGCTTTTGTTCTAGATTGAAGCTAGCGGCTGCGCGTTAGTATCGCCCTGTAGGCGTCTTGTCTTCAGCAAGGTATTTCATCTCAGAGTACTTTCCGCAGAGTACTTTTCTCAGAGTACTCATCCCAGAGTACTCTCACTTTTACACCTGTTCAATAAAGCTTGTTATCTTTGAATCTCTAGTACTTACACCGTATGCTGGATTTGAGCTCTGCTGGAGTGCCCCCTGGTGTCTCGTCTCCCGTGTGTCCGGAGGAGGTGGAGATGAGGGCTGCTCTACAGTTCCTGATGAGGCACATGGTGAAGCGTGCTGTCATGAGGTCTCCCATCAAACGAGCTTTGGGCCTGGCCGATCTGGAGCGTGCTCAAGCCATGGTCTCCACACCCCAAACCCCGAGCACTCTGCCCAACCGAGTGCTGAGGCCAAGGCTTCAACGCAATTAGAGTCTTGCCGCTCCAAGACCAAACATCGCCATGACCACTAACGCTCCACACACGCTCATAGGGAGCGGTGCCACTGACTGCGAGACGGCACTGCTCGTGAGTATTCCCGCGGAAAAGACTACCGAACGTAGCCCGGCTAAGACCGGCATGGGCCCTTGGACTGTTATGCTGGCCACACTGACACTACTTTCCGTGCTGACCGTGTTTATTATGTTAATATTGCCTTCTCTTATCGCTGTCCGGATCCATTGTGTTATTATAATGTGCTCTTTCTTTTATTGACAAGCATGTTTCTTTTCTTGTCCACTTTGGACAGCAATAATTTAAGTGTTTCAAGCTTGAAGGTGGTGTGATTACGATGTCTCTGGTATTTAACTGATTAATGCAAAAATGGTTTTGAATTATCAAAAGAGGGGAGTGTGGTGACAGTTTTTGGAGTAATTACATAAAACCAGCCGCAGCTAACACACGGACGTCAAAGGCCTTTTATCAAGGCAGAGACGACCTTCTGACGCCATGCTGAGCTTTGTGAGGGCCCCTGCTGTCTGTCACACCCTTGTGTCTTTCGTATCTTGAATCTGTATGCCTGCTTCTATCCATATGTCCCTGCTGCCAGGAAGGAGCCGGGCCCCCCCCCGACACCTACAGACAATGGCGATCACTCTTGCCCCCTTTCACCTCTTGCATATGTATCGGTCTGTATGTGTGCACTTTCTACATCCTGCAGTCTGTTTGCATCCCTATGCGCCTCCTGCACCGGTGGCCCCCTCCCATCTGTTGTGGGCGGGACTGGCTTTCGTGTGTGTCTTGTATACAGGAAACTCGGAGCTCTGCGGGCAGAGCTGGTACATGCTGCCTTTGTGTGCATATGCTGACTCTCCGCACGTGCGTTAACAATAAACTTACGCTTTTGATCAGACAAAGGACCTTTGAGCTTTCTCCTTGCTTTGGGGTATATAATTCTACAACAATAGTTAGTCAGAGTTCGAGCTCTGTATGTGTGATAGGTAGAGTTAGTTAGAGTTAGAGCTCTGTATGTGTGCGATAGAGTTAGTTAGAGCTCTGTATGTGTGCGATAGAGTTAGAGTTAGAGCTCTGTATGTGAGTGATAGATAGAGTTAGTCAGAGTTCGAGCTCTGTATGTGTGATAGGTAGAGTTAGTTAGAGTTAGAGCTCTGTATGTGTGCGATAGAGTTAGTTAGAGCTCTGTATGTGTGCGATAGAGTTAGTTAGAGCTCTGTATGTGTGCGATAGAGTTAGAGCTCTGTGTGTGCGATAGAGTTAGAGCTCTGTATGTGAGTGATAGATAGAGTTAGTTAGAGTTAGAGCTCTGTATGTGCGATAGATAGTTAGTCAGAGTTAGAGCTCTGTATGTGTGCGATAGATAGAGTTTGTTTTGGCGCTGACACATGTGAGAACAGAGGCACATATTGTACAGGCCACATGACACCAGGCATGCTGGGAAGTGTAGTCTTTGAGAGGTTTGGGAAATGTTCAATAGTGTGTTTATTTAACACTGTTTAAATAAACAGAGTCAATAGTCTCTGTGAGGACCACCCAGTCCTCTGGTCTCTGTGAGGACCACCCAGTCCTCTAGTCTCTGTGAGGACCACCCAGTCATCTGGTCTCTGTGAGGACCACCCAGTCCTCTGGTCTCTGTGAGGACCACCCAGTCCTCTGGTCTCTGTGAGGACCACCCAGTCCTCTGGTCCCTGTAAGGGACCACCCAGTCTTCTGGTCTCTGTGAGGACCACCCAGTCCTCTGGTCTCTGTGAGGACCACCCAGTCCTCTGGTCTCTGTGAGGACCACCCAGTCCTCTGGTCTCTGTGAGGACCACCCAGTCCTCTGGTCTCTGTGTTCAGTCAGATATTGTTGAGCGGTCTCAGTCTTTTACCATTATTACTACTATAACTGTTACTACTATACCTCCCATCTCTGTGTGGAGTGAGAGACAAATGCCCAAAAAAAGTAACAATTGTAAACCGCTTTGTGACTCTGGTCTGTGAAAGGCGCTATATAAATAAAGATGACTTACTAACTACTTACTATACAGACGGAGCAGTGGCTTTAGTCTGAGCTCTGACACTGCTGGATTCTCATCTCTGAGCTGTGAGGGCAGTGTTACCATAGCAATAGCCCCCCATCACATCACTGACCAGGCCCCGACCTGCTTAGCCTCAGACACACATGAGTTACAGTCAGACTTACCGCTGATCGTCCTTTTTAAAGTCGATCCCTCGATCATTGGACCATTCACTGCTCAATGACGCCGCCCTGCTGGTGGAAAATAAGTATTTAGTCAGATTAAAGTCAGTTTTCTGTCCCTCACAGTCTGTAACTTCTCCTTTAAGAGACTCCTCTGTCCTCCACTCGTTTACTTTATTAATGTCTGTTTTAACTCTATCTGTGTCAAAGACCCCTGTCCACGACCTCACACAGTCACACTCCAAACTCCACTGTGGCCAAGACCAAAGAGCTGTCAAAGGACACTAGAAACACACATGTAGACCTGCACCAGGCTGGGAAGACTGGATCTGCAGTAGGTAAGCAGTTAGGTGTGAAGAGAGCTGATAATCTCCTGAAGTTTGCTACAGCGCATTTGGATGATCCAGAAGAGGATTGGGAGACTGTCCTATGATCAGATGAAACCAAAACAGAACTTTTTGTAAAAACTCAACTGGAAGTTTGGAAGTGAAAGGGGGTGGGAACATCCTTAGTTAGAGTTAGTCAGAGTTAGTTATAGTTAGTCAGTTAGTTATAGTTAGTCAGAGTTCGTTAGTTAGTTAGTTAGTTCGAGCTAGTCAGGTCAGAGGTAGTTAGAGTTAGTCAGAGTTAGTTGGATTTAGTCAGAGTTAGTTATAGTTAGTTAGTTAGTTAGTTAGAGTTAGTCAGGGTCGGAGTTAGTCAGAGTTAGTTAGAGTTAGGAGCACACACCCCCTTGGTATGTATCTAACTTAGTTAGAGTTAGTCAGAGTTAGAGTTGACTGTTGTAGTAGTGGTTTGCGCGGTGGCAGTGGAGATATGAGTCGAGCTCTGTATGTGTGATAGATAGTTAGTCAGAGTTCGAGCTCTGTATGTGTGATAGGTAGAGTTAGTTAGAGTTAGAGCTCTGTATGTGTGCGATAGAGTTAGTTAGAGCTCTGTATGTGTTCGATAGAGTTATTTAGAGCTCTGTATGTGTGCGATAGAGTTAGAGCTCTGTGTGTGCGATAGAGTTAGAGTTAGAGCTCTGTATGTGAGTGATAGATAGTTAGTCAGAGTTCGAGCTCTGTATGTGTGATAGGTAGAGTTAGAGCTCTGTATGTGTGCGATAGAGTTAGTTAGAGCTCTGTATGTGTGCGATAGAGTTAGAGCTCTGTATGTGAGTGATAGATAGAGTTAGTTAGAGTTAGAGCTCTGTATGTGCGATAGATAGTTAGTCAGAGTTAGAGCTCAGTCCACTGCTGGATTCTCATCTCTGAGCTGTGAGGGCAGTGTTACCATAGCAATAGCCCCCCATCACATCACTGACCAGGCCCCGACCTGCTTAGCCTCAGACACACATGAGTTACAGTCAGACTTACCGCTGATCGTCCTTTTTAAAGTTGATCCCTCGATCATTGGACCATTCACTGCTCAATGACGCCGCCCTGCTGGTGGAAAATAAGTATTTAGTCAGATTAAAGTCAGTTTTCTGTCCCTCACAGTCTGTAACTTCTCCTTTAAGAGACTCCTCTGTCCTCCACTCGTTTACTTTATTAATGTCTGTTTTAACTCTATCTGTGTCAAAGACCCCTGTCCACGACCTCACACAGTCACACTCCAAACTCCACTGTGGCCAAGACCAAAGAGCTGTCAAAGGACACTAGAAACACACATGTAGACCTGCACCAGGCTGGGAAGACTGGATCTGCAGTAGGTACAGTGCCTTGCGAAAGTATTCGGCCCCCTTGAACCTTTCAACATTTCGCCACATTTCAGGCTTCAAACATAAAGATATAAAAATTTTATTTTTTGTCATGAATCAACAACAAGTGGGACACAATCGTGAAGTGGAACAAAATTTATTGGATAATTTAAACTTTTTTAACAAATAAAAAACTGAAAAGTGGGGCGTGCAATATTATTCGGCCCCTTTACTTTCAGTGCAGCAAACTCAGTCCAGAAGTTCAGTGAGGATCTTTGAATGATCCAATGTTGTCCTAAATGACTGATGATGATAAATAGAATGCACCTGTGTGTAATCAAGTCTCCGTATAAATGCACCTGCTCTTTGATAGTCTCAGGGTTCTGTTTAAAGCGCAGAGAGAACCATGAAGACAAAGGAACACACCGAGATACTGATCAGAGATGCAGCCAAGAAGCCCATGATCACTCTGGATGAACTGCAGATAACTACAGCTGAGGTGGGGATGGTGTGTTCAGGGTGATGAGCTGTGTTGCTTTTACGCCAAACATATCGTTTTGCATTGTGGCCAAAAAGTTTTATTTTGGTTTCATCTGACCAGAGCACCTTCTTCCACATGTTTGGTGTGTCTCCCAGGTGGCTTGTGGCAAACTTTAAGAGACTTTTTATGGATATTGTTGAGAAATGGCCACTCTTCCATAAAGGCCAGATTTGTGCAGTGCACGACTGATTGTTGTCCTATGGACAGACTCTCCCACCTCAGCTGTAGTTATCTGCAGTTCATCCAGAGTGATCATGGGCCTCTTGGCTGCATCTCTGATCAGTCTTCTCCTTGTTTGAGATGAAAGTTTGGAGGGACGGCCGGGTCTTGGTAGATTTGCAGTGGTCTGATACTCCTTCCATTTCAATATAATTGCTTGCACAGTGCTCCTTGAGATGTTTAAAGCTTGGGAAATCTTTTTGTATCCAAATCCGGCTTTAAACTTCTCCACAACAGTATCTCGGACCTGCCTGGTGTGTTCCTTTGTCTTCATGGTTCTCTCTGTGCTTTAAACAGAACCCTGAGACTATCAAAGAGCAGGTGCATTTATACGGAGACTTGATTACACACAGGTGCATTCTATTTATCATCATCAGTCATTTAGGACAACATTGGATCATTCAAAGATCCTCACTGAACTTCTGGACTGAGTTTGCTGCACTGAAAGTAAAGGGGCCCAATAATATTGCACGCCCAACTTTTCAGTTTTTTAGAGTCAAAAGCTTCAAGTGTTGTGCGTATTACTCGCGACTTTTGAAGCTTTTGACGCGCTTCACCATTCACTTTCAATGCAAACCTGACGCTTTTGACGCCGAAGTTAAGTCCGGTCTGAACACGGCATTAGAGTTAGTCAGAGTTAGTCAGGGTTAGAGCTAGTTGGCGTTAGATACAGTTAGCTACAGTTAGTCAGTTCGTTAGAGTTAGTCAGAGTTAGTTAGTTGCAGCTAGTCAGGTCAGAGTTAGTTAGAGTAAGTCAGAGTGAGTTCAGAGTTAGTCATATTTAGTCAGAGTTAGTTATAGTTAGTCAGTTAGTTAGAGTTAGTCAGGATCGGAGTTAGTCAGAGTTAGTTTAAGTTGACTGTTGTAGTAGTAGTTTGCACAGTGGAGATATGAGTAGAGCTCTGTATGTGTGCGATAGAGTTAGTTAGAGTTAAAGCTCTGTATTTGTGCGATAGAGTTAGTTAGAGTTAAAGCTCTGCATGTGTGCGATAGAGTTAGTTAGAGTTAGAGCTCTGTATGTGTGTGATAGATAAAGTTAGTTAGAATTAGAGCTCTGTATGTGTGTGATAGAGATAGAGTTAGAGCTCTGTGTGATAGATAGAGTTAGTTAGAGTTTTAGCTCTGTATGTGTGCGATAGAGTTAGTTAGAGCTCTCTGTGTGCGATAGATAGAGTTAGTTGGAGTTAGAGCTCTGTCTGTGTGTGATAAATAGTTAGTTAGAGTTAGAGCTCTGTATTTGTGTGATAGATAGAGTTAGTTAGAGTTAGAGCTCTGGGGGGACCACCCAGTCCTCTAGTCTCTGTGAGGACCACCCAGTCCTCTGGTCTCTGTGAGGACCACCCAGTCCTCTGGTCTCTGTGAGGACCACCCAGTCCTCTGGTCTCTGTGAGGACCACCCAGTCCTCTAGTCTCTGTGAGGACCACCCAGTCTTCTGGTCTCTGTGAGGACCACCCAGTCCTCTAGTCTCTGTGAGGACCACCCATTCCTCTGGTCTCTGTGAGGACCACCCAGTCCTCTGGTCTCTGTGAGGACCACCCAGTCCTCTGGTCTCTGTGAGGACCATCCAGTCTTCTGGTCTCTGTGAGGACCACCCAGTCCTCTGGTCTCTGTGAGGACCACCCAGTCCTCTAGTCTCTGTGTTCAGTCAGATATTGTTGAGGTGCCATGACCAAGATGGCGCCTCGTACGGTCGACATGGCTCTTTGCTGCTCTCTTTTGCTTTTGTTTTTACTTTTTAACTGTGCATCTGGCTGTTCCTACACCCGTGAGGAACTTATGAACATCCGACCCACCGTCCCCATGGACCTATTGCCTGTTTTCTTGGCATCTGCGGCTGATTTAGTCCATGTTCTAGCCAAAAAAGTGTGGGTCCGTAAAAGGGGAAAGCGTGGAGGCTGCTCGTGCGTCTGAGGAGGAGAGGAGCGCACGGCTCTCCCCGGCATTTTTCTCTCCAACGTACGCTCACTGGGCAATAAGACGAACTCAGCCTGCTCATGAGAAGAAACAAGGACTTCATCCTGTGTCCTCTGCTTCACTGAGACCTGGTGTCCTCTGTGTCCTCTGCTTCACTGAGACCTGGTGTCCTCTGCTTCACTGAGACCTGGTGTCCTCTGTGTCCTCTGCTTCACTGAGACCTGGTGTCCTCTGTGTCCTCTGCTTCACTGAGACCTGGTGTCCTCTGTGTCCTCTGCTTCACTGAGACCTGGTGTCCTCTGTGTCCTCTGCTTCACTGAGACCTGGTGTCCTCTGTGTCCTCTGCTTCACTGAGACCTGGTGTCCTCTGTGTCCTCTGCTTCACTGAGACCTGGTGTCCTCTGTGTCCTCTGCTTCACTGAGACCTGGTGTCCTCTGTGTCCTCTGCTTCACTGAGACCTGGTGTCCTCTGTGTCCTCTGCTTCACTGAGACCTGGTGTCCTCTGTGTCCTCTGCTTCACTGAGACCTGGTGTCCTCTGTGTCCTCTGCTTCACTGAGACCTGGTGTCCTCTGTGTCCTCTGCTTCACTGAGACCTGGTGTCCTCTGTGTCCTCTGCTTCACTGAGACCTGGTGTCCTCTGTGTCCTCTGCTTCACTGAGACCTGGTGTCCTCTGTGTCCCTCTGCTTCACTGAGACCTGGTGTCCTCTGTGTCCTCTGCTTCACTGAGACCTGGTGTCCTCTGTGTCCTCTGCTTCACTGAGACCTGGTGTCCTCTGTGTCCTTTGCTTCACTGAGACCTGGTGTCCTCTGTGTCCTCTGCTTCACTGAGACCTGGTGTCCTCTGTGTCCTCCATTGTGCGCTCTCAGGGAAGAGCAGAGGCGGTGGGCTGTGTTTCTACGTCAATACAAACTGGTGTAACGATCTGACAGTGATCTCCAAGCACTGCTCTCCTGCTCTGGAATATCTTTTCATTCATTGTAAACCATTTTACTCCCCTCGTGAAATTGTTTCATTCATTCTTGCCTCTGTTTACATACCGCCATGCGCGGACGTGCACGAGGCTCAGCTCGCACTCGCAGAGCAAGTACTGTGTATGGAACGCTTATACCCGGACTCTCTGATTATTATCCTGGGGGATTTTAATAAGGGAAACTTGAACCAGGAATTACCCAAATACAGACAGTTCATCAAATGCCCGACCAGAGAGGAGAACACTCTGGATCACTGCTACACCACCGTGCGCGGAGCTTTTCGATCTGTTCCGCGAGCAGCCCTCGGCTTCTCAGATCACTCCATGATACATCTGGTTCCTGCTTACAGACAGAGACTTTAGTCTCAAAACCTGCAGTGAGGAGCTCCAAAGTGTGGTCTGATGAAGCTGTGGAAGAGCTGCCTGCATGCATGGAATCTACAGACTGGACCTTTTCAGAGCTGCCACAGACAGTTTGGATGAATATACGGACACTGTAATCTTTATTTATATACCGCCTTTTCACTGCACATCGGAGTCTCAAAGCGGTTTACAATTGTTATTTTTGTGAGTGGGGCCAGTACAGGAGGCACATGCCAGACCTATTGTACATATTTTTAGTGGTAGGGGAAACCGGATCACCCGGAGGAAACCTACGCAGACACGGGGAGAACATGCAAACTCCACTCAGAAAGGCCCTGGTCCAACCGGGATTCGAACCCAGGACCTTCTTGCTGAGAGGCGAGCGTGCTATCCACTCAGCCACCGTGCCGCCACTGTGACGTCATACATTCACTTCTTTGAGGATAGCATCATTCCAACAAGGACCAGGGTCATCTATAACAACGACAAACCCTGGTTCACTGCTAAACTCCGGCAGCTCAGGAAAGCAAAGGAGTCTGCTTTCAGGGAGGGGGACCGCAGCGGCTACAAAGCAGCTAAATATCAGTTCAGGAAAGAACTGAAAGCAGCCAAGTCCCGGCACAGAGAACGACTACAGGAGCAGTTTGGTAACAACGATACTGCTTCTGTCTGGAGGGGCCTACGGGAGATCACCAACTACAAGCCCAAAGCCCCCCCCTGTGCTGACGACCACAAGCTAGCTGACGAACTGAACTTATATTTCAGTCGCTTTGATGCTGCCCCTGACACCTCCCCCACCCCCCACTACTCTAACGACCCACCCATCAGCCCTGCCCCCAGCCTAACAATAGCCTCTAAAGAGATTAAACAACTCTTCTTGAGGCTGCACCCCCGCAAAGCTCCTGGCCCGGACCACGTGTCTCCGGCCACTCTGAGACACTGCGCCAGTGAGCTTACTCCTGTGTTCACTGACATTTTCAACTCCTCTCTGCAGTCCTGCCATGTCCCGGCCTGCTTCAAATCCTCCATCATTGTCCCCGTCCCGAAGAAGCCCAGGATCACAGGACTCAACGACTACAGACCTGTAGCACTTACGTCTGTCGTCATGAAGTCATTTGAACGCCTGGTTCTCTCCCATCTCAAGTCCCTCACCTCCCCCCTCCTGGACCCCCTGCAGTTCACCTCCCCCCTCCTGGACCCCCTGCAGTTCACCTCCCCCCTCCTGGACCCCCTGCAGTTCGCCTACAGAGCCAACAGATCTGTAGACGACGCCATTAACCTGGCCCTCCACCACATTCTACAGCACCTGGACTCCCCGGGGACCTACGTCAGGGTCCTGTTCGTGGACTTCAGCTCTGCCTTCAACACAATCCTGCCATCCCTGCTCCAGGACACGCTCTCCCAGCTCAACGTGCCCGATTCCACCTGCAGGTGGATCACTGACTTCCTGACGGAGTGCGTCTGGGGAAGAATGTCTCGGACTCTCGGATTATAAATACAGGAGCCCCGGCTTCCGGTAATGGCGTCGGTGTGATCAGACGCACGTGAAAAGCTCCCTGATACTTCACCTCAGTTCTTATTAATACGCGCCGAACTTTATCAAGATTTGTACTTGTTAAGCCACGAGAAGTACTATTACACCTCCTAGCACAAAAATGAGTAAAACGAACAGTGGCCGAGGTAAAAACCAGCCTCCGCTAACACAGCACTTTAGCCAACAAGACAAGGAAGCTAGCAAGGAGCCGCTAACACTGAGCATGCTAGTCGGGGAGTTGGAGAAGCTTCATAAAAGTGTGACAAGTGAGCTCACCGGGTCCATAAACAGCACTTTGGCTCCTCTTCAAGCCTCGATCCAAACTCTGACTGAGACCGTCACTTCACACACCGCCACCATTGACGCCATGGAGACTGCTCTCTCCTCTCATTCAGATGGGATCACCGCCCTGGAGGAGCAGGTGACCACGCTTCAGTCTGAACTAGAAACAGTAAAACAGGTGAACGAGAAGCTCCAATTGTCCGTGGATGACCTGATTTCTTGCTCCAAAAGAAATAATCTCTGCATTGTCGGGGTCCCGGAGGGGGCGGAGGGCGCTGACACTCGTCTCTTCGTCACCACAATGCTTAAAAAAGTCAGCGGAGATGCTCTTCAAGACCTGGACCTGGAACTCGACCGCACTCATCGCAGTCTGGCCCCAAAGCCACTCCAAGGATCCCGACCCCTCATCGTTAGGTTCCACAGGTACATCCACAGAGAAAAAGTCTTGCAATGGGCCAAGAAGAACCGCGATGTATCATATCTGGGGCAGCCAATCCGGATCTTTGAAGATTTCAGCAACACCATCGCAAAGAAGCGGGCCAGTTTCAACAAGATCAAGAGCCAGCTCTACAAAGATGGAATACGCTTTGGCGTCATCTATCCAGCCCGCTTGAGAATCACCGTGAACGGACAGACGCACTTGTTTGACTCAGCGGAGGAGGCAGAGCGGTTCTACTTGAGGAGCAAGTAATTGTATGGAGGGCCAAACATGCCAAATTCAGTCAAGGTAAAGTTTAACAACAATTATTTGAAGAACATTATGAACAATTTCAACAGTTTCAAATCAACATTTACTCTGTTATTCCAAAAAAATAAAAATAAAGTGGCCACTTTTGTTTGTGTGTAATATGTATTAGTTTGTTTTGTAATTTTTCCTGCTAGCTCATCTTTTTTGTTTTCTTAGGTGAGTTTAGGACAGTGTGTTGTTTCTGATGCCAGTTAGAGCATCAGTCACAGTTAATATATGTGTGTGGGGGGGGTGTCATTTTATGTGTCTTTTTCCCCTTTTATTTTATTTTATTTTTTTATTTATTTTTCTTTTCTCAATGAATATACTCTATTGCAGTGCTCATGCTATTGCATTTCCACTCGATATGGCACAAGCTATTTTGTTTATTTCATGTTACCAAACTATAACATCTGGAAACAAACATTTTTGACTCAATGGAAGAACTAGACTCTATTAGATTTACGTCCTGGAATGTAAAAGGAGTTGGTGGACCCGTCAAGAGAGCGAGAGTCTTTTCACATCTTAAGCAACTCAAATCAGGAATAGTTTTCCTTCAAGAGACCCATATGCGTGTCTGTGATCACACCAGGCTGCGGAAGCCCTGGGTTGGACCTGTGTTTCATTCAAGTTTTAAAAGCCGATCAAGAGGCACTGCAATATTAATTCACAAAAAAATACAGTTTTTGCCTGATCAGATTCTACCGGACCCAAACGGACGTTATATTATTGTTGTTGCACCTTCTTCCACATGTTTGGTGTGTCTCCCAGGTGGCTTGTGGCAAACTTTAAACCAGACTTTTTATGGATATCTTTGAGAAATGGCTTTCTTCTTGCCACTCTTCCATAAAGGCCAGATTTGTGCAGTGCACGACTGATTGTTGTCCTATGGACAGACTCTCCCACCTCAGCTGTAGTTATCTGCAGTTCATCCAGAGTGATCATGGGCCTCTTGGCTGCATCTCTGATCAGTCTTCTCCTTGTTTGAGATGAAAGTTTGGAGGGACGGCCGGGTCTTGGTAGATTTGCAGTGGTCTGATACTCCTTCCATTTCAATATAATTGCTTGCACAGTGCTCCTTGAGATGTTTGAAGCTTGGGAAATCTTTTTGTATCCAAATCCGGCTTTAAACTTCTAGACAGGGTTATTATCATAGATCCATGTGTGGGACAGAGTTATTATTATAGATCCATGTGTGGGACAGGGTTATTATTATAGATCCATGTGTGGGACAGAGTTATTATCATAGATCCATGTGTGGGACAGAGTTATTATTATAGATCCATGTGTGGGACAGAGTTATTATCATAGATCCATGTGTGGGACAGAGTTATATCATAGATCCATGTGTGGGACAGAGTTATTATTATAGATCCATGTGTGGGACAGGGTTATTATTATAGATCCATGTGTGGGACAGAGTTATTATCATAGATCCATGTGTGGGACAGAGTTATTATTATAGATCCATGTGTGGGACAGAGTTATTATTATAGATCCATGTGTGGGACAGAGTTATTATTATAGATCCATGTGTGGGACAGAGTTATTATTATAGATCCATGTGTGGGACAGAGTTATTATTATAGATCCATGTGTGGGACAGAGTTATTGTTGAGTTGGTGCTCTCACTATAATAATTATTATTATTATTATGAATGTTTACGCCTGTATTTATGTTGAGAAGACTGTTTTATTTACATTTGGATAACTCTGTTTTCTTTTCCTGTTTACCAATGGGCGTGGTTAATAAATAGTCCAGCGCCGCAGCTGATGCCGGTTGCGCGTAATGGAATGAATGGAATGCAGTGTGTCCCGAGTTCTATTTCCTCCATATATCTGTCTCTTGTCTCTTTATCTGGGTTCACAACGCGAATCTGCTGCTGGATTACCTCTGCCAACAGGTTATGGGCCCAGAGTAACCCAGAGTAACCCAGAGTAACCCAGAGTAACCCAGAGTAACCCAGAGTAACCCAGAGTGACTCAGAGTAACCATGAGTAAACGGGTCGGAGATCCAAGCCGCTGGTCTCGCCTGTTGTTTGATGGAGATGAGAAAAATTATGAACTGTGGGAGACAAAGTTCTTGGGCCACCTCCGTTTGCAAGGCCTGAAAGACATTATTCTCAATGTACCCGATGCGGGAGACGCAGAGGAGCAACTTGAACAGGACGCCAAAAATGCAGAGGCTTATGCAGAACTCATTCAATTCCTGGATGATAAAAGCTTGTCATTGGTAATGCGGGAAGCAGCCGATGACGGACAAAAAGCCCTGGGGATTTTGAGAGATTATTATCAAGGCAAAGGAAAGCCACGTATAATCAGCCTTTATACCGAGCTGACGTCACTTCATAAGAGTGAGAATGAAAGTGTGACTGAATATGTGATTCGCGCAGAGACAGCCATCACAGCGCTGAGGAATGCCGGTGAGGCTCTGAGTGACGGACTATTGGTCGCGATGGTCCTCAAAGGGCTTCCCGAACTCTTCAAACCGTTTGTGATCCATGTCACACAGCTCGATGAGTCCATATCTTTTGCTGAGTTCAAAACAAAGTTACGCAGCTACGAGGACACTGAGAGGATGCGGGTTTGTGCAGCGGAAGATAACGTGATGAAAGCGCGTGTGCAGCAGAGATGGAGACCTGCTGTTACGGGTGACCGAGGAGCGGACCGAGGAGCGGACCGAGGAGCGGACCGAGGAGCGGACCGAGGAGCGGACCGAGGTGCGGACCGAGGAGCGGACCGAGGTGCGGACCGAGGAGCGGACCGAGGTGCGGACCGAGGAGCGGACAGGACAGCGATGGATTTAACGTGCTTCAAATGTGGATTGAAGGGACACTTGGCCAGAGCCTGTCAGTGACTGTGGTGCAGTCACTGCAGGAGCACTACGCACCGGGACACCACCTGCAGGAGGAAACAGCGCAAAAAGACCGGGACGACGCTCACAAAGCCTCCGAGGAGTCTGCAGGAGACCAGGAGTACGCTTTCAGAGCGAGCGAGGGGTCTGCAGGTGTCGACATGAAGGGCCTGATGGTCGACTGCGGGGCAACCTCGCATATAATTATGGATCTCGCAAAGTTCCAGAGGTTCGACCAAGCATTCCAGGCAGAGACACACTGCGTGGAGTTGGCTGATGGGACAAGGTGCCAGGGGGTAGCAGTGCGCCGCGGAGATGCTGAGGTCAGTTTGATTGACAGCTGTGGCAGGCATCTGAGCACCACGCTGAGACGAGCACTGTACATCCCTTCCTATCCACAAGACATATTTTCGGTGAAAGCAGCCACCTTGAACGGGGCCACTGTGACGTTCAAGAACGGGAAGGACTGCCTGATTCACAAAGACGGTACGAAATTCCACATTCACGAACATTCCAGACTGTATTATTTACACACTGCAAATAACGATGAATGTGATGACCAATGCAAGGGGTGTTTTGACATGCAAACATGGCACGAGATTTTAGGACATTGTAACTATGATGATATCCAGAGGTTACAAAGTGTTGTTGATGGTATGAAAATCAAAGGGTCGCCAAACCAACATCCACAGTGTGAAGTGTGTATGCAGGGGAAGTTTTTCCAGACTAGAAACAGACAACCAGATATAAGAGCTAAAAGGCCTCTGGAGCTAGTGCACACTGATTTAGCAGGGCCAATTCACCCGGAGTCTAGAGACAGTCACAGATATGCGCTTTCCTTCACTGACGATTTTCGTATATTTCTTAAAGAATAAAAGTGACACTGTACTTGCTACTGAAAAGTTTCTGGCTGATACGGCTCCATATGGCAAAGTCAAGTGCTTCAGGTCAGATAACGGTACAGAGTACACGGGGAAAGAATTCCAGGCCCTACTAATTAGACATAAGATCAAACATGAAAGGTCTGCCCCTTACTCTCCCCACCAGAATGGCACTGCCGAGCGAAATTGGCGTACGCTTTTTGATATGGCACGATGCATGTTGATTGACAGTGGTCTTCCAAAAGAACTGTGGACTCATGCGGTACAGACCGCCGCTATTGTGAGAAACAGATGTTATAATAAACGCACAAAGCAGACTCCATTTGAAGGACTTACAGGTCGGAGGCCTAATCTATCTAAAATGCAGAAGTTTGGGTCACAGTGTTTTGTGTATAAACAAGACAAAAGGAAACTGGATCCAAAATGTGAAAAGTGTGTATTTATCGGATTTGACAAAAACAGCCCGGCATATGTTGTCTATTTTCCTGACACTAAGAAAGTGCAGAAGCACAGGCTGATACAATTTGTGACTAAAACTGGTGTAGAGCAGCAGACACAGACTAACTTTACACCTTCTGATTTTGTGCAATACGAGTCGAGAAGTCCAGGTTACAGTGTTCCAGGTGGACTAAAATCTGAGGAGATCAGTGACCAATCAGAATTTAGCCCACATGAAATACAGCCAGTAGAGGGCGAGAGTGAGCCTGAGCCTGAGCCCAGACGTTATCCTGTGAGAGAGAAAAGAATGCCAGACAGATACACAGACTGCAAAGTATCTAATTATGTGTCTGAAGAGACCGATCAAGTCCAGAGTAACATTGATTACTGTTATCGAGTTATTTGCAACATACTTGTCTCATTTACAGAAGCAGTAGCCTCAGAAAGATCCAAAGAGTGGATCCAAGCAATGGATGAGGAAATGCAGTCACTTAGAGAGAACGAGACATTCACCCTAACCAGCTTGCCCGAGGGTAAGAGAGCAGTGGGGGGTAGATGGGTGTATGCAATCAAAAATAATATTGACGGGTCTGAAATGTATAAAGCCCGATTCGTTGCAAAGGGGTACAATCAAAAAATGGGTGTTGACTATGAGGACACATTTTCCCCCACAGCCAACCTCACAAGTATCCGAGTAATAATGCAAAAAGAAGCTCAGGAAAATTTGATTTTGCACCAGATGGATGTAAAGACTGCCTATCTGAATGCACCAATAGACTGTGAGCTATATATGGAACAGCCTGAGGGTTATGTGGTCAGATCTCACAAAAAGGAAACGTTGGTATGTAAACTACAGAAGTCACTGTACGGGCTGAAACAATCGGGCAGAAATTGGAACACATTTTTAAATGATTATTTGACTCAAAATGATTTTACCCAGAACCAGACTGATCACTGTGTTTATGTCAGAGAAACAAAGCGTGATAAGGTCATCATGGTTATTTGGGTTGATGACCTAATCATTGCAGCAAGTGATGTAAATGCATTGAATGTGGTGAAGAACATGCTTACAGCAAGGTTTAAAATGAAGGACTTGGGGAGACTTGGACATTTTCTAGGCATTGATTTTAACCAGAGTGATGACAGTGTAACAATGACACAAGAAAAATATGTCATGAACATTCTGAAGAGGTTCAACATGCAGGATTGTAAACCGAGATCCACACCCTGCGAACAAAAGTTCAATTATGAAGACACTGCTCCAATAATGAGTGATGTTGAAAAATACAGGGAAGCAGTGGGAAGTCTCATTTATTTAACTGTTTGTACTAGACCTGATTTAAGCTTTGTTGTAAGCAAACTGTCACAGTACTTTTCCAAACCAACTGAACAACAGTGGGGTACAGTTAAACATGTACTGAGGTTTCTCAAAGCCACATGTAACAAAAAGTTGTGTTACAGGAGATGTGATGGACAGTTGGGACTCCGAGCATACAGTGATGCAGATTGGGCTGCTGATGTCCATGACAGGCGGAGTATGTCCGGTTATTGCATAAGCTTAACTGAGGAGGGCCCCCTAGTGTCATGGAGAGCTAAAAAGCAGGCGACTGTAGCATTGTCCACTTGTGAGTCGGAGTATATTGCACTGGCTGCCACCATCCAAGAATGCCTGTATCTCAAACAACTCTTGGAGAGCATGGATCACAGTCAATATGCACTGCCCAAGGTGTATGAGGACAACCAAGGCACTGTGGCCATAGCCAAGAATCCTGTCAGCAGGCAGAGATGTAAACATGTGGACATAAAGTACCATTTTATACGCTCCATTTTGAACCAGGGGACAATGTCCCTAGAGTATTGCCCTACAGAGCAGATGGTTGCAGATCTGATGACCAAACCTGCAACAACATTTAAGTTGAACAAGTTTGATGAATTCCTATTTGGAATTGACTAAAGAGTTTTTTTTCCGGTTGATGTAATGTAAGAGCAAGTGGGGGTGTTGAGTTGGTGCTCTCACTATAATTATAATTATTATTATTATGAATGTTTACGCCTGTATTTATGTTGAGAAGACTGTTTTATTTACATTTGGATAACTCTGTTTTCTTTTCCTGTTTACCAATGGGCGTGGTTAATAAATAGTCCAGCGCCGCAGCTGATGCCGGTTGCTCGTAATGGAATGAATGGAATGCAGTGTGTCCCGAGTTCTATTTCCTCCATATATCTGTCTCTTGTCTCTTTATCTGGGTTCACAACGCGAATCTGCTGCTGGATTACCTCTGCCAACAGTTATTATCATAGATCCATGTGTGGGACAGAGTTATTATTATAGATCCATGTGTGGGACAGAGTTATTATCATAGATCCATGTGTGGGACAGAGTTATTATCATAGATCCATGTGTGGGACAGAGTTATTATCATAGATCCATGTGTGGGACAGAGTTATTATCATAGATCCATGTGTGGGACAGAGTTATTATCATAGATCCATGTGTGGGACAGGGTTATTATCATAGATCCATGTGTGGGACAGAGTTATTATTATAGATCCATGTGTGGGACAGAGTTATTATCATAGATCCATGTGTGGGACAGAGTTATTATTATAGATCCATGTGTGGGACAGAGTTATTATCATAGATCCATGTGTGGGACAGAGTTATTATATAGATCCATGTGTGGGACAGAGTTATTATCATAGATCCATGTGTGGGACAGAGTTATTATTATAGATCCATGTGTGGGACAGAGTTATTATTATAGATCCATGTGTGGGACAGAGTTATTATCATAGATCCATGTGTGGGACAGAGTTATTATCATAGATCCATGTGTGGGACAGAGTTATTATTATAGATCCATGTGTGGGACAGAGTTATTATCATAGATCCATGTGTGGGACAGAGTTATTATCATAGATCCATGTGTGGGACAGAGTTATTATTATAGATCCATGTGTGGGACAGAGTTATTATCATAGATCCATGTGTGGGACAGAGTTATTATCATAGATCCATGTGTGGGACAGAGTTATTATTATAGATCCATGTGTGGGACAGAGTTATTATCATAGATCCATGTGTGGGACAGAGTTATTATCATAGATCCATGTGTGGGACAGAGTTATTATTATAGATCCATGTGTGGGACAGAGTTATTATTATAGATCCATGTGTGGGACAGAGTTATTATCATAGATCCATGTGTGGGACAGAGTTATTATTATAGATCCATGTGTGGGACAGAGTTATTATCATAGATCCATGTGTGGGACAGAGTTATTATCATAGATCCATGTGTGGGACAGAGTTATTATTATAGATCCATGTGTGGGACAGAGTTATTATCATAGATCCATGTGTGGGACAGAGTTATTATTATAGATCCATGTGTGGGACAGAGTTATTATTATAGATCCATGTGTGGGACAGAGTTATTATTATAGATCCATGTGTGGGACAGAGTTATTATTATAGATCCATGTGTGGGACAGAGTTATTATTATAGATCCATGTGTGGGACAGAGTTATTATTATAGATCCATGTGTGGGACAGAGTTATTATTATAGATCCATGTGTGGGACAGAGTTATTATCATAGATCCATGTGTGGGACAGAGTTATTATCATAGATCCATGTGTGGGACAGTTATTATCATAGATCCATGTGTGGGACAGGGTTATTATCATAGATCCATGTGTGGGACAGAGTTATTATCATAGATCCATGTGTGGGACAGGGTTATTATTATAGATCCATGTGTGGGACAGAGTTATTATCATAGATCCATGTGTGGGACAGGGTTATTATCATAGATCCATGTGTGGGACAGGGTTATTATCATAGATCCATGTGTGGGACAGTTATTATCATAGATCCATGTGTGGGACAGGGTTATTATTATAGATCCATGTGTGGGACAGAGTTATTATCATAGATCCATGTGTGGGACAGAGTTATTACATTTCGTTGCTGCAGCGCACATGCAGTAGTAAGAGCACACAGGGAGCACACACAATATATACAAATAAGTAGTAGCTATGTTTCTTAGCTAACATAACTAGCTGTAGATGCTGAAAATGCTTCAATACCAGTCAAAAATATATATGTAGTAGTGCAGTTATATACTGTACAGTTAAATAGTGCAGGATAAAAAGTACAGTGCCTTGCAAAAGTATTCGGCCCCCTTGAACCTTTCAACATGTCGCCACATTTTAGGCTTCAAACATAAAGATATCAAATTTTATTTTTTTGTCATGAATCAACAACAAGTCGGACACAATCGTGAAGTGGAACGAAATGTATTGGATAATTTAAACTTTGTTAACAAATAAAAAACTGAAAAGTGGGGCGTGCAATATTATTCGGCCCCTTTACTTTCAGTGCAGCAAACTCAGTCCAGAAGTTCAGTGAGGATCTTTGAATGATCCAATGTTGTCCTAAATGACTGATGATGATAAATAGAATGCACCTGTGTGTAATCAAGTCTCCGTATAAATGCACCTGCTCTTTGATAGTCTCAGGGTTCTGTTTAAAGCGCAGAGAGAACCATGAAGACAAAGGAACACACCAGGCAGGTCCGAGATACTGTTGTGGAGAAGTTTAAAGCCGGATTTGGATACAAAAAGATTTCCCAAGCTTTAAACATCTCAAGGAGCACTGTGCAAGCAATTATATTGAAATGGAAGGAGTATCAGACCACTGCAAATCTACCAAGACCCGGCCGTCCCTCCAAACTTTCATCTCAAACAAGGAGAAGACTGATCAGAGATGCAGCCAAGAGGCCCATGATCACTCTGGATGAACTGCAGATAACTACAGCTGAGGTGGGAGAGTCTGTCCATAGGACAACAATCAGTCGTGCACTGCACAAATCTGGCCTTTATGGAAGAGTGGCAAGAAGAAAGCCATTTCTCAAAGATATCCATAAAAAGTCTTGTTTAAAGTTTGCCACAAGCCACCTGGGAGACACACCAAACATGTGGAAGAAGGTGCTCTGGTCAGATGAAACCAAAATCGAACTTTTTGGCCACAATGCAAAACGATATGTTTGTCGTAAAAGCAACACAGCTCATCACCCTGAACACACCATCCCCACTGTCAAACATGGTGGTGGCAGCATCATGCTTTGGGCCTGCTTTTCTTCAGCAGGGACAGGGAAGATGGCTAAAATTGATGGGAAGATGGATGGAGCCAAATACAGGACAAAGTATTAACGCAAGGGGCCGAATAATATTGCACGCCCCACTTTTCAGTTTTATATTTGTTAAAAAAGTTTAAATTATCTAATACATTTTGTTCCACTTCACGATTGTGTCCCACTTGTTGATTTTTGACAAAAAATAATTTTTTATATCTTTATGTTTGAAGCCTGAAATGTGGCGAAATGTTGAAAGGTTCAAGGGGGCGAATACTTTCGCAAGGCACTGTATATAAGTAAAGAGACATGAGGTAAAGAGACATGAGGTAAAGAGACATGAGGTAAAGAGACATGAGGTAAAGAGGGACATGAGGTAAAGAGACATGACATGACCGTTAACGTATCCTTCTCTGACCGGTACGTCTCCTTCTCTGACCGTTACGTCACTTCTCTGACGTTACGTTATGTCTCCTTCTCTGACCGTACGTCTCCTTTACTGACCGTTACGTTCCTTTACTGACCGGTAGTCTCTTCTCTGACCGGTAAGTCTCCTTCTATGAAGTTACGTCTCCTTCTCATGACCGTTACGTCTTTTACTGACCGTTACGTTCTTTACTGACGGTACGTCTCCTTCTCTGACGTTCGTTTTGTCTCCTTTTTTGACGCTACTTTTCCATCATGACCGTATCGTCTCCTTCTCTGTCCTTCACGTTTCTTTCTCCTGACCGTTACAATCTCCTTACTGACTGTTACGTTCCTTCACTGACCGTTACGTCTTTCTGCCAATGTAACCCTGCTCACAAGTGCCACCTGGTGGTTGTTTTGGTCATTGCAACGTCACTGGGAGGGGGGAAAATAAAAGACGCGTGAATCACACGAGATTCACGTGTGATTCACGCGTGAAAGGCGACAAAACGGAATGGGACCTACTGTACGTCTCCTTCACTGACCGTTACGTCTCCTTCTCTGACCGTTACATCTCCTTTTCTGACCGTTACGTCTCCTTCTCTGACCGTTACGTCTCCTTCTCTGACCGTTACGTCTCCTTCTCTGACTGTTACGTCTCCTTCACTGTCCGTTACGTCTCCTTTTCTGACCGTTACGTCTCCTTCTCTGACCGTTACGTCTCCTTCACTGTCCGTTACGTCTCCTTTTCTGACCGGTACGTCTCCTTCTTTGACCGTTACGTCTCCTTCACTGACCGTACGTCCCTTCTCTGACCGTTACGTCTCCTTCTTTGACCGTTACGTCTCCTTCACTGACCGTTACGTTTCCTTCTAAGACCGTTAAGTCTCCTTCACTGACCGTTACGTCTCCTTTACTGACCGTTACGTCTCCTTTACTGACCGGTACGTCTCCTTCTCTGACCGTTACGTTATGTCCCCTTTTTTGACCGCTACATTTCCTTCACTGACCGTTATGTCTCCTTCTCTGACCGCTATGTTTCCTTCACTGACCGTTACGTCACGTCTCCTTCTCTGACCGTTACGTCTCCTTCACTGACCGTTACGTCTCCTTCTCTGACCGGTACGTCTCCTTCTCTGACCGTTACGTCTCCTTCACTGACCGTTACGTCTCCTTCACTGACTGTTACGTCTCCTTCACTGACTGTTACGTTATGTCTCCTTCTCTGACCGTTACGTTACGTCTCCTTCTCTGACCGGTACGTCTCCTTCTCTGACCGTTACGTCTCCTTCACTGACTGTTACGTCTCCTTCTCTGACCGTTACGTTATGTCTCCTTCTCTGACCGTTACGTTACGTCTCCTTCTCTGACCGGTACGTCTCCTTCTCTGACCGTTACGTCTCCTTCACTGACTGTTACGTCTCCTTCTCTGACCGTTACGTTATGTCTCCTTCTCTGACCGCTACGTTTCCTTCACTGACCGCTACATTTCCTTCACTGACCGTTACGTTTCCTTCACTGACCGCTACATTTCCTTCACTGACCGTTACGTCTCCTTCACTGCCGTTACGTTACGTCTCCTTCTCTGACCGTTACATTTCCTTCACTGACCGTTACGTCACGTCTCCTTCTCTGACCGTCACGTCTCCTTCACTGACCGTTACGTTTCCTTCTCTGACTGTTACGTCTCCTTCACTGACCGTTACGTCTCCTTCTCTGACCGTTACGTCTCCTTCTCTGACCTTCATGTTTCCTTCTCTGACCGTTACGTCTCCTTCACTGACTGTTACGTCTCCTTCACTGACCGTTACGTCTCCTTCTCTGACCGGTACGTCTCCTTCACTGACTGTTACGTCTCCTTCTCTGACCGCTACATCTCCTTCTCTGACCGTTACGTCTCCTTCACTGACCGTTACGTCTCCTTCTCTGACCGGTATGTCTCCTTCACTGACTGTTACGTCTCCTTCTCTGACCGCTACGTCTCCTTTACTGACCGGTACATCTCCTTCTCTGACCGGTACGTCTCCTTCTCTGACCGTTACGTCTCCTTCACTGACCGTTATGTTACGTCTCCTTCTCTGACCGTTACGTCTCCTTTTCTGACCGTTACGTCTCCTTTACTGACCGGTACGTCTCCTTCTCTGACCGGTACGTCTCCTTCTCTGACCGTTACGTCTCCTTCTCTGACCGGTACGTCTCCTTCTCTGACCGGTACGTCTCCTTCTCTGACCGTTACGTCTCCTTCACTGACTGTTACGTCTCCCTCTCTGACCGTTACGTTATGTCTCCTTCTCTGACCGTTACATCTCCTTCTCTGACCGCTACATTTCCTTCACTGACCGTTACGTCTCCTTCACTGACCGTTACGTTACGTATCCTTCACTGACCGTTACGTCACGTCTCCTTCTCTGACCGTTACGTCTCCTTCACTGACCGTTACGTTTCCTTCTCTGACCGTTACGTCTCCTTTACTGACCGTTACGTCTCCTTCTCTGACCGTTACGTCTCCTTCACTGACCGTTAGTCTCCTTCTCTGACCGTTACGTCTCCTTCACTGACCGTTACGTCTCCTTCTCTGACTGTTACGTCTCCTTCACTGACCGCTACGTCTCCTTCACTGACCGTTACGTTTCCTTCTCTGCCCGTTAAGTCTCCTTCTCTGACCGTTACGTCTCCTTCTCTGACCGTTACGTCTCCTTCTCTGACCGTTACGTCTCCTTCACTGACCGTTACGTCTCCTTCTCTGACCTTCACGTCTCCTTCTCTGACCGTTACGTCTCCTTCACTGACTGTTACGTCTCCTTCACTGACCGTTACGTCTCCTTCACTGACCGTTACGTCTCCTTCACTGACCGTTACGTCTCCTTCACTGACCGTTACGTCACATCTCCTTCTCTGACCGTTACGTCTCCTTCACTGACCGTTACGTTTCCTTCACTGACCGTTACGTCACATCTCCTTCTCTGACCGTTACGTTTCCTTCTCTGACCGTTAAGTCTCCTTCTCTGACCATTACGTTTCCTTCACTGACCGTTACGTCACGTCCGGTCCTCCTTCTCTGACCGTCACGTCTCCTTCTCTGACCGTCACATCTCCTTCTCTGACCGTTACGTCTCCTTCTCTGACCGTTACGTTACTCCGTTAAGTCCCTTCTCTGACCGTTACGTCTCCTTCTCTGACCGTTCCTTCACTGACCGTTACGTCTCCTTCTCTGACCGTTACGTCTCCTTTACTGACCGTTACGTACGTCTCCTTCTCTGACCGTTACGTCTCCTTCACTGACCGTTACGTCCGTCTCCTTCTCTGACCGTTACGTCTCCTTTACTGACCGTTACGTTACTCTCCTTCACTGACCGTTACGTCTCCTTCTCTGACCGTTACGTCTCCTTTCTCTGACCGTTACGTCTCCTTATGACCGTTACGACCGTTACTGACTCGTACTCTTTTACTGACCGTTACGTCTCCTTTACTGACCGGTACGTCTCCTTCACTGACCGGTTACGTCTCCTTCTCTGACCGTTACGTCTCCTTCTCTGACCGTTACGTCTCTTTCTCTGACCGTTACGTCTCCTTTACTGACCGTTACGTCTCCTTCTGACCGTTACGTCTCTTTCTTTCTCTGACCGTTACGTTACGTTACGTCCTTTACTGACCGGTTACGTTTCCTTCACTGACCGTTACGTCACATCTCCTTCTCTGACCGTTACGTTTCCTTCTCTGACCGTTAAGTCTCCTTCTCTGACCATTACGTTTCCTTCACTGACCGTTACGTCTCCTTCACTGACCGTTACGTCACGTCTCCTTCTCTGACCGTTACGTCTCCTTCTCTGACCGTTACGTTTCCTTCACTGACCGTTACGTCACATCTCCTTCTCTGACCGTTACGTTTCCTTCTCTGACCGTTAAGTCTCCTTCTCTGACCGTTACGTTTCCTTCACTGACCGTTACGTCACATCTCCTTCTCTGACCGTTACGTTTCCTTCACTGACCGTTACGTTTCCTTCACTGACCGTTACGTCTCCTTCACTGACTGTTACGTCTCCTTCACTGACCGTTACGTCCACGTCTCCTTCTCTGACCGTTACGTCTCCTTCTCTGGACCGTTACGTCACGTCTCCTTCTCTGACCGTTACGTCTCCTTCTCTGACCGTTACGTTTCCTTCACTGACCGTTACGTCACATCTCCTTCTCTGACCGTTACGTTTCCTTCACTGACTGTTACGTCTCCTTCACTGACCGTTACGTCACGTCTCCTTCTCTGACCGTTACGTCTCCTTCTCTGACCGTTACGTTTCCTTCACTGACCGTTACGTCACGTCTCCTTCTCTGACCGTTACGTCTCCTTCACTGACCGTTACGTCACATCTCCTTCTCTGACCGTTACGTCTCCTTCTCTGACCGTTACGTTTCCTTCACTGACCGTTACGTCACATCTCCTTCTCTGACCGTTACGTTTCCTTCTCTGACCGTTAAGTCTCCTTCTCTGACCATTACGTTTCCTTCACTGACCGTTACGTCACGTCTCCTTCTCTGACCGTTACGTCTCCGTCTCTGACCTTCATCTCCTTCTCTGACCGTCACATCTCCTTCTCTGACCGTTACGTCTCCTTCTCTGACCGTTACGTTACGTCTCCTTCTCTGACCGTTACGATTCCTTCACTGACCGTTACGTCTCCTTCTCTGACCGTTACGTCTCCTTTACTGACCGTTACGTCTCCTTCTCTGACCGTTACGTCTCCTTCACTGACCGTTACGTCTCCTTCTCTGACCGGTACGTCTCCTTTACTGAACGTTATGTCTCCTTCACTGACCGTTACGTCTCCTTCTCTGACCGTTACGTCTCTTTCTCTGACCGTTACGTCTCCTTTACTGACCGTTACGTCTCCTTCACTGACCGTTACGTCTCCCTTCTCTGACCGTTACGTCTCTTTCCTGACCGTTACGTCTCCTTTACTGACCGTTACGTCTCCTTCTCTGACCGTTACGTCTCTTTTCTCGACCGTTACGTCTCCTTTACTGACCGTTACGTCTCCTTCTCTGACCGTTACGTCTCCTTCTCTGACCGTTACGTCTCTTTCTCTGACCGTTACGTCTCCTTTACTGACCGTTACGTCTCCTTCTCTGACCGTTACGTCTCCTTCTCTGACCGTTACGTCTCCTTCCGTTACGTCTCCTTTCTGACCGTACTCTCCTTCACTGACCGTTACGTCTCCTTCTTCTGACCGTTAAGTCTCCTTCTCTGACCGTTACGTCTCCTTCTCTGACCATTACGTTTCCTTCACTGACCGTTACGTCTCCTTCACTGACCGTTACGTCACGTCTCCTTCTCTGACCGTTACGTCTCCTTCTCTGACCGTTACGTTTCCTTCACTGACCGTTACGTCACATCTCCTTCTCTGACCGTTACGTTTCCTTCTCTGACCGTTAAGTCTCCTTCTCTGACCGTTACGTTTCCTTCACTGACCGTTACGTCACATCTCCTTCTCTGACCGTTACGTTTCCTTCACTGACCGTTACGTTTCCTTCACTGACCGTTACGTCTCCTTCACTGACTGTTACGTCTCCTTCACTGACCGTTACGTCACGTCTCCTTCTCTGACCGTTACGTCTCCTTCACTGACCGTTACGTCACGTCTCCTTCTCTGACCGTTACGTCTCCTTCTCTGACCGTTACGTTTCCTTCACTGACCGTTACGTCACATCTCCTTCTCTGACCGTTACGTTTCCTTCACTGACTGTTACGTCTCCTTCACTGACCGTTACGTCACGTCTCCTTCTCTGACCGTTACGTCTCCTTCTCTGACCGTTACGTTTCCTTCACTGACCGTTACGTCACGTCTCCTTCTCTGACCGTTACGTCTCCTTCACTGACCGTTACGTCACGTCTCCTTCTCTGACCGTTACGTCTCCTTCTCTGACCGTTACGTTTCCTTCACTGACCGTTACGTCACATCTCCTTCTCTGACCGTTACGTTTCCTTCTCTGACCGTTAAGTCTCCTTCTCTGACCATTACGTTTCCTTCACTGACCGTTACGTCACGTCTCCTTCTCTGACCGTTACGTCTCCGTCTCTGACCTTCACATCTCCTTCTCTGACCGTCACATCTCCTTCTCTGACCGTTACGTCTCCTTCTCTGACCGTTACATTACGTCTCCTTCTCTGACCGTTACGATTCCTTCACTGACCGTTACGTCTCCTTCTCTGACCGTTACGTCTCCTTTACTGACCGTTACGTCTCCTTCTCTGACCGTTACGTCTCCTTCACTGACCGTTACGTCTCCTTCTCTGACCGGTACGTCTCCTTTACTGAACGTTATGTCTCCTTCACTGACCGTTACGTCTCCTTCTCTGACCGTTACGTCTCTTTCTCTGACCGTTACGTCTCCTTTACTGACCGTTACGTCTCCTTCACTGACCGTTACGTCTCCTTCTCTGACCGTTACGTCTCTTTCTCTGACCGTTACGTCTCCTTTACTGACCGTTACGTCTCCTTTACTGACCGTTACGTCTCCTTTACTGACCGGTACGTCTCCTTTACTGACCGGTACGTCTCGTTCTCTGACCGGTACGTCTCCTTCTCTGACCGGTGCGTCTCTTTCTCTGACCGTTACGTCTCCTTTACTGACCGTTACGTCTCCTTCTCTGACCGTTACGTCTCTTTCTCTGACCGTTACGTCTCCTTTACTGACCGTTACGTCTCCTTTACTGACCGGTACGTCTCCTTTACTGACCGTTACGTCTCCTTCTCTGACCGTTAAGTCTCCTTCTCTGACCGTTACGTCTCCTTCTCTGACCGTTACGTTACGTCTCCTTCTCTGACCGTTACGTTACGTCTCCTTCTCTGACCGTTACGTTTTCTTCACTGACTGTTACGTCTCCTTCTCTGACCGGTATGTCTCTTTCTCTGACCGTTACGTCTCCTTTACTGACCGTTACGTCTCCTTCTCTGACCGTTACGTTACGTCTCCTTCTCTGACCGTTACATCTCCTTTTCTGACCGTTACGTCTCCTTCTCTGACCGTTACGTCTCCTTCTCTGACCGTTACGTCTCCTTCTCTGACCGTTACGTCTCCTTCTCTGACCGTTACGTCTCCTTCACTGTCCGATACGTCTCCTTTTCTGACCGTTACGTCTCCTTCTCTGACCGTTACGTCTCCTTCTCTGACCGTTACGTCTCCCTTCACTGACCGGTACGTCTCCTTCTCTGACCGTTACGTCTCCTTCTTTGACCGTTACGTCTCCTTCACTGACCGTTACGTTTCCTTCTAAGACCGTTAAGTCTCCTTCACTGACCGTTACGTCTCCTTTACTGACCGTTACGTCTCCTTTACTGACCGGTACGTCTCCTTCTCTGACCGTTACGTTATGTCCCCTTTTTTGACCGCTACATTTCCTTCACTGACCGTTATGTCTCCTTCTCTGACCGCTATGTTTCCTTCACTGACCGTTACGTCACGTCTCCTTCTCTGACCGTTACGTCTCCTTCTCTGACCGGTACGTCTCCTTCTCTGACCGTTACGTCTCCTTCACTGACCGTTACGTCTCCTTCACTGACTGTTACGTCTCCTTCACTGACTGTTACGTTATGTCTCCTTCTCTGACCGTTACGTTACGTCTCCTTCTCTGACCGGTACGTCTCCTTCTCTGACCGTTACGTCTCCTTCACTGACTGTTACGTCTCCTTCTCTGACCGTTACGTTATGTCTCCTTCTCTGACCGTTACGTTACGTCTCCTTCTCTGACCGGTACGTCTCCTTCTCTGACCGTTACGTCTCCTTCACTGACTGTTACGTCTCCTTCTCTGACCGTTACGTTATGTCTCCTTCTCTGACCGCTACGTTTCCTTCACTGACCGCTACATTTCCTTCACTGACCGTTACGTCTCCTTCACTGCGGTTACGTTACGTCTCCTTCTCTGACCGTTACATTTCCTTCACTGACCGTTACGTCACGTCTCCTTCTCTGACCGTCACGTCTCCTTCACTGACCGTTACGTTTCCTTCTCTGACTGTTACGTCTCCTTCACTGACCGTTACGTCTCCTTCTCTGACCGTTACGTCTCCTTCTCTGACCTTCACGTTTCCTTCTCTGACCGTTACATCTCCTTCACTGACTGTTACGTCTCCTTCACTGACCGTTACGTCTCCTTCTCTGACCGGTACGTCTCCTTCACTGACTGTTACGTCTCCTTCTCTGACCGGTACATCTCCTTCTCTGACTGTTACGTCTCCTTCTCTGACCGCTACGTCTCCTTTACTGACCGGTACATCTCCTTCTCTGACGTAGTCTCTGACCGTACGTCTCCTTCTCTGACCGTTACGTCTCCTTTCTGACCGTTACGTCTCCTTTTGACTGACCGTTACGTCTCCTTCTCTGACCGTTACGTCTCCTTCTCTGACCGTTACGTCTCCTTTACTGACCGTTACGTCTCCTTCTCTGACCGTTACGTTAGTCTCCTTCTCTGACCGTTACGTCTCCTTCTGACCGTTACGTCTCCTTTACTGACCGTACGTCTCCTTCTCTGACCGTTACGTCTCTTCTCTGACCGTTACGTCTCCTTCTCTGACCGTCACGTCTCCTTCACTGACCGTTGCGTTTCCTTCTCTGACTGTTACGTCTCCTTCTCTGACCGTTACGTCTCCTTCACTGACTGTTACGTCTCCTTCTCTGACCGTTACGTTATGTCTCCTTCTCTGACCGCTACGTTTCCTTCACTGACCGCTACGTTTCCTTCACTGACCGTTACGTCACATCTCCTTCTCTGACCGTCACGTCTCCTTCACTGACCGTTGCGTTTCCTTCTCTGACCGTTACGTCTCCTTCTCTGACCGTTACGTCTCCTTCACTGACCGTTACATCTCCTTCTCTGACCGTTACGTCTCCTTCACTGACCGTTACGTCTCCTTCTCTGACCGGTACGTCTCCTTCACTGACTGTTACGTCTCCTTCTCTGACCGCTACGTCTCCTTTACTGACCGGTACGTCTCCTTCTCTGACCGGTACGTCTCCTTCTCTGACCGTTACGTCTCCTTTACTGACTGTTACGTCTCCTTCTCTGACCGTTACGTCTCCTTTACTGACCGTTACGTCTCCTTTACTGACCGTTACGTCTCCTTCTCTGACCAGTACGTCTCCTTCACTGACCGTTACGTTTCCTTCTCTGACGTTACGTCTCCTTCACTGACCGTTACGTCTCCTTCTCTGACCGTTACGTCTCCTTCACTGACCGTTACGTCACGTCTCCTTCACTGACCGTTACGTCTCCTTCTCTGACCGTTACGTCTCCTTCTCTGACCGTTACGTCTCCTTCACTGACCGTTACGTCTCCTTCACTGACTGTTACGTCTCCTTCACTGACTGTTACGTTATGTCTCCTTCTCTGACCGTTACGTTACGTCTCCTTCTCTGACCGGTACGTCTCCTTCTCTGACCGTTACGTCTCCTTCACTGACTGTTACGTCTCCTTCTCTGACCGTTACGTTATGTCTCCTTCTCTGACCGTTACGTTACGTCTCCTTCTCTGACCGGTACGTCTCCTTCTCTGACCGTTACGTCTCCTTCACTGACTGTTACGTCTCCTTCTCTGACCGTTACGTTATGTCTCCTTCTCTGACCGCTACGTTTCCTTCACTGACCGCTACATTTCCTTCACTGACCGTTACGTCTCCTTCACTGCCGTTACGTTACGTCTCCTTCTCTGACCGTTACATTTCCTTCACTGACCGTTACGTCACGTCTCCTTCTCTGACCGTCACGTCTCCTTCACTGACCGTTACGTTTCCTTCTCTGACTGTTACGTCTCCTTCACTGACCGTTACGTCTCCTTCTCTGACCGTTACGTCTCCTTCTCTGACCTTCACGTTTCCTTCTCTGACCGTTACATCTCCTTCACTGACTGTTACGTCTCCTTCACTGACCGTTACGTCTCCTTCTCTGACCGGTACGTCTCCTTCACTGACTGTTACGTCTCCTTCTCTGACCGCTACATCTCCTTCTCTGACCGTTACGTCTCCTTCACTGACCGTTACGTCTCCTTCTCTGACCGGTACGTCTCCTTCACTGACTGTTACGTCTCCTTCTCTGACCGCTACGTCTCCTTTACTGACCGGTACATCTCCTTCTCTGACCGGTACGTCTCCTTCTCTGACCGTTACGTCTCCTTCACTGACCGTTATGTTACGTCTCCTTCTCTGACCGTTACGTCTCCTTTTCTGACCGTTACGTCTCCTTTACTGACCGTTACGTCTCCTTCTCTGACCGGTACGTCTCCTTCTCTGACCGTTACGTCTCCTTCTCTGACCGTTACGTTATGTCTCCTTCTCTGACCGTTACGTCTCCTTTACTGACCGTTACGTCTCCTTTACTGACCGGTACGTCTCCTTCTCTGACCGTTACGTCTCCTTCTCTGACCGTTACGTCTCCTTCTCTGACCGTTACGTCCCTTCTCTGACCGTTACGTCTCCTTCACTGACCGTTACGTCTCCTTCACTGACCGTTACGTTTCCTTCTCTGACCGTTACGTCTCCTTCTCTGACCGTTACGTTTCCTTCACTGACCGTTACGTCACGTCTCCTTCTCTGACCGTTACGTCTCCTTCTCTGACCGTTACGTCTCCTTCACTGACCGTTACGTCTCCTTCTCTGACCGTTACGTCTCCTTCACTGACCGTTACGTCTCCTTCTCTGACCGTTACGTCTCCTTCTCTGACCGTTACGTCTCCTTCACTGACCGTTACGTACTCTCCTTCACTGACCGTTACGTCTCCTTCTCTGACTGTTACGTCTCCTTCACTGACCGTTACGTTTCCTTCTCTGACCGTTAAGTCTCCTTCTCTGACCATTACGTTTCCTTCACTGACCGTTACGTCACGTCTCCTTCTCTGACCGTTACGTCTCCTTCTCTGACCGTTACGTCTCCTTCACTGACCGTTACGTTTCCTTCTCTGACCGTTAAGTCTCCTTCTCTGACCATTACGTTTCCTTCTCTGACCGTTACGTCTCCTTCTCTGACCTTCACATCTCCTTCTCTGACCGTTACGTCTCCTTCTCTGACCGTTACGTTACGTCTCCTTCTCTGACCGTTACGTCTCCTTCACTGACCGTTACGTCTCCTTCTCTGACCGTTACGTCTCCTTTACTGACCGTTACGTCTCCTTCTCTGACCGTTACGTCTCCTTCACTGACCGTTACGTCTCCTTCTCTGACCGTTACGTCTCCTTTACTGACCGTTATGTCTCCTTCACTGACCGTTACGTCTCCTTCTCTGACCGTTACGTCTCTTTCTCTGACCGTTACGTCTCCTTTACTGACCGTTACGTCTCCTTTACTGACCGTTACGTCTCCCTTACTGACCGGTACGTCTCCTTTACTGACCGGTACGTCTCGTTCTCTGACCGGTACGTCTCCTTCTCTGACCGGTGCGTCTCTTTCTCTGACCGTTACGTCTCCTTTACTGACCGTTACGTCTCCTTCTCTGACCGTTACGTCTCTTTCTCTGACCGTTACGTCTCCTTTACTGACCGTTACGTCTCCTTTACTGACCGGTACGTCTCCTTTACTGACCGTTACGTCTCCTTCTCTGACCGTTAAGTCTCCTTCTCTGACCGTTACGTCTCCTTCTCTGACCGTTACGTTACGTCTCCTTCTCTGACCGTTACGTTACGTCTCCTTCTCTGACCGTTACGTTTTCTTCACTGACTGTTACGTCACCTTCTCTGACCGGTATGTCTCTTTCTCTGACCGTTACGTCTCCTTTACTGACCGTTACGTCTCCTTCTCTGACCGTTACGTCTCCTTCTCTGACCGTTACGTTACGTCTCCTTCTCTGACCGTTACATCTCCTTTTCTGACCGTTACGTCTCCTTCTCTGACCGTTACGTCTCCTTCTCTGACCGTTACGTCTCCTTCTCTGACCGTTACGTCTCCTTCTCTGACCGTTACGTCTCCTTCACTGACCGTTACGTCTCCTTTTCTGACCGTTACGTCTCCTTCTCTGACCGTTACGTCTCCTTCACTGACCGTTACGTCTCCTTCTCTGACCGTTACGTCTCCTTCTCTGACCGTTACGTCTCCTTTACTGACCGTTACGTCTCCTTTACTGACCGGTACGTCTCCTTCTCTGACCGTTACGTTATGTCCCCTTTTTTGACCGCTACATTTCCTTCACTGACCGTTATGTCTCCTTCTCTGACCGCTATGTTTCCTTCACTGACCGTTACGTCACGTCTCCTTCTCTGACCGTTACGTCTCCTTCTCTGACCGGTACGTCTCCTTCTCTGACCGTTACGTCTCCTTCACTGACCGTTACGTCTCCTTCACTGACTGTTACGTCTCCTTCACTGACTGTTACGTTATGTCTCCTTCTCTGACCGTTACGTTACGTCTCCTTCTCTGACCGGTACGTCTCCTTCTCTGACCGTTACGTCTCCTTCACTGACTGTTACGTCTCCTTCTCTGACCGTTACGTTATGTCTCCTTCTCTGACCGTTACGTTACGTCTCCTTCTCTGACCGGTACGTCTCCTTCTCTGACCGTTACGTCTCCTTCACTGACTGTTACGTCTCCTTCTCTGACCGTTACGTTATGTCTCCTTCTCTGACCGCTACGTTTCCTTCACTGACCGCTACATTTCCTTCACTGACCGTTACGTCTCCTTCACTGCCGTTACGTTACGTCTCCTTCTCTGACCGTTACATTTCCTTCACTGACCGTTACGTCACGTCTCCTTCTCTGACCGTCACGTCTCCTTCACTGACCGTTACGTTTCCTTCTCTGACTGTTACGTCTCCTTCACTGACCGTTACGTCTCCTTCTCTGACCGTTACGTCTCCTTCTCTGACCTTCACGTTTCCTTCTCTGACCGTTACATCTCCTTCACTGACTGTTACGTCTCCTTCACTGACCGTTACGTCTCCTTCTCTGACCGGTACGTCTCCTTCACTGACTGTTACGTCTCCTTCTCTGACCGCTACATCTCCTTCTCTGACCGTTACGTCTCCTTCACTGACCGTTACGTCTCCTTCTCTGACCGGTACGTCTCCTTCACTGACTGTTACGTCTCCTTCTCTGACCGCTACGTCTCCTTTACTGACCGGTACATCTCCTTCTCTGACCGGTACGTCTCCTTCTCTGACCGTTACGTCTCCTTCACTGACCGTTATGTTACGTCTCCTTCTCTGACCGTTACGTCTCCTTTTCTGACCGTTACGTCTCCTTTACTGACCGTTACGTCTCCTTTACTGACCGGTACGTCTCCTTCTCTGACCGGTACGTCTCCTTCTCTGACCGTTACGTCTCCTTCTCTGACCGTTACGTCTCCTTTACTGACCGTTACGTCTCCTTTACTGACCAGTACGTCTCCTTCTCTGACCGGTACGTCTCCTTCTCTGACCGTTACGTCTCCTTCTCTGACCGTTACGTCTCCTTTACTGACCGTTACGTCTCCTTTACTGACCAGTACGTCTCCTTCTCTGACCGTTACGTTATGTCTCCTTTTTTGACCGCTACATTTCCTTCACTGACCGTTACGTCACGTCTCCTACTCTGACCGTTACGTCTCCTTCTCTGACCGTTACGTCTCCTTCACTGACTGTTACGTCTCCTTCTCTGACCGTTACGTTATGTCTCCTTCTCTGACCGCTACGTTTCCTTCACTGACCGCTACGTTTCCTTCACTGACCGCTACGTTTCCTTCACTGACCGTTACGTCGCATCTCCTTCTCTGACCGTCACGTCTCCTTCACTGACCGTTGCGTTTCCTTCTCTGAATGTTACGTCTCCTTCTCTGACCGTTACGTCTCCTTCTCTGACCGTTACGTCTCCTTCACTGACTGTTACGTCTCCTTCTCTGACCGTTACGTTATGTCTCCTTCTCTGACCGCTACGTTTCCTTCACTGACCGCTACGTTTCCTTCACTGACCGTTACGTCACATCTCCTTCTCTGACCGTCACGTCTCCTTCACTGACCGTTGCGTTTCCTTCTCTGACCGTTACGTCTCCTTCTCTGACCGTTACGTCTCCTTCACTGACCGTTACATCTCCTTCTCTGACCGTTACGTCTCCTTCACTGACCGTTACGTCTCCTTCTCTGACCGGTACGTCTCCTTCACTGACTGTTACGTCTCCTTCTCTGACCGCTACGTCTCCTTTACTGACCGGTACGTCTCCTTCTCTGACCGGTACGTCTCCTTCTCTGACCGTTACGTCTCCTTTACTGACTGTTACGTCTCCTTCTCTGACCGTTACGTCTCCTTTACTGACCGTTACGTCTCCTTTACTGACCGTTACGTCTCCTTCTCTGACCAGTACGTCTCCTTCACTGACCGTTACGTTTCCTTCTCTGACGTTACGTCTCCTTCACTGACCGTTACGTTATGTCTCCTTCTCTGACCGTTACGTTTCCTTCACTGACCGCTACATTTCCTTCACTGACCGTTACGTCTCCTTCACTGACCGGTACGTCTCCTTCTCTGACCGGTACGTCTCCTTCTTTGACCGTTACATCTCCTTCTCTGACCGCTACATTTCCTTCACTGACCGTTACGTCTCCTTCACTGACCGTTACGTCACGTCTCCTTCTCTGACCGTTACGTCTCCTTCACTGACCGTTACGTTTCCTTCTCTGACCGTTACGTCTCCTTTACTGACCGTTACGTCTCCTTCTCTGACCGTTACGTCTCCTTCACTGACCGTTACGTCTCCTTCTCTGACTGTTACGTCTCCTTCACTGACCGTTACGTTTCCTTCTCTGCCCGTTAAGTCTCCTTCTCTGACCGTTACGTCTCCTTCTCTGACCGTTACGTCTCCTTCTCTGACCGTTACGTCTCCTTCACTGACCGTTACGTCTCCTTCTCTGACCTTCACGTCTCCTTCTCTGCCCGTTAAGTCTCCTTCTCTGACCGTTACGTCTCCTTCTCTGACTGTTACGTCTCCTTCACTGACTGTTACGTCTCCTTCTCTGACCGTTACGTCTCCTTCACTGACTGTTACGTCTCCTTCACTGACTGTTACGTCTCCTTCTCTGACCGTTACGTCTCCTTCTCTGACTGTTACGTCTCCTTCACTGACCGTTACGTTTCCTTCTCTGCCCGTTAAGTCTCCTTCTCTGACCGTTACGTTTCCTTCACTGACCGTTACGTCACGTCTCCTTCTCTGACCGTTACGTCTCCTTCTCTGACCTTCACATCTCCTTCTCTGACCGTCACATCTCCTTCTCTGACCGTTACGTCTCCTTCTCTGACCGTTACGTTACGTCTCCTTCTCTGACCGTTACGTCTCCTTCACTGACTGTTACGTCTCCTTCTCTGACTGTTACGTCTCCTTCTCTGACCGTTACGTCTCCTTCTCTGACCGCTACGTCTCCTTCTCTGACCGTCACATCTCCTTCTCTGACCGTTACGTTTCCTTCACTGACTGTTACGTCTCCTTCACTGACCGTTACGTTTCCTTCTCTGACCGTTACGTCACGTCTCCTTCTCTGACCGTTACGTTTACTTCTCTGACCGTTAAGTCTCCTTCTCTGACCGTTACGTTTCCTTCACTGACCGTTACGTCACGTCTCCTTCTCTGACCGTTACGTCTCCTTCACTGACCGTTACGTCTCCTTCACTGACCGTTACGTCACGTCTCCTTCTCTGACCGTTACGTCTCCTTCTCTGACCGTTACGTTTCCTTCACTGACCGTTACGTCACATCTCCTTCTCTGACCGTTACGTTTCCTTCACTGACTGTTACGTCTCCTTCACTGACCGTTACGTTTCCTTCTCTGACCGTTAAGTCTCCTTCTCTGACCATTACGTTTCCTTCACTGACCGTTACGTCACGTCTCCTTCTCTGACCGTTACGTCTCCTTCTCTGACCTTCACATCTCCTTCTCTGACCGTCACATCTCCTTCTCTGACCGTTACGTCTCCTTCTCTGACCGTTACGTTACGTCTCCTTCTCTGACCGTTACGTCTCCTTCTCTGACCGTTACGTCTCCTTTACTGACCGTTACGTCTCCTTCTCTGACCGGTACGTCTCCTTTACTGACCGTTATGTCTCCTTCACTGACCGTTACGTCTCTTTCTCTGACCGTTACGTCTCCTTTACTGACCGGTACGTCTCCTTCTCTGACCGTTACGTCTCCTTTACTGACCGTTACGTCTCCTTCTCTGACCGTTACGTCTCTTTCTCTGACCGTTACGTCTCCTTTACTGACCGGTACGTCTCCTTTACTGACCGTTACGTCTCCTTCTCTGACCGTTAAGTCTCCTTCTCTGACCGTTACGTCTCCTTCTTTGACCGTTACGTTACGTCTCCTTCTCTGACCGTTACGTTACGTCTCCTTCTCTGACCGTTACGTTTTCTTCACTGACTGTTACGTCTCCTTCTCTGACCGGTATGTCTCTTTCTCTGACCGTTACGTCTCCTTTACTGACCGTTACGTCTCCTTCTCTGACCGTTACGTCTCCTTCTCTGACCGTTACGTTACGTCTCCTTCTCTGACCGTTACGTTACGTCTCCTTCTCTGACCGTTACGTTTCCTTCACTGACTGTTACGTCTCCTTCTCTGACCGTTACGTCTCCTTCTCTGACCGTTACGTCTCCTTCACTGACCGTTACGTCTCCTTCTCTGACCTTCACGTCTCCTTCTCTGCCCGTTAAGTCTCCTTCTCTGACCGTTACGTCTCCTTCTCTGACCGTTACGTCTCCTTCTCTGACCGTTACGTCTCCTTCACTGACTGTTACGTCTCCTTCACTGACTGTTACGTCTCCTTCTCTGACCTTCACGTCTCCTTCTCTGACCGTTACGTCTCCTTCACTGACTGTTACGTCTCCTTCACTGACTGTTACGTCTCCTTCTCTGACCGTTACGTCTCCTTCACTGACTGTTACGTCTCCTTCACTGACTGTTACGTCTCCTTCTCTGACCGTTACGTCTCCTTCTCTGACTGTTACGTCTCCTTCACTGACCGTTACGTTTCCTTCTCTGCCCGTTAAGTCTCCTTCTCTGACCGTTACGTTTCCTTCACTGACCGTTACGTCACGTCTCCTTCTCTGACCGTTACGTCTCCTTCTCTGACCGTCACATCTCCTTCTCTGACCGTTACGTTTCCTTCACTGACTGTTACGTCTCCTTCTCTGACCGTTACGTTTTCTTCACTGACTGTTACGTCTCCTTCTCTGACCGGTATGTCTCTTTCTCTGACCGTTACGTCTCCTTTACTGACCGTTACGTCTCCTTCTCTGACCGTTACGTCTCCTTCTCTGACCGTTACGTTACGTCTCCTTCTCTGACCGTTAAGTTACGTCTCCTTCTCTGACCGTTACGTTTCCTTCACTGACTGTTACGTCTCCTTCTCTGACCGTTACGTCTCCTTCTCTGACCGTTACGTCTCCTTCACTGACCGTTACGTCTCCTTCTCTGACCTTCACGTCTCCTTCTCTGCCCGTTAAGTCTCCTTCTCTGACCGTTACGTCTCCTTCTCTGACCGTTACGTCTCCTTCTCTGACCGTTACGTCTCCTTCACTGACTGTTACGTCTCCTTCACTGACTGTTACGTCTCCTTCTCTGGACCTTCACGTCTCCTTCTCTGACCGTTACGTCTCCTTCACTGACTGTTACGTCTCCTTCACTGACTGTTACGTCTCCTTCTCTGACCGTTACGTCTCCTTCACTGACTGTTACGTCTCCTTCACTGACTGTTACGTCTCCTTCTCTGACCGTTACGTCTCCTTCTCTGACTGTTACGTCTCCTTCACTGACCGTTACGTTTCCTTCTCTGCCCGTTAAGTCTCCTTCTCTGACCGTTACGTTTCCTTCACTGACCGTTACGTCACGTCTCCTTCTCTGACCGTTACGTCTCCTTCTCTGACCGTCACATCTCCTTCTCTGACCGTTACGTTTCCTTCACTGACTGTTACGTCTCCTTCACTGACCGTTACGTTTCCTTCTCTGACCGTTACGTCACGTCTCCTTCTCTGACCGTTACGTTTCCTTCTCTGACCGTTAAGTCTCCTTCTCTGACCGTTACGTTTCCTTCACTGACCGTTACGTCACGTCTCCTTCTCTGACCGTTACGTCTCCTTCACTGACCGTTACGTCACGTCTCCTTCTCTGACCGTTACGTCTCCTTCTCTGACCGTTACGTTTCCTTCACTGACCGTTACGTCACATCTCCTTCTCTGACCGTTACGTTTCCTTCACTGACTGTTACGTCTCCTTCACTGACCGTTACGTTTCCTTCTCTGACCGTTAAGTCTCCTTCTCTGACCATTACGTTTCCTTCACTGACCGTTACGTCACGTCTCCTTCTCTGACCGTTACGTCTCCTTCTCTGACCTTCACATCTCCTTCTCTGACCGTCACATCTCCTTCTCTGACCGTTACGTCTCCTTCTCTGACCGTTACGTTACGTCTCCTTCTCTGACCGTTACGTCTCCTTCACTGACTGTTACGTCTCCTTCAATGACTGTTACGTCTCCTTCTCTGACCGTTACGTCTCCTTCTCTGACCGTTACGTCTCCTTCTCTGACCGCTACGTCTCCTTCTCTGACCGTCACATCTCCTTCTCTGACCGTTACGTTTCCTTCACTGACTGTTACGTCTCCTTCACTGACCGTTACGTTTCCTTCTCTGACCGTTACGTCACGTCTCCTTCTCTGACCGTTACGTTTCCTTCTCTGACCGTTAAGTCTCCTTCTCTGACCGTTACGTTTCCTTCACTGACCGTTACGTCACGTCTCCTTCTCTGACCGTTACGTCTCCTTCACTGACCGTTACGTCACGTCTCCTTCTCTGACCGTTACGTCTCCTTCTCTGACCGTTACGTTTCCTTCACTGACCGTTACGTCACATCTCCTTCTCTGACCGTTACGTTTCCTTCACTGACTGTTACGTCTCCTTCACTGACCGTTACGTTTCCTTCTCTGACCGTTAAGTCTCCTTCTCTGACCATTACGTTTCCTTCACTGACCGTTACGTCACGTCTCCTTCTCTGACCGTTACGTCTCCTTCTCTGACCTTCACATCTCCTTCTCTGACCGTCACATCTCCTTCTCTGACCGTTACGTCTCCTTCTCTGACCGTTACGTTACGTCTCCTTCTCTGACCGTTACGATTCCTTCACTGACCGTTACGTCTCCTTCTCTGACCGTTACGTCTCCTTCTCTGACCGTTACGTCTCCTTTACTGACCGTTACGTCTCCTTCTCTGACCGGTACGTCTCCTTTACTGACCGTTATGTCTCCTTCACTGACCGTTACGTCTCTTTCTCTGACCGTTACGTCTCCTTTACTGACCGGTACGTCTCCTTCTCTGACCGTTACGTCTCCTTTACTGACCGTTACGTCTCCTTCTCTGACCGTTACGTCTCTTTCTCTGACCGTTACGTCTCCTTTACTGACCGGTACGTCTCCTTTACTGACCGTTACGTCTCCTTCTCTGACCGTTAAGTCTCCTTCTCTGACCGTTACGTCTCCTTCTTTGACCGTTACGTTACGTCTCCTTCTCTGACCGTTACGTTACGTCTCCTTCTCTGACCGTTACGTTTTCTTCACTGACTGTTACGTCTCCTTCTCTGACCGGTATGTCTCTTTCTCTGACCGTTACGTCTCCTTTACTGACCGTTACGTCTCCTTCTCTGACCGTTACGTCTCCTTCTCTGACCGTTACGTTACGTCTCCTTCTCTGACCGTTACGTTACGTCTCCTTCTCTGACCGTTACGTTTCCTTCACTGACTGTTACGTCTCCTTCTCTGACCGTTACGTCTCCTTCTCTGACCGTTACGTCTCCTTCTCTGACCGTTACATCTCCTTCTCTGACCGTTACGTCTCCTTTACTGACCGTTACGTCTCTTTGTCTGACCGTTACGTCTCTTTGTCTGACCGTTACGTCTCCTTCACTGACCGTTACGTCTCCTTCTCTGACCGTTACGTCTCCTTCACTGACCGTCAGAGCATCGAAAAAAACACATGTACAATTTTGTATATAAAATAAATAAATATGATTTTAACCCTTTTTAACTGTCTATACTAATGAATTATGAACTAAAATACAACTATGTTACAAACGTTTATCTTTTCATCACGTGCTTATTACCCATGATTCTTTGCGCGGCTTTTATTGAGCAGATCATCTGTCTCCATGTCGTCTAAAGCCATGAATTGGGCCGACACTGACGAAGCAGTTGATATCACAGGCCGTAAATCACTGACCCACGGCCATACAAGCTTCTGTCTACCCCCCTCCCCCCTCCTCCTCCCCCTCTCATTCATTCAGAGGGGATTGCTTGAGGCTCGTATATACATGGTATATATACATGGTATACTGTATATATACTGTACATGGTATCACAGTCAAATGGCAGCTCTGAATATAAACCACACATGCACAGATGTAGCTCTTACCTGTTATGAAACGGTCAGAACAGACCTTATAGTGCCGTTTTCCAGGGGTTAGGGTTGAATCCCTCTCGCCAACTAAAGGGTTCTTTTCTCCGTCGGAGTCGCTCCCCCGGCTCGTAATAACCTTCGGAATGTCCCCACAATCTGCACGGTTACTGCACCTCTAAACGATGCAGGCAGTCGGCATGTTTTAGCGCAAAAAAATGATTTGAACGCTTTGTTTACTGACAACTATCGGCGGCTAGACTCACACTATGGCGAACTGCGGAATTGTGGGTAGTGTATGACGTCAGTGGAAAACCATCTATTATCCGGAGGCTCCTGGGTCCTCTCCTGGGTCCTCTCCTGGGTCCTCTCCTGGGTCCTCTCCTGGGTCCTCTCCTGGGTCCTCTCCTGGGTCCTCCCCTGGGTCCTCTCCTGGGTCCTCTCCTGGGTCCTCTCCTGGGTCCTCTCCTGGGTCCTCTCCTGGGTCCTCTCCTGGGTCCTCTCCTGGGTCCTCTCCTGGGTCCTCTCCTGGGTCCTCTCCTGGGTCCTCTCCTGGGTCCTCCCCTGGGTCCTCTCCTGGGTCCTCTCCTGGATCATCTCCTGGGTCCTCTCCTGGGTCCTCTCCTGGGTCCTCTCCTGGGTCCTCTCCTGGATCATCTCCTGGGTCCTCTCCTGGGTCCTCTCCTGGGTCCTCTCCTGGGTCCTCTCCTGAGTCCTCTCCTGGATCATCTCCTGGGTCCTCTCCTAGATCATCTCCTGGGTCCTCTCCTGGGTCCTCTCCTGGGTCCTCTCCTGGGTCCTCTCCTGAGTCCTCTCCTGGATCATCTCCTGGGTCCTCTCCTGGGTCCTCTCCTGGATCATCTCCTGGGTCCTCTCCTGGGTCCTCTCCTGGGTCCTCTCCTGGGTCCTCTCCTGGATCATCTCCTGGGTCCTCTCCTGGGTCCTCTCCTGGGTCCTCTCCTGGGTCCTCTCCTGGGTCCTCTCCTGGGTCCTCTCCTGGGTCCTCTCCTGAGTCCTCTCCTGGATCATCTCCTGGGTCCTCTCCTGGGTCCTCTCCTAGATCATCTCCTGGGTCCTCTCCTGGGTCCTCTCCTGGGTCCTCTCTTAGATCATCTCCTGGATCATCTCCTGGGTCCTCTCCTGGGTCCTCTCCTGGGTCCTCTCCTGGGTCCTCTCCTGGGTCCTCTCCTGGGTCCTCTCCTGGGTCCTCTCCTGGATCATCTCCTGGGTCCTCTCCTGGGTCCTCTCCTAGATCATCTCCTGGGTCCTCTCCTGGGTCCTCTCCTGGGTCCTCTCCCTGGGTCCTCTCCTAGATCATCTCCTGGATCATCTCCTGGGTCCTCTCCTGGGTCCTCTCCTGGGTCCTCTCCTGGGTCCTCTCCTGGGTCCTCTCCTGGGTCCTCTCCTGGGTCCTCTCCTAGATCATCTCCTGGGTCCTCTCCTGGGTCCTCCCCTGGGTCCTCTCCTGGGTCCTCTCCTGGGTCCTCTCCTGGGTCCTCTCCTGGGTCCTCTCCTGGGTCCTCCCCTGGGTCCTCTCCTGGGTCCTCCCCTGGGTCCTCTCCTGGGTCCTCCCCTGGGTCCTCTCCTGGGTCCTCTCCTGGGTCCTCTCCTAGATCATCTCCTGGGTCCTCTCCTGGGTCCTCCCCTGGGTCCTCTCCTGGGTCCTCTCCTGGATCATCTCCTGGGTCCTCTCCTGGGTCCTCTCCTGGGTCCTCTCCTGGGTCCTCTCCTGGATCATCTCCTGGGTCCTCTCCTGGGTCCTCTCCTGGGTCCTCTCCTGGGTCCTCTCCTGAGTCCTCTCCTGGATCATCTCCTGGGTCCTCTCCTAGATCATCTCCTGGGTCCTCTCCTGGGTCCTCTCCTGGGTCCTCTCCTGGGTCCTCTCCTGAGTCCTCTCCTGGATCATCTCCTGGGTCCTCTCCTGGGTCCTCTCCTGGATCATCTCCTGGGTCCTCTCCTGGGTCCTCTCCTGGGTCCTCTCCTGGGTCCTCTCCTGGATCATCTCCTGGGTCCTCTCCTGGGTCCTCTCCTGGGTCCTCTCCTGGGTCCTCTCCTGGGTCCTCTCCTGGGTCCTCTCCTGGGTCCTCTCCTGAGTCCTCTCCTGGATCATCTCCTGGGTCCTCTCCTGGGTCCTCTCCTAGATCATCTCCTGGGTCCTCTCCTGGGTCCTCTCCTGGGTCCTCTCTTAGATCATCTCCTGGATCATCTCCTGGGTCCTCTCCTGGGTCCTCTCCTGGGTCCTCTCCTGGGTCCTCTCCTGGATCATCTCCTGGGTCCTCTCCTGGGTCCTCTCCTAGATCATCTCCTGGGTCCTCTCCTGGGTCCTCTCCTGGGTCCTCTCCTGGGTCCTCTCCTAGATCATCTCCTGGATCATCTCCTGGGTCCTCTCCTGGGTCCTCTCCTGGGTCCTCTCCTGGGTCCTCTCCTGGGTCCTCTCCTGGGTCCTCTCCTGGGTCCTCTCCTAGATCATCTCCTGGGTCCTCTCCTGGGTCCTCCCCTGGGTCCTCTCCTGGGTCCTCTCCTGGGTCCTCTCCTGGGTCCTCTCCTGGGTCCTCTCCTGGGTCCTCCCCTGGGTCCTCTCCTGGGTCCTCCCCTGGGTCCTCTCCTGGGTCCTCCCCTGGGTCCTCTCCTGGGTCCTCTCCTGGGTCCTCTCCTAGATCATCTCCTGGGTCCTCTCCTGGGTCCTCCCCTGGGTCCTCTCCTGGGTCCTCTCCTGGGTCCTCTCCTGGGTTCTCTCCTGGGTCCTCTCCTGGGTCCTCTCCTGGGTCCTCTCCTGGGTCCTCTCCTGGGTCCTCTCCTGGGTCCTCCCCTGGGTCCTCTCCTGGGTCCTCTCCTGGGTCCTCTCCTCTCGGTCCCTACATCCAACTGCTGTTCGTACAGCAACCCACCTCCTCAGTGGAGAATTGTGGTGTTATGGCCTCCACCAGGGATTGGACCAGAGGGACTCCACCTCCACATGGTTGTGGAGCGCCAACGTAAGAATGTTTTAGGACAAAGTGAGTCAGAGTCTTGTATATAATAGACTTTTATTATAGCTGTACAAATGCAGGAGGTATCCTGGTTTTGGTCTCCTGGTCTTGGTCCCCTGGTATCCTGGTCTTGGTTCTCTGGTCTTGGTCTCCTGGTCCTGGTATCCTGGGCTTGGTCTCCTGGTCTTGGTCTCCTGGTCTTGGTCTCCTGGTCCTGGCCTCCTGGTCTTGGTCTCCTGGTCTTGGTCTCCTGGTCTTGGTCCTCTGGTCCTGGTCTCCTGGTCTTGGTTTCCTGGTCCTGGTATCCTGGTCTTGGTCTTCTGGTCTTGGTCTCCTGGTCTTGGTCCTCTGGTCCTGGTCTCCTGGTGTTGGTCTCCTGGTCTTGGTCCTCTGGTCCTGGTCTCCTGGTCTTGGTTTCCTGGTCCTGGTATCCTGGTCTTGGTCCTCTGGTCTCAGTTCATAAAGAGACCAACAAATTAAAAAAACATTAAACACAGAAGTCAAGTCTAAAGCAACAAACTAAAAAGAGAAATACAAAATGTTGGATAAATGTGTGTATTTTAGATTAAAAATATACAACTTTAAACCCAAAAACTGTTCCTCCAAACTACTCAATTCACTCCCTCTGGTCTCTCTCTGGTCTCTCTCTGGTCTCTCTCTCTGGTCTCTCTCTGGTCTCTCTCTGGTCTCTCTCTGGTCTCCCTCTGGTCTCCCTCTGGTCTCCCTCTGGTCTCTCTGGTCTCCCTCTGGTCTCTCTCTGGTCTCTCTCTGGTCTCTCTCTCTGGTCTCTCTCTGGTCTCTCTCTCTGGTCTCTCTCTGGTCTCTCTGGTCTCTCTCTGGTCTCTCTCTGGTCTCCCTCTGGTCTCTCTCTGGTCTCCCTCTGGTCTCTCTCTGGTCTCTCTCAGAGGAAGCTGTCCTCTGTGGCCACGTAGGAGAAGCCGTTGAAGGCGTTGGCGCTGGAGCCGGTGGTGCTCAGGTCCGGAGTGCGGCTGACTGAGTTGGGGACCATCTCTCTGGTGAACTCCGGGTCGATGTGTTGTGTGTCCGCGGGACCTCTCTGGAACTCACCAAATCTGGATTTAATAAACTCAGACTCGAGCCTCTCATTCTCACCTGCGACCTCGTCTTCTCTGGTCTCTCTTTCTGGTCTCTCTCTCTGGTCTCTCTCTGGTTTCTCTCTTTGGTCTTTCTCTGGTCTCTCTGGTCCCTCTTGGTCCCTCTCTGGTCCCTTCTCACTTTCGGTCCCTCTCTGGTCTCTGGTCTCTCTTGGTCTCTCTCTCTGGTCTCTCTCTGGTCTCTCTCTGGTCTCTCTTTGGTCTCTCTCTGGTCCTTTCTGGTCCTCTCTGGTCTCTCTCTGGTCCCTCTGGTCTCTCTCTGGTCTCTCTCTGGTCTCTCTCTGGTCTCTCTCCTCTGGTCTCTCTCTGGTCACTTTCTGGTCCCTCTATGGTCTCTCTCTGGTCTCTCTGGTCTCTCTCTGGTCTCTCTCTCTGGTCCCTCTCTGGTCCCTCTCTGGTCCTTCTCTGGTCCCTTTCTGGTCCCTCTCTGGTCTCTCTCTGGTCACTTTCTGGTCCCTCTCTGGTATCTCTGGTCTCTCTCTGGTCTCTCTCTGGTCTCTCTCTGGTCCCTCTCTGGTCTCTCTCTGGTCACTTTCTGGTCCCTCTCTGGTATCTCTGGTCTCTCTCTGGTCTCTCTCTGGTCTCTCTCTGGTCTCTCTCTGGTCTCTCTCTGGTCTCTCTCTGGTCTCTCTCTGGTCTCTCTCTCTGGTCCCTCCATGGTCCCTCTCTGGTCTCTCTGGTGTCTCTGGTCTCACCACGTTGGGGTTGTAGGGAGGAGTGATTCTCTTATGGACCAGGTCGTCCCAGTTGATCGGAGAGAAGAATGTGTGGTTTTTAATTTCCAGCTGTAACAAAATATTTATAAAAACATTTAAAAAGACTTTTCATTTTCTCTCCCTCGAGCTCCGGAACCTTCTGTGCCTTCACTACTGACCAATCAGGAGCCTTCACTACTGACCAATCAGGAGCCTTCACTACTGACCAATCAGAAGCCTTCACTACTGACCAATCAGGAGCCTTCACTACTGACCAATCAGGAGCTCTAATCTATCTAACTCAGACTCTAACTCAGACTCTAACTCAGGCTCTAACTCAGGCTCTAACTCAGGCTCTAACTCAGCTCTAACTCAGACTCTAACTCAGACTCTAACTCAGACTCTAACTCAGACTCTAACTCAGACTCTAACTCAGATTCTAACTCAGCTCTAACTCAGACTCTAACTCAGACTCTAACTCAGACTCTAACTCAGACTCTAACTCAGACTCTAACTCAGACTCTAACTCAGCTCTAACTCAGACTCTAACTCAGACTCTAACTCAGCTCTAACTCAGACTCTAACTCAGATTCTAACTCAGCTCTAACTCAAGCTCTAACTCAGACTCTAACTCAGCTCTAACTCAGCTCTAACTCAGACTCTAACTCAGACTCTAACTCAGACTCTAACTCAGACTCTAACTCAGACTCTAACTCAGCTCTAACTCAGCTCTAACTCAGACTCTAACTCAGACTCTAACTCAGACTTTAATTCAGACTCTAACTCAGACTCTAACTCAGCTCTAACTCAGACTCTAACTCAGCTCTAACTCAGACTCTAAGTCAGACTCTAACTCAGACTCTAACCCAGCTCTAACTCAGACTCTAACTCAGACTCTAACTCAGACTCTAACTCAGCTCTAACTCAGCTCTAACTCAGCTCTAACTCAGACTCTAACTCAGACTCTAACTCAGCTCTAACTCAGACTGTAACTCAGACTTTAACTCAGCTCTAACTCAGACTCTAAGTCAGACTTTAACTCAGACTCTAACTCAGACTCTAACTCAGCTCTAACTCAGACTCTAACTCAGACTCTAACTCAGCTCTAACTCAGACTGTAACTCAGACCCTAACTCAGGCTCTAACTCAGGCTCTAACTCAGACCCTAACTCAGACTCTAACTCAGCTCTAACTCAGACTCTAACTCAGATTCTAACTCAGACTCTAACTCAGCTCTAACTCAGACTTTAACTCAGATTCTAACTCAGCTCTAACTCAGACTCTAACTCAGACTCTAACTCAGACTCTAACTCAGACTCTAACTCAGCTCTAACTCAGACTCTAACTCAGACTCTAACTCAGACTCTAACTCAGACTCTAACTCAGCTCTAACTCAGACTCTAACTCAGACTCTAACTCAGACTCTAACTCAGACTCTAACTCAGACTCTAACTCAGACTCTAACTCAGCTCTAACTCAGACTCTAACTCAGACTCTAACTCAGCTCTAACTCAGACTCTAACTCAGCTCTAACTCAGACTCTAACTTAGCTCTAACTCAGACTCTAACTCAGCTCTAACTCAGACTCTAACTCAGACTCTAACTCAGACTCTAACTCAGCTCTAACTCAGACTCTAACTCAGCTCTAACTCAGCTCTAACTCAGACTCTAACTCAGATTCTAACTCAGCTCTAACTCAGACTCTAACTCAGACTCTAACTCAGACTCTAACTCAGCTCTAACTCAGCTCTAACTCAGACTCTAACTCAGACTCTAACTCAGCTCTAACTCAGCTCTAACTCAGCTCTAACTCAGAGTCTAACTCAGCTCTAACTCAGACTCTAACTCAGACTCTAACTCAGACTCTAACTCAGACTCTAACTCAGACTCTAACTCAGCTCTAACTCAGACTCTAACTTAGCTCTAACTCAGACTCTAACTCAGACTCTAACTCAGACTCTAACTCAGCTCTAACTCAGCTCTAACTCAGCTCTAACTCAGACTCTAACTCAGCTCTAACTCAGCTCTAACTCAGACTCTAACTCAGATTCTAACTCAGCTCTAACTCAGACTCTAACTCAGACTCTAACTCAGACTCTAACTCAGCTCTAACTCAGACTCTAACTCAGCTCTAACTCAGCTCTAACTCAGACTCTAACTCAGCTCTAACTCAGCTCTAACTCAGACTCTAACTCAGCTCTAACTCAGCTCTAACTCAGCTCTAATTCAGACTCTAACTCAGCTCTAACTCAGCTCTAACTCAGACTCTAACTCAGACTCTAACTCAGACTCTAACTCAGCTCTAACTCAGCTCTAACTCAGACTCTAACTCAGCTCTAACTCAGCTCTAACTCAGACTCTAACTCAGATTCTAACTCAGCTCTAACTCAGACTCTAACTCAGACTCTAACTCAGACTCTAACTCAGACTCTAACTCAGCTCTAACTCAGCTCTAACTCAGACTCTAACTCAGCTCTAACTCAGCTCTAACTCAGACTCTAACTCAGCTCTAACTCAGCTCTAACTCAGCTCTAATTCAGACTCTAACTCAGCTCTAACTCAGACTCTAACTCAGACTCTAACTCAGCTCTAACTCAGCTCTAACTCAGACTCTAACTCAGCTCTAACTCAGCTCTAACTCAGACTCTAACTCAGCTCTAACTCAGCTCTAACTCAGCTCTAATTCAGACTCTAACTCAGCTCTAACTCAGACTCTAACTCAGACTCTAACTCAGCTCTAACTCAGCTCTAACTCAGCTCTAATTCAGACTCTAACTCAGCTCTAACTCAGCTCTAATTCAGACTCTAACTCAGCTCTAACTCAGACTCTAACTCAGACTCTAACTCAGACTCTAACTCACGAAGTCTGCGATGGCGCCCAGCCGGCGGTGCTGGTCCTTCTGCAGCAGGCCTCGCAGCAGGGAGCAGCAGGCGTCTGATTTACCAGCAGGAAGTGGGAGGGGCTTATGGAGGATCCCCTCATACATCTCTGAGACATCACGGCTGTAGAAGGGAGGCTGAGGGGGAGGGAGGAGAGGGGGAGGGAGGGAGAGGGGGAGGGAGGAGAGGGGGAGGGAGGTAGAGGGGGAGGGAGGTAGAGGGGGAGGGAGGAGAGAGGGGGAGGGAGGGAGAGGGGGAGGGAGGAGAAGGGGAGATATTTGCAATAACTATGAAACAGAAGTGAGTGCGTGTGTGTGTGTGTGTGTGTGTGTGTGTGTGTGTGTGTGTGTGTGTGTGTGTGTGTGTGTGTGGGTGGGTGCGTGCGTGCGTGCGTGCGTGCGTGCGTGCGTGCGTGCGTGCGTGCGTGCGTGCGTGCGTGCGTGCGTGCGTGCGTGCGTGCGTGCGTGCGTGCGTGCGTGTGTGTGTGTGTGTGTGTGTCTCACCAGGCTGTAGATCATCTCATAGAGCACGGCCCCCAGGCACCACCAGTCCACTGTGCGGTCGTACGGCTCCTTCCTCAGGACCTCAGGAGCCAAATACTAAACACACACACGCACACATACACACACACAATAGTCCATTATAGTCTCTTGTTTCGGGTCTCCCTCTAGTCTCACTTTGGTCTCCCTCTGTTCTCCCTCTGTTCTCCCTCTGTTCTCCCTCTGGTATCACTCTGGTCCACCTCTGGTCTCTCTCTGGTCTCCCTCTGGTCTACCTCTGGTCTACCTCTGGTCTCCCGCTGGTATCACTCTGGCATCACTCTGGTCCACCTCTGGTCTCCTTCTGGTCTCCCTCTGGTCTTACTTCTGGTCTCCCGCTGGTATCACTCTGGCATCACTCTGGTCCACCTCTGGTCTCCCTCTGGTCTTACCTCTGGTCTCCCTCTGGTCTCCCTCTGGTCTCCCTCTGGTCTCCCTCTGGTCTTACCTCTGGTCCACCTCTGGTCTCCCTCTGGTCTCCCTCTGGTCTTACCTCTGGTCTCCCTCTGGTCTCCCTCTGGTCTTACCTCTGGTCTCCCTCTGGTCTCCCTCTGGTCTCCCTCTGGTCTACCTCTGGTCTCCCTCTGGTCTTACCTCTGGTCCACCTCTGGTCTCCCTCTGGTCTCCCTCTGGTCTCCCTCTGGTCTTACCTCTGGTCTCCCTCTGGTCTTACCTCTGGTCCACCTCTGGTCTCCCTCTGGTCTCCCTCTGGTCTCCCTCTGGTCTCCCTCTGGTCTCCCTCTGGTCTTACCTCTGGTCTCCCTCTGGTCTTACCTCTGGTCTCCCTCTGGTCTTACCTCTGGTCCACCTCTGGTCTCCCTCTGGTCTCCCTCTGGTCTCCCTCTGGTCTTACCTCTGGTCTCCCTCTGGTCTCCCTCTGGTCCCCCTCTGGTCTCCCTCTGGTCTTACCTCTGGTCTTACCTCTGGTCTTACCTCTGGTCTCCCTCTGGTCCACCTCTGGTCTCCCTCTGGTCTTACCTCTGGTCTCCCTCTGGTCTCCCTCTGGTCCCCCTCTGGTCTCCCTCTGGTCTTACCTCTGGTGTCCCACAGAAGGTGGAGGTGGTTCCTTCAGGTTCCATTCCTTCTTTGCACAAACCGAAGTCTGTGAGAACCACGTGACCCTGCGCACAACAAATAACCCAGGTTGAGACCAGACCCAGACCAAGACTCAGACCCAGACCCCAGACCAAGACCGGGTCTGGGGCTTCCACTAGACGCACATTCTCTAAATTTCAGACTCTGAAGTTCAGACCAGAAGTCCTGCTGCGGTGGCGCCCGGCGGAAGTGCTTTGATGCTAACAGAGTTAAGCTAGCGGCTTTTTTTGTAAAGTTCTTCAATAATGCAGCTGCAGCGTCTCTGTGTCTGAGACCTTTACAGACTTTATATAACAGCAGTATGTGTTCACGGAGGTGACTTTATATAACAGCAGTATGTGTTCACGGAGGTGACTTTATATAACAGCAGTATGTGTTCACGGAGGTGACTTTATATAACAGCAGTATGTGTTCACGGAGGCGACTTTATATAACAGTAGTATGTGTTCACGGTGACTTTATATAACAGTAGTATGTGTTCACGGAGGTGACTTTATATAACAGCAGTATGTGTTCACGGAGGTGACTTTATATAACAGCAGTATGTGTTCACGGAGGTGACTTTATATAACAGCAGTATGTGTTCACGGAGGTGACTTTATATAACAGCAGTATGTGTTCACGGAGGTGACTTTATATAACAGCAGTATGTGTTCACGGAGGTGACTTTATATAACAGCAGTGTGTGTTCACAGAGGTGACTTTATATAACAGCAGTATGTGTTCACGGAGGTGACTTTATATAACAGCAGTGTGTGTTCACGGTGACTTTATATAACAGCAGTATGTGTTCACGGAGGTGACTTTATATAACAGCAGTATGTGTTCACGGAGGTGACTTTATATAACAGCAGTATGTGTTCACGGAGGTGACTTTATATAACAGTAGTATGTGTTCACGGAGGTGACTTTATATAACAGCAGTATGTGTTCACGGTGACTTTATATAACAGCAGTATGTGTTCACGGAGGTGACTTTATATAACAGTAGCATGTGTTCACGGAGGTGACTTTATATAACAGCAGTGTGTGTTCACGGAGGTGACTTTATATAACAGCAGTATGTGTTCACGGAGGTGACTTTATATAACAGCAGTGTGTGTTCATGGAGGTGACTTTATATAACAGCAGTATGTGTTCACGGAGGTGACTTTATATAACAGCAGTATGTGTTCACGGAGGCGACTTTATATAACAGTAGTATGTGTTCACGGTGACTTTATATAACAGCAGTGTGTGTTCACGGAGGTGACTTTATATAACAGCAGTATGTGTTCACGGAGGTGACTTTATATAACAGCAGTATGTGTTCACGGAGGTGACTTTATATAACAGCAGTATGTGTTCACGGAGGTGACTTTATATAACAGCAGTATGTGTTCACGGTGACTTTATATAACAGCAGTATGTGTTCACAGAGGTGACTTTATATAACAGCAGTGTGTGTTCATGGAGGTGACTTTATATAACAGCAGTATGTGTTCACGGAGGTGACTTTATATAACAGCAGTATGTGTTCACGGAGGTGACTTTATATAACAGCAGTGTGTGTTCATGGAGGTGACTTTATATAACAGCAGTGTGTGTTCATGGAGGTGACTTTATATAACAGCAGTATGTGTTCACGGAGGTGACTTTATATAACAGCAGTATGTGTTCACGGAGGCGACTTTATATAACAGTAGTATGTGTTCACGGAGGTGACTTTATATAACAGCAGTATGTGTTCACGGAGGCGACTTTATATAACAGTAGTATGTGTTCACGGTGACTTTATATAACAGCAGTGTGTGTTCACGGAGGTGACTTTATATAACAGCAGTATGTGTTCACGGAGGTGACTTTATATAACAGCAGTATGTGTTCACGGAGGTGACTTTATATAACAGCAGTATGTGTTCACGGAGGTGACTTTATATAACAGCAGTATGTGTTCACGGAGGTGACTTTATATAACAGCAGTATGTGTTCACGGAGGTGACTTTATATAACAGCAGTATGTGTTCACGGAGGTGACTTTATATAACAGCAGTATGTGTTCACGGAGGCGACTTTATATAACAGTAGTATGTGTTCACGGAGGTGACTTTATATAAAAACAGTATGTGTTCACGGAGGTGACTTTATATAACAGCAGTATGTGTTCACGGAGGTGACTTTATATAACAGCAGTATGTGTTCACGGAGGTGACTTTATATAACAGCAGTATGTGTTCACGGAGGTGACTTTATATAACAGCAGTATGTGTTCACGGAGGTGACTTTATATAACAGCAGTATGTGTTCACGGAGGTGACTTTATATAACAGCAGTGTGTGTTCATGGAGGTGACTTTATATAACAGCAGTATGTGTTCACGGAGGTGACTTTATATAACAGCAGTATGTGTTCACGGAGGCGACTTTATATAACAGTAGTATGTGTTCACGGAGGTGACTTTATATAAAAACAGTATGTGTTCACAGAGGTGCGCCATACGTTTACTTTATTATTAAACGGTACTTCCGCATCAATAACACGCTATCAGCTAGCGTGTTATTGATCTATCTATCTACCTATTGTGAACATTTGCCTCCAGCCTGAGTTTCTCCAGTGACTGTAAAAAAGTGCAGCTAGTCAGTCAGGTTTGTCGTACAGTCTGACAGTCAGACAGTCAGTCAGGTTTGTCGTACAGTCTGACAGTCAGACAGTCAGTCAGGTTTGTCGTACAGTCTGACAGTCAGACAGTCAGTCAGGTTTGTCGTACAGTCTGACGGTCAGACAGTCAGTCAGGTTTGTCGTATAGTCTGACAGTCAGTCAGGTTTGTCGTACAGTCTGACAGTCAGACAGTCAGTCAGGTTTGTCGTACAGTCTGACAGTCAGACAGTCAGTCAGGTTTGTTGTACAGTCTGACAGTCAGACAGTCAGTCAGGTTTGTCGGACAGTCTGACAGTCAAACAGTCAGTCAGGTTTGTCGTACAGTCAGACAGTCAGTCAGGTTTGTCGTACAGTCAGACAGTCAGTCAGGTTTGTCGTACAGTCAGACAGTCAGTCAGGTTTGTCGTACAGGCAGACAGTCAGTCAGGTTTGTTGTACAGTCTGACAGTCAGTCAGGTTTGTTGTACAGTCTGACAGTCAGACAGTCAGTCAGGTTTGTTGTACAGTCAGACAGTCAGTCAGGTTTGTCGTACAGTCTGACAGTCAGACAGTCAGTCAGGTTTGTTGTACAGTCAGACAGTCAGTCAGGTTTGTTGTACAGTCTGACAGTCAGACAGTCAGTCAGGTTTGTTGTACAGTCTGACAGTCAGACAGTCAGTCAGGTTTGTCTGACAGTCAGACAGTCAGTCAGGTTTGTTGTACAGTCTGACAGTCAGACAGTCAGTCAGGTTTGTCGTACAGTCTGACAGCCGAAGGAACAGAGGATCTTTTGAAACGTTCCGTTCGGCACAGTGAGAGGAGCCTATTGCTTCGATGACTCTCTCTGAGCGGCCATAGTGTCATGCAGAGGGTGTCATGCAGAGGGTGTCATGCAGAGGGTGTCATGCAGAGGGTGTCATGCAGAGGGTGTCATGCAGAGGGTGTCATGCAGAGGGTGTCATGCAGAGGGTGTCATGCAGAGGGTGAGGTGTCATGCAGAGGGTGTCATGCAGAGGGTGTCATGCAGAGGGTGTCATGCAGAGGGTGTCATGCAGAGGGTGTCATGCAGAAGGTGTCATGCAGAGGGTGTCATGCAGAGGGTGTCATGCATGCAGCAGAGGGTGTCATGCAGAGGGTGTCATGCTGCAGAGGGTCTCCAGCACAGCTCCCACAGAGTCCACACTTCTCCCCATCACAGAGACACATTTCCTGATCAGCCTGAGCCGGTTACTGTCTCTGAGATCAGACTGTCCCCAACACGCAACCCTGAAGAACACGGCACTAGCTACAGACTGTCCCCAACACACAACCCTGAAGAACACGACACTAGCTACAGACTGTCCCCAACACGCAACCCTGAAGAACACGGCACTAGCTACACACTGACCCAAACACGCAACCCCAAAGAACACGGCACTAGCTACAGACTGTCCCCAACACACAACCCTGAAGAACACGACACTAGCTACAGACTGTCCCCAACACACAACCCTGAAGAACACGACACTAGCTACAGACTGCCCCCAACACGCAACCCTGAAGAACACGGCACTAGCTACAGACTGACCCAAACACACAACCCTGAAGAACACGGCACTAGCTACAGACTGCCCCCAACACACAACCCTGAAGAACACAGCACTAGCTACAGACTGTCCCCAACACGCAACCCTGAAGAACACGTCACTAGCTACAGACTGTCCCCAACACGCAACCCTGAAGAACACGGCACTAGCTACAGACTGCCCCCAACACACAACCCTGAAGAACACGACACTAGCTACAGACTGCCCCCAACACACAACCCCAAAGAACACGGCACTAGCTACAGACTGCCCCCAACACACAACCCTGAAGAACACGACACTAGCTACAGACTGCCCCCAACACACAACCCTGAAGAACACGGCACTAGCTACAGACTGCCCCCAACACACAACCCCAAAGAACACGGCACTAGCTACAGACTGTCCCCAACACACAACCCTGAAGAACACGGCACTAGCTACAGACTGCCCCACTGCCCCAACACACAACCCTGAAGAACACGGCACTAGCTACAGACTGCCCCCAACACACAACCCTGAAGAACACGGCACTAGCTACAGACTGCCCCCAACACACAACCCTGAAGAACACGACACTAGCTACAGACTGCCCCCAACACACAACCCTGAAGAACACGACACTAGCTACAGACTGTCCCAACACACAACCCTGAAGAACACGACACTAGCTACAGACTGCCCCCAACACGCAACCCTGAAGAACACGACACTAGCTACAGACTGCCCCCAACACACAACCCTGAAGAACACGGCACTAGCTACAGACTGCCCCCAACACACAACCCTGAAGAACACGACA